CTATGCTGACGACACTGCACTTGTCGCCCAGTCGTGTACTGGTGATCTGGTTCACGATAGGTTGCAGAGTGCGGTGGAAGAAGTACTAGAGTAGGCGGAACGGTGGCTGATTAAAATTAATAATTCGAAACTGTACCAAAAAACGTCGCGGCCCCCCAGCAGAGGTATAGATGGCAATCGTGTACCATGGACAAATTCTGCCAAGTACCTCGGTGTCACCCTTGATGAAGGCATGACCTGGCAGAAGCATACAGCAGCTTTGAAAACAAAATTCCAAATTGCGTTTCGGCAACTATATCCTTTGTTATGTAGATCCTCCAAATTTAGTTTGATAAACAAAGTTCGCCCATATAAAATGATTATTAGACCAGCCATTAGATGTGCATGTGCGGCTTGGTGTTTGCTTGCCAAGACACATATGCAAAGTCTTCAAGTATTGCAAAGTAGAACTTTGCGAACAATTAGCAACGCTCCATGGTATGTCTCAAACGAGAAACTACACAGAGACCTTGACATTCCTTACATGAGGGATTATGTCAAACTTCAGGCGCAGCGACGTTATAGTCAAGCGGAATCGCAGCGACCCTCCATTGCGCGACTCAGTGGACTACACAGAGGAGAAACACTCTAAAAAAATTGAATCAAAAATTTGTTTCGTTCACGTCAAAATTAATTCGTTGCTCTTCTCCATTTTTCTTCTTCCTCTTTCTCTTTTTTCTTGACATTGTCTGGTTTCTGGGCAACCAGTACTGACAGATTCGACTAACGTACATTTTACAGTGACTAATGGGCAAAGGTCCTACGGACCACGCAGACAAACAAATGACGAATAGTAGCTACTGTACTGACAGGTACTTCTATCAAGTTTGTAAGAAATGTAAGTTTTATACGCCACCATTTCTTGTTATTTGAACGCTTTTTAAAGTGTGTGCATCAACTATACGGGTTTCTTATAAACGCAAAATGTACTTTTTTTCCTCAAAGGTGCTACTCCTTTGAAAATGTTCCCTACACATTTTTACGATTTTTTTATAAGTTTTATTTTGGTATACAAATTTTGAGGAGCTACATTACTAAATGTACTGGGTTATTTGCGGAATTTCCGAAATCACAATTTAAAACAAATAATAACCACTTCAATCGTGGAAAGCAGGATTCTTGGTACGTGGGTGCCTTCACTGAAATTGCCTTTCATTTACTAAAAATCCTCCCTTTCAGCAAATATTGTGATAATCGTTTACTTTTAATTGTAATTTCCGGCTAATTGTAAATAACCAATGATTAACGTATTCTAATTGAAGATAGCCAACCTATACTCCTGCGTCTCAAGGATCATCCAGATGAAATCAGATACAATAGCGTCATCTATGACAATTTCGCACAGTTTCTCATAGTGTCTCATAGTTGAGACTTTCCCTTACGCGACGTATAGATCTTGAAAAAATAAGCGGTTTTGCCTAGTAGCATATCCACCAAAGACTTGAGATAACCGAGATGTTAGGATCCTCAAAATCAATCAAACCTAAACCAAATGCAATCCGCCTATGTATCCCGATCAGATCGAAAGTGGGAAGGTGCACCAACATTTATTTTCTAATCGATTCGAAAAAACCAAAACGTTACCGAGGCCTCTGCGGACGAAATACTCAGGTGTGGTCCTTGGAAAATCCTCACGTAGTATGTCGGTCACATTTTCAATATTTCCTTTGAATGTTTGGGCTGCAATATTGTTGAGGCATGAGTTGGAAGGACAAGACCTACACGCTGAATTTTTTTGAAGACATTTGTGTTCCATCCTGACCCCCCCCTTTGGTATTACAATTTTTATATAAAATTGAAAACATTGGCATCAGGAAGCCAAGCAATATTAAAATTCGAATCAGGCTGTTATGTAGTAATTGTGTGCGATTAACTGTATGTCATTATCACGTATTTATGTTTATATCATAATAATTCTTAAAGCATTCAATCAAATTCAAGGTATAAGTTTATGCAAGAGTTCATTAAAATGTATGAAAATTTTTCGCTTATACAGTAATCAACAAATTAGAAGGAAAAGTTTCGAATAATGTTACTTACCTCAGTCAGTCGTTAACTATGAAATGTTTTCGGCATTGTTTGAAAATTTAAGCTTATCTTCGATACATAACCATAGGCGGGTAGCAGACGATTCAGTTTTGTTGTAAACAATATATTAATGTATTCATTAAAAAAGGTAATACCTCAATATTGTACCATTTACAGCTTAGGAAAAGATATGTGTAGCAGTTACTATATCAGCTTATTGCTGATAAATATCAACATTAAATAATGTTCTCAATAATTTTGAATGTCACAACAGTTAATCTGATAACACATGTCTAATGTAAACACGTTCTTATTAAGCATCATATTTCTTCCTTATTTTCATTTTCATATCATTTAATGCACTAATCTGTTATTTTGTATTCTACTATTAGTGGTTTTCTCAATAGACTTGGCGAAAACCTACAATTCGTGGGAGAAATTTCCCCATTTAACTTCCGAATTTAAAAAATGAGATATGTTTTTAGGATGTTATATGTTATGTATAACATCCATTTATAATATGCAAAGTACCGGTCATATTTTTATGAAATTTTCAAGTGACGACGGAGAAAAAGGCCCTAAAAGGAAAGGTAAAAATGGCTCAAACTTTCTTTTTTGACGTTTCAGAGGATCCTGATCATTTTTGAAATTCTTTAGGAGAAAATGCATGTATCGAAATTTTTGGTGTATTTTAATACACTTCCTACCCGACACCTGTTAGGCATCACAGATTTTCCCGCATATTTGCCCTTAAAACTCTAGAACGATAGAAAAATACTTACGTCAAGCGTTCCTGTGTCGCCTAATTTTAACGACCGACACTTGCCAATCTCGAAAATAATAATTTTTTTAGTGAGCTTTTAAGCATTGAAAATGGGCATTTCTGGATGTTTCAGATTTCAAATATCTCGTTAATATATCGCTAATGGACACAATGAGCAACTTTAGTGGGCAGTTACTAACTTTTTTTTGTTCAGAATGATCCAAAAATATTGACTTGCTTGAAAAATTGTTTAGGCAAATTTCCACCGAGTTACCGCCTGGCAAACTTTTGACTCATGTTAAGGGCCGTCACACAAACGTGATTTGAAAGAAGAAATCGTGGGATGTCGCGAGGTTTTCACTTTGTCTACAAATGGATGGGTGAAAATGTGAAGTGAACCATCGCGTCGTCTCACTTGCACAGTGTAGTAAGTTATGCAGAGAACTTCCTTTTTTTTTTTGAAAAGTCATGCTGGAAAACATTTCAATCAAATGAAGTTACTTCTTTTCCTTAGCATGATCCTTAGGTGTAAGTACCTGTTAACGCAGTTTATTTGAATTCATTTTTTATTATATAAAATTTATTTCACATATTTTAAATGTATGGCAAGTTATTATATCACGTCGATTCAAGAACCATTTGGCTTAGCAGAATACTTTTTCATCAGTAATTATTGTAATTGAGGTACAAGTTTGTATTTTTTAGAAAGTATTGTGAATTTTTCCATTGTACCACTAAAAGTATTGCTTGAATCACGTAAGTAATATTTAGACATCGTTTCAGGTGTTAACCTTATCTTCAATAATATGTCTTTATTTTTAGATGATTAATACAAAAAAGAAACCATAGGGCGATATTTAACATTGTTGCTCTTCCATGTATCCCCCATTTTATTTATTATATTACAATGCGATCAATATGAACAATAGAATATGTCATCAAATGCTCATATATCACAAATTCCATGAAAACATATAATAATAATAATCTTTTATTTTACTTATACCATTGATTAACGCATTCTCTCTCCGACTTATTTTTTTTTCTAGCACTCATAGCTTCTTTCGTCAAATCAACAAGTAAATGATGCGAAACATTCCGAGCTTGAATCCTTGAATCTACCAAATAATATCAAAAACACCAAAATATAGCAAATATAGATAACTGTACTCTGCATTCTCATGATGTTATGAAATCTGTCTTGAGCTTTTTTATATAATGACTTTATTGATTACCCTCAAAACTATGTCTCACTATGTCTTTCGATTATGGAGTAAAATGACGTTTTCAAATTTACAAGAAAGATAACAGCTATACCTAAGTGATATATGTGATAGCTAATTTTATTTAAAAAATATATATATATATATCTGATATGTGGTAAAACCCGACAATACACATATATCTTATCTTATCAAGTGCATTTAGCTATATTGTTTATAACTAACAGTTTCTTGACATTAATTGTGTTTCTAGGATCCAACCGTGCCATTGAAAGTGAAGTATTTGTCACGCAGGTATACTACGGATTTATTATTGCATTTTTTTTACAAGAAAAATACTTTTTCTTGGGGGGGGGGGGGGTCATTGGGGCAACATGTGGAAAGTTCAAGATCTAGTTTCCAATCTATAATATTTTAGAATCGGGCTGCCCAACTTAGAGATCCGGTAGCGCGGAAACTACTCGTGGGAAAATTCTGGAACCGTAGAAATTCTCGTTCCACGTGATTAGATCTACAACATGCTAAAACTTAAAAAAACAGACGAAAGCCACTTCCCGCAAAGTTTTTTATTAATTGATATAAATGTGATTTTTTTTTTGAAAGAACCAGTGCCTTAGAACCTATTTTGATTTTGGGGTCTAACAGTTTATAAATTATTGGTTTAGATGATACTATGAACATTTTTGGATGTTTTGGTTGTGCAGTGTTTAATACCCAGGATACAATTTTAAGCTGTTTTTTATCTGCTCCGTAGATAGATATCAGAGCCTTTGTTTATAGGATTCACCACTGTTTTTTTTCAATCTACTTTTGTTCTTGTTTTTATTGGATCAACATATGTATGGGTTGGTATGGGAATACTTTAATTACTATTAATGCGCGGACGATGTACCAAGTCACTCTAATCAACACTCCATTCCTACATCTAAGTGAGACAGTGTTATTACCTTTTTCCAGAGTATGTACCACCCACATCACTACAACTGTAACTGCACTACTAAAAGTAACGATGAATGCCAAACGTGGGGTACTGTACCACTAGATCATTAGATCTGTATCGACAGTAGTGGTAATTAGTCGATCGACCTTGAGTCCGCTAAAATCCGGGCACAAGCCCTACAGCGATTACGTTTCATTACCAAGAAAGCAACTGGCGCAAGGAATGTTACGGAAGTAGAAAGGCATTATCTTCCGCCGTTTGGATGAGAGATTTATGCGCTTCTCCGCGTTTGTTCACCGCTCAAGAGTTAAAATGCGTCGGGTTTAAAAATAGATATTTGCGAAGTATTTTGTCTGGGTAAACACGAAAATCACCATTAAAAGTTCAGATTAGCTCTTGTTTTCAAGATATGTATAGCACCTACTTGAGTAATAAAATCTTCGTATTCATCGCCGGAAAAGGGGTCGTTCAAGTATTACGTAAGCAGATTTATTACAATTATTTACCCCCCCATCCCCCATGTCAGCAAAAGTAAGCAAAGCTCTTACCCCCTCCCCCCATGCTTACGTTAACATTTGTTAATTAATGTATTGTTTTTTTTAATATTATAATTATAACGTTATAATTATAATTTGAAAAATAAGAAAATAGATTTAGGATAGAGATTATATTTTACTGATACGGTATTCAACAAACGACAAAAATATTATATCTTACTAACATAACAAACTTATTTAAAATTTCATGCCTATTACTAATCATGAGTACCATATAGGTTATGGGGCAATGAAGTGGAGGTGAATTCTGTTGATCTCATTGACTCGTTGACGATATACCGAGTGTCTATTAAATACCCGAGCACCCCAAAAACTTGGAAACCACCAACCACACATTTTTTTGGAAAAAAGCTTCGAAGAAAAGTGTCAATGTATCAAAAAGCAATTTGCCGACAACCTCAGACATTATATAGACAGTGACTTCAGAGGTCATTTGGAAGTCTACTTTGTAAATTCAAATAGCAACCACCATTTTTAACTTCAAATTCGAATCGATTTCGTGACTTTACACCAGACTGCATTTTCATACATGAGGTCGAGCGGTGATTTAAATAGAAAATTCAGAAAACTAGATATGCCAAATAAACCCTTTTTTATTGGTCTGAAATGGGTAATTATCCTTAATTTTCACAGCATCATTAAGGGTAGGTAAGCAGGTAGGAATACCGGTAACGACCTACCTCGATCCTCAGTCAGTTTAGCTTTGTGACCGTTGTGGGTGGACGGTTTTCAAGTGTTTTCTAAATTATTATGTACTTTTGTAAACAATATTTTGGTGTTAAGCTGTTAAGTAATTCTTCCGGTATGCAAAAAAGGATTTCTCATTGTTTCTTCGAACATCTGTAAATGTCGCCTAATATGGACACAAAGAACGGCTCTTTTCAAAGCCTCAACATATTTTCTGAAAAAAAAATAAGAATAACCTCTAGGATATAGAGGAAATAAAACTGAAAGATTACATTTATGGGATCTTTAATCACTTTCAATGATTTACTGGTAATTGGGTTTACTCATTAGGTGATACAGCACTGTTTCAGTAACGCTTTCAACACCCGAAATAATGTCAAGGCCGCCATCCCTTGGAATGATTAGACCTAGAATGAATTCATTCAAGGAAGAAGATCAACAATATCAGTAAAAGTTTAAAAAATGGGAATTTCCGGATTTAGGGTACCTGCAACATTTTGTCTACTTTGCGCAGAAACTATTTAGGATCCAGAACTTTATCCGAATACTATCGAGGAATAGCCACGACCGGGGTATAGGCGATGAGCGAGGCCGCCGCCTCGGGCGGCTGTGTAATGGGAGGCATAAAATAGTCATTCAAGGGGTGGATTCCCACTGGGAGAGTCCAGTTGACGCCTAAGTATAATTCCCCCGTGACTCAAAGGCTGAACCCGCCCTCGTTCTCAATTGTGGTGGGAGGGCGCATATTTCATCCGTTGCTCGTTCCTAATGACACACCTACTACTCGTATATGTATTGAGCTTCAATAAAATGTTGAAAAAAATGATGGACGATCTGTCATCGCAACCTTATAACACGATAATCGTTCAATCGTGATACATCTAATTGTTCATTGCTGATTGTTAGCGTTAAATTGCTTTGGTTTAATGATATACAATTTGTACATCGTGTTACAATTAAAGATAGCCTAGCATATAATTAACAAGCAGCAGTAAGGTATTAATGATCCGATGTTATAAAATTTAATATTGCCTTTTATTAGATACAACTTAAGGTTATTGAGTTTGGAATTTTAATTAACCTAATCCTGCATAAGTATTTCTCAAGTTTTGCAGGATATGGTTTCTTGGATACAAGGAGTGGCGAAAGAAACAACGAAGCAGATAATGAAAGTACATTTTAAGCTATGTTTTAACCGTGTTTCATTTTGAATTCATTGAACAAATGTTGGAATCTGAAAGGATGGAAATTCTGGAGCAGGACCCATACTTCGGAACCACCCAACTCACAAAAAGGATTACGACACTACATTTAGTTTAATGTCTCGTAGAGCTATTTTCCTCGGAGAAATAACTGTATTATCAAAACATGATCAAACCTTTTCCAAGACATTCAAAGTAAAACAGCGCTGAAAAACAGCATTTATCAGTTTGCTACTTCCGGTAGAGATATCTGGGGAAATGTTGCCAGACGGTGTTATACATTTACTCTTCCCTATTTTATGTATATTTTGCAGGCATTTGTTGACAGTAATACTCCACCTGTTGAAGAATTAAAATATTTTAATTCTAAGCATGAACATTATAAAAATATTTAACGCCTTATTTTTCATTATGCATCTAGGTTAGGTAAAAATAACCTGTATTAGAACAGTTTCAAAACATGTATGAATGACTACAGAGTTTAAATCGTTTGAATAGTTGTTTTAAGATAAGAATCTAGTCCTTTTTACTACCGAAAGAATAGTGTTATTGTACTTGACATAGTTAAATGTTTTTTATAGATCAAGTTGTTATTCATAAATCCGGTCACTCATCGTACATTACTTAAAAAGATTAAAAATTAATCGGAAGAAGCCTAAGTGCCAGGGTACCGCGGCTGCTATGAGGATCTTAACGAACCCTTGATAATCGGACTTTAGAACTGCTTAAGGTCAGTAGTACTGGGAAAAGCCGCCTTTTGTAGCTTGTTCCACAATCTCGATACCCTATGGACAAAGGAGCGGTCATATCGACCAGTTATGAATGTACGAAGTTCGATACGGTTGGCTGTCCGTTAAAGAATATTCATCGATCAGTCGGACAGCCTTCCTCTGAACAGCATCGAGCATGGATAATCTATCGGGTCAAAATGGTGAGCAATATTCGAGGCTAGGTCTTAAATGGGCTTTGTACAGAGTGAGGAAGTCATCTAGAGAAAAGAACTCCTTAGCCCTAAACAAACAGCCCAGCAGCTGACGCTAGTGACGAGATGGGTTCATGCCAGATCCTCGGACATCTGGAATCCTGATCAGCCGAAATGGACGGTTCTTTGTACAACTATACTAAGTGACATATAAATCCGAACAACCAGTTTAAATGGTTTTAAAAAATTTTCAGCATTATCAGTTGGACATTCCGGTTTTTATACTGTTTTTTTTTTAATTCACTAACGCTCTAAAAATGAATATTTCAGCCGCAGTAAAGAATCAACGTTGGCGGATTTTGGTTCTTGACATCCTTTACGATCGGTTACGATGCCTAGAGTACGGAGACCTGTACGATTTCGTCAACTTGGTGAGTTTGATAGGGGCCGTATAGTGGGACTTCGGGAAGCTGGACTTTCTCTTCGGGCAATTGCAGTTAGAGTGCAAAGAAGTGTAGACACTGTGGTTAGGTGTTGTTAGGCATGGCTTCGAGAAGGCCGTACGCAAAGAGCAAGGGGCACTGGGCGCCCCCGTAGAACAACAGACCGTGAAGATCGCCGCCTAAGATTATTGGCCTTAAGGGACCGTTTCTCCACTACCAGGTCCATTGCAAATGAATGGTTTGCAGAACACGGAAGACCTATTGGCATGCGAAGTGTTTACCGACGAATGAGAAGTTTTGGCTTGTTTTCATATCGGCCACACTGGGTCCTCCCTTTAACTCGAGAACACCGACGTAATCGCCTTGAGTGGTGCAGACAACGGTCACTCTGGGATCAGGAATGGAACAGTATTGTCTTTAGTGACGAGTCTCGATTTTGTTTAGGCATGCACGATGGACGTGCCAGGGTTAGAAGGCGACGTGGTGAAAGGAGGAATCCACAGTTTTTTGTTGAAAGACATGTTCATCACACTGTTGGAGTTATGGTTTGGGGTGCTATAGCTTATGGATCCAGGTCACCTTTAATCTTCATCAGAGGTAACATGAACGCGCAGCGTTATATCCACGAAGTTCTAGAACCCCATCTTTTACCCTATCTTGACACCCTGGCAGATCCAACTTTCCAACCAGATAATGCCCGACCACATGTTGCAAGAGTCACAACAGACTTCTTTTAACATAATGATGTCACATTGTTACCATGGCCACCAAGATCTCCCGACTTATCCCGAAATGAGCACGTGTGGGATATGATGGGTAGGAGATTGCTCAATTTGCAACGTCCTCCTCAGACTCTAGAAGCACTTCGAGAGGAGTTGGTGGTTGCCTGGAATGAGATACCACAGAAGGACATTGACCACCTGATCAGAAGCATGCCTAGGCGCGTTGGAGAATGCGTAGCGCATCAGGGTGCATCCACACATTATTAAAGGTCAAAGGGCTTTAAAGCAGTGCAATCATTTTGAAATTTTTATCATTTACTTATTATGCTTCATTAAGTACTTATACAAAATTTTATTAAAATAAAACCATTTAAACTGGGTGTTCGGATTTATATGTCACTTAGTATATTCAAATAATACTACTATAAAATGGGAAAATTGACTATTTTTGGTGAAGTAAAAACCTGTTTCAAACACTTAAATGTATTGTCTTCACAAATACTAATTACAATTTTCACTAATCTTACCACAAAATCGAAATAACGCTGCAAAGTACGGACCGGCCAACAAGGTCACGTGTGAGTTTATATGTTCCCTCTGTTTGAATTCGTAGCATTAATCGAATAATTAGCGAGATATTCAATATCACAACATCACTACTTTACACGTAAAATGATCTGGTCTGGTAAAGCTAAAACCAATTTCGAGCAGTTAAAAAAGTTGATAAAGTGATTTATATGCCACTTAGTATATAATGTGAAATATATGGTATGATATAGGTGCTTAGGAATGTGATGCATTCAAACTAAGGGCACATATAACTTCACTCGTGACTTTGAAGGATTTGCAATATTTCAATAAAAATAAAATCGGCCTACTGGTTATGAAAATACGTTGAATAACAGTTTTACAACTTGTCCGATTGCCGATTACTGGGGGAAGTTGAAATAATATGCATATGTACTTTTCCACGATGGCTGATCCAGGACTTAAATGGAAATCGGGAAATTTCCTTTGCCCGAGGTATTTGCTCTGCCCAGATTTTCCATATGTACCTTACGTATATCGTAGGTACGGAGCGTGAAAAAGCTTATTACGTTCCGCTGAACGCTGCAGATTTGATGCAAAATTTTCGTTTGAAATTTGGAGGGCAAACATTTACCACACGTTCATAGAAAAAAGTGAAATCATTCAAAATATCCGTTTTGGATGCAAAACATTGATCTGTGGGAAAAATAATTTTTGAAAATATCCCATTATTTTGTAGTTCCAACTTCAATTAAATAGCTTCGAAAATTGAAATATAAAATTTAAAACTAAGTTTCCAGGTGATTCAAATCAATTTGACAAAGGCCACAGAGGTGGCCGAAACGTTAGTAAACAGTCAATCCAACATATGTGGTTTTATATGGCGACCAGAAAACCATGAAGGAAGGAATCATTTTTTTTAGTTGTTAGACGGCACTGATTACTATTTTTCGACCAAAAAATTCTTTATCAAGATAAACGAAATGCTTAAGCAATCCCGATGGATCTACTTTAGGCCTCACATATGTTGTGCTAAGCGTCTTGAGAACGTCTTCAGTAAAGTGGATAAATTAATCACAAAATGTACAATAAGTTTTCATTTTAATATACATCATTGATCGATCAACAGTTCTGTCTGGATATTTAAAGAAGTTTAATGAAAAAATTACATTAAGTACTCTATACATAACCATATTGCAGAGTAAAATTATGTGAAGATATGTTTTCTTTTTAAATTGTAGGAAATTTCAGGCTGATAAAACATGATATAACTCAAAAGCAAGTACAATTTGATGCAAATAGATGTTTGTGACATAACCTCAAAATAGAGTTCTGACACGGAGAAGTAGAAAACTTTATTGTTGTCAAAGCTTTGAGAACATAGTATTTCTCCACATACCAAACACATGCAAGGATTTTTTTGAGCCCTCTTCGCTATTCAGGCATGCGAATGTGGAAACCGTGTTTATCATGTCACTATACCCTTCCCTTGGATCACATATCACTTATGATCTTGGGCTGCAGTAGCAACACAATCAGAGAAATATGGATTTTTTTTCAAATCATTTAAACGTATGATTTAGATGTAAATCGAACATCTTGAGAATACCTAAAGCGACTCAAAGCAAGAATGCGTTATTAAGCGAACTAGATGTCCAAATCGTGGCGTGGCGTATCTTCCTGTGTAAACCCCCATACCTGTGCCGACTTTTTGTGTCAAGGTTGTGCTCCATCAGAAAAACTGATGAGCATGACTACAATTCAAGTTGCTATGACAGGCACCTTAGTGTGAAGCGTATGTCCTAGTGCACTTCCTAGTCGCCCTCGTCGACAAATTTCCAATCGTGTGGCGATGTGGCGAATGAATAAGATATTTTCAAATTCTCTTGTATGTGCTTATACCACTAATCGTGGCTGAATGGGTGTAGTCACTCAAAATAATTTAGAAAAGAAACTCAATATAGTCTTGAGGTGGGTCTACGAGATGCAAAACATGAAAAGGTTCCGATATCGAAAATAACTGCTTGCCTCCGAGATAATTTGCAACTTCTTCATGTTTGCATCATTTACATACACGATTGTCTTGCGACCCAAACAACTCCTTAGAAGTTTGTCGAGGGTCCAGATACGACGACATATTGAATTATTACGTTCCGCTGAACGTCGCAGCTTTGGAGCAAATTTTACGTTTGAACTTTGGAGGGCAAACATTTACCACACGTTCATAGAAAAAAGTGAAATACCATTATTTCGTAGTTCTAACTTCAATTAAATAGTTTCGGAAAATGAGATATAAATTTTAAAACTAACAAATCAATTTGACAAAAAACCCATCGAGGTGGCCGAAATGTTAGTAAACAGTCAATCCAACATATGTGGTTTCATATGGCGACCAGAGAAACATGAAAATAACCATTTTTTAATTGTTAGACGGCGCTGATTATTTTTCAAATAAAAGAAAATTTTTATCAAGATGAAAAGAGAAATCGCTATGGAGCTACCTTAGGCCTTACATAGGTATGTTGAGCTATGACCTGCTAAGCGTCTTGAGGACGTATTCACTAACGGGATAAATTAAACACAGTATGTACAATAAGTTTTCATTTTAATATACATAATTTATCGATCAACAGTTCGGACTGAATATTTAAACAAATTTAATGAAAAAAATTACATTAAGTACTCTATACATAACCAGTATTGCAGAGTAAAATAATGTAACACCTCCAAGCTTAGTTTCACAAGCAAGATGCCACTTTTCAAATCTCTATCGTCCACATCTTGTTCCCAAGTAACACTTTTACATCTAGAAACCAAGAGCTAACGCTACATCACATTACAAAAGATTCCACTGTGTTCCTACAATGTGACTACTTGTCTCCATGTATCTTGCTATCTCCTCATTGATACTGTGACTCAGCCACAGAGTATTCAACTTCTTGTACCTCACAGGACACAATCTCAATGGATTGCCTCTTCGCAATCCCTGATCTGTCTCACCATAATCGTCGAGGTATGGCGGTGGAACGAAACATCCTCTATGTGGAGCAGAGAGGAAGAGAATTTCGCACTCCCTCACTCTCAGGAAAACTCCTATACCAGCACCGCATTTCGTAGCGTGAAAATTACATGCGCCAACGTGAATTTTATTCAGCTCTGTTTGACAACAATAACTTTGAGAACATAGTATTTCTCCACATACCAAACACATACAAGGATTCTTGGAGTCCTCTTCACTATTCGGGCACGTGAAAGTGGAAACTGTGTTTATCAACTCACTATAGTCTTGTGGTAGGTCTACGAGATGCGGAACGTGCAACGGTTCAGGTATCACCAATATTTGCGTGCCTCCGAGATAATTAGCAACTTCTTCATGTTTACACCATTTACATACGAGATTAATTACGTCTTGTGACCCAAACAACTCCTTAGGAGATTGTGGAAGGTCCAGGTACGAGCACATATTGCTAAAGGTATCTCCACCTACTTCTGTCAAAACAGCAGGTGCTGATACATTTGTAAGATAATGATATAGCAGAACACAACACCTTAAAAATACTGAAGATGCTTCTTCTACGTATTCCCAAACAGCTTGCGTGTTGATACTAGCTTTGTACTTGCCCATTATCTTCAACAATTCTTCTAATTCAGGATGGAACTGACTTTCAGTGCTATCTGTATCCATCGAGCTATCGAATCTATTTGGATCCATCATGACCAATATCTTTGTTATGTGACAGATGAATATCGTTCTAAACACGTGTATATCTAAGGTACTTCCTGTAGGTACGGGAATAGGCGTATATTTACAAGAAAGACTAGGCAGCGAAAACGTAAGACTAACGAGGTATCCTAAAGAGTCCCATTGGAGAATCGAGGGACCATCGTCTGAATGTTCGAATAAAATAGAGAGTAGGTTAACTGCGTGACTGTTTATAAACACACTCTGCGACAACGTACTTCCCATCACTCCATTAATCTTCACTAGGTTTTCTATAGAGTCTCTTTGCCTGCTGGACAGGTTGCCTAGCAGCGCTTTGCAAGAATCTCTAAGCAATACTTCTATGGAGTGGATTGTGTAGGCGAGTGATTTCCAGCACATCAGCACTAAGCGCTTGTCAGAAGGATGAGGGTTGACGTTCAGGCCTCTCGTGTAACAAACCTGCGCGAATACTTGGATCATCTCTTTGTGGCTGTCATTGAGCTTCGGGTGCTCTTTCGGGAACAGCTGGGTGAACGCTTCCGGTAGTTCGTTATTAATCTCGTAGGAGTAGAAGACCTAAAAGTGGAAATTATCAATTCAGATATCAGTGCATATCGCCAGAGCAAGATTAATGCTCGGTTGTATTGCCTAGCTAAGGTCGACTATAAGCTAGGCTGATCTTTAATTTCTTTTATTTTTTGCCGCACCAGATACTCTTCAAACTTGAAGTGGAACTTATATACCAGGTCTGAAAATTAAGTGATGAGACTGGCAACATAGAGTTCGACACTACAGGCGCCGGGCTTGGGGGGGGAGACAATACAAGTTTGAACTCGCACGAGTCATTTGGTTGTCCGTAGCGATTTTTTTTTTTTAAAGTTTTTCCTATTGTGTTCTAAAGATGAGTGACATCAATTTCGAGCAACGGTGTAGCTATCAGGTTTTGATTCAGACTTGGGCACAGTGCAATGGAAACTCTTGCTAAACTTCTGCAGGCTACAGAGATAGTGATTTGTCAAGAGCTCAAGTTTGTAGTTAGTTTGAGACATCGTAGCAAGAAAAACTAGGTGGTGCATTACGATAATGCTCCTTGTGGCAGAGCAATGTGTATAAACGAGTTTTTGGCTAGCCTCCTTATTTGCCTGACCTCAGTCTTTGTGACTTTTTCGAAGTTGATAAATCACCTCAAAGGATTCTAGGACAGGCGAAACATTCATACGGCTGTAACCGACCAGCTGAAGAATATTCCACTATCGGAGTTCCAGCACTGCTACGAGGAGTGGAAGAACTGTCTCCAGTGCTCTGTCACTTCAGGAGGAAGTTATTTTGAGGGTGACAATATGAAATTATAATTATATTTGAATAAAAAAAATCAGTCTCTCTCACTCACTCTCACTTAATTTACAGAGCTTGTAGATGCACAAGTCGAAGAATTCCCCAGCTTAAGATGGATTCTCCAACCTAAGATGTGTTTGGTCTTGAGAATATGACAGTCGGCAGTTTCAAATTACTGTTTGAAAAATTTTAAAATGTCAAATATGAATGTAGATATCGCAGAAATTAATGAATTGTCGAAGAAAATCAGCAGTGTATGGGGTTTCCTCGCCAAATCCGTAATAAAACGGAATATTTTCAGCTGTGATAACAGGGTGTTTTCCCAAAAAATTTTCATCATCCGAGAAATATATCTGTTTATATTGAGGCTAATTGATGACAGGCTAGAGTTTCGCCACAATTGATAAACAATGTTTTCCATAAAGGTCTTATTTTTTAAACGGTTCAAGCAAGGGGTCCGAAATTTAGGATGGTCAAATTAATGAATGAATACTATATCTTAAATTTAAAATAATAAAGATTTAAAGGTGGCGTCTGGACATGGGTGATTACTTAATTTGAGTACATTATTATTCTGGAATTCAAAATCACTATCTTTCAAAAAGGCGGACTGGCAGCATGACAAAGTTGAGCTATTTTTCAAGGACTTATGCCAATGTTCCATATTTCATAAGATGTTCGGATAGACCCTTCCAAGAAAAGAAGATTGATATTGATACGTATTATAGTGATTTGATGATTGGTTGTCGAGTTAGTTATCAGCGACTCATTGTGAAAAAACGCTCATCTTTGACATCCTCCCAGTTCGCCATTTTAAAAGATAGTGATTTTATATTCTAGGATTATAACGTACTCATAAGGAGCTCAAAATAAGGTGTCACACGACCCCTCATTATATTCAAAAATATATTCCAAAATGGCGTCCAGCCCCATTTGAAACTGCCACGTTTACGCTAAAAGATAGTATTCATACATCAATTTCATTATCCTCAATTTCAGCTTTTTAACTATTTAAAAAAAGTAGGGATCGCTTATCTGATGCCATCTGAAAATTGCACTGGGGAAATTGCCCGAGTGTAGCTTCCAGTTTAAATATCCTATGAGGGAAACTTTTTGAAGAATAATGTAAATGTTCAAAAGTAGGCGTCAGAATCCACGTATCCAGTTTTTACAACACTGGTTAACGCTGTGCCGAGAAAATGTTCGATTCGATTATTCAACTTTAATTACCTGGTGCGGTTGCAGCATACAGTTAACTTCACACTTAATATTCTCATTGTGATCAATACTAGTGCCTTTAGCGTACGTGCAGGCATTGCAGTGTATATTCGTGCACTCCTCCGAAGCGTCGCACTTGAATATGCCGTGACACGTCTTTTGTTTCTTCTCGAGTATTGTGTTGACGCAGAATAGCCACTCAATAAAGCTCAAGTTGCTGTTAGGTACTGTGGACTGGAGCACTCCTAATGCTGGAACCAGCGGTAGGACGGTGTTGCTGAGACATTCGCACAAGGGGCACAGGAATTCCTGGAATGATTGCGCCAATTAGCATAATTATGTTTAAAAGTGAAGCTTTAACTACTTAAACTATCATTATGTATTCCCTGTAGATGGAAAAGTTCAAAGAAGGTATATTCTAGAACCACGTGAAAACATAGGCCTGAATAGTGACAGCGCAGCAAATACGATCGCTTGAATCATCCAACATCCAACATTCCAAAACTATTTTCTGTGAGGCCATTTAATGTCATTCAAAATTCAGAGAACTGCTGTATGTAACTAAATAGCAAATGATAGTACGGCCTTTAAGCGTCTCGCTTCTTCCAAAAGGAAGCTATTGCACGCCAGGGCTCCAAGGTTAGGCATCTGTGATCACAGTCATTAGATTTTTAAGCGAAAAAGCAGCATATCTCTTCTGGGCAGGTTTCTGTCACCACTAAACAAGTCCGAGCATGAAAAGTTTTGTCGCCAGTGATCGATCGAGTCTGTAGACGTTGCTAATTATCAATCAAAGTTAATCTTTTCATCAGCCTATGAGGATTAGACTGAGGTCTTGCTTTCCAGTTTATGAATGGTTGTGATTACTACTTTGCCGTTTGAAAAATACGTTTGATAAAATTCCGAAGAAGCGTTCGTATAGCTCCTAACATTTTTTTCTTCGAGTATCATTCTTTGATGCAAACGTCATTTCTTTCTAAGCACTGATCTTTGCTTGAACCACCCGTAAATTATACCGTAAAACTGCCGTTCTCTCACTACGTGCCACGATGCCATAGTTCGCACTACACTGTCAATACAAATGAACAACTAAATCAACAGACGTGCTGCTGGCGGCTACTATGCAGTCATGGATATGTATCAACATGCAGTAACATGCAGCCTCCTGCGTCCGTTTGTTAGGTCATATTGCAAAACTTTTATAGTACTCTTTGTAAGTAAACAGATCGATTAGCTGTATACCATGTGCTTAGCAAAACCACACTTTTTTTTGGTGTCCGCTTCACAATTCTGTCGTTAAATTCATTTATGTATTTCGTATTATTTTCTAAAAGCGCGAGCGTTTAATAGACAGATGAGTCAAAAGTATGCTCTAAAACTACGCAATTTTGGTGACAAACAATGCAATGTAAGCGTATAGGCTTGGCTGCTAATCTATTCGAATTCCTTGGTCTTATTCACATATTTTGAAGCACTATGCATACTGTTTCGTATAATCTACAATTTTAACCATACGACTTACCTGTTTATCCACGTCAAAACTAGCCGGATGTCTCAACCTGTACGGCCTACGATGCTCCCTGACCATAATATTCTCGAAGTACTTTCGCCAGCACTCTGCGTGCATCACGTGACCGCACGTGCTCGTATGCGGCGCTGGGCCCAGGTTTGCGTGCAAGTAGAGAGGGTCGTGTTTGGCGATGTCCATAAGCGATTCGTGGCTTCTATTCTGGCACAGAATGGTCGCTTGTTGGACGAACGCGGCCATAACCAATGTGGGACCGTCCGCCGTCACCTTTTCTTCCTCTTGACATAGGATGCAGGTAAAGGTCTGTTCGTTTGTGATGCGGGTGGATTGCTTGGAGCCTGACACAAAAGATAATCATTATTAGTAGGAATGCTCTGAATACTCGGTTTGTACCTAGTACTCGGCATACGCGGCCCATTTTACTGAGTAGCGGGTTTCGCCACAGACACACAACTTGTTGATATTTGTTCTTCAAAAGGAGATAATTAGGACAATTTTATTTAAAAAGTACATCCTGTGTGGATCTGTTCAAAATGTTGAGAATAATGACTGTACACTCATTGTATAACTGTGTTATGTAAATTGAATCATCTAATGGTGCATGCCCAAGCCAAGCTCAATAAAATCAAGCTTGTCTTTACCTAATGCTATTGGTTGTTCTTCAGGAGGCTCCATTACATCCATCGTTTCGACCTCCGAAATCTTGTGCTTCCGTTCCGTGATTGTTTCCTCGAACAAACTTGCGTTCTCCTTGATGAAATTGTTCTGCATCGCCAACATTTGAGCCATGATCTTCGCTCTCTTTTCAGCAGCCAATTTCGCTCTCCTCGCTTTATCTACGTCAGTAGATTCAGAGGTTGAAGGTTCCTTTTCTTCCATTGGGACGCTATCGTCTTTTTTATTTGCTACTTGTTTGTATTTGTTGTATGTCCACCTGAAAATAAAATTATTTTCTAAATACAAGCAATACGCACATATATCAGAATGCAAAATAATATACAGTGATTTTCTTTAAAGGTCCTCGTATTTTTTGAACGAGTTAAGTTGGTGGGTTAAATTCGGAGTGATGAAAATAATGCATAAATACGACATTTAAACGCAAAAGTGACAGAAATTTCAAAATGGCGGCTCAGCGTCACCTTGGACCATTTTCTTCCTACGCCACTGGGCGAGGAAATAGTGTGATAGCGAAAAATTTCGAAAATGAGATATGTTTTGTGGACGTTACATGACATGTACATCACGAAAAACCAAGTCACCCATTTCCGTCTGTCTGTCTGTTAGTCTATCCAGTAATCCTTGGTCATCTGTTAGTTGGAAAGTACTGTGCGGATTTGGATGAAATTTTTACATCAGGTTACTACTACGCCCGGGAAGAAAACACCTTAGTTTTTGAAAGTCCCTCCTGTTGCGCCGGAAAAAAAAGGCCAAAAAACGAAATGAATTAAAATCTCTCAAACGTCGGTGGGGTGGGAAAGGGTATATCTATTATCAATTTTTTAACATTGGTATATGTATACACTCCCAACCCCTGCAAGTCTACGCACCTATTAGCTATATTTCACACATTATAGGTTTCTCCTTATATTTTTCTAAAACTTGGAATGATAGAAAAATGTTTTCGACACGAGTCTCCTTCTGTTATCTGGGCTCTGCGCTTGGCGTAACGATCTGCTTAATTGTTCTGCTCGTACTGCGGAGGGTAGTCGATGGGCGCTGCCGCGTCTGATGATATGGGAAGGGGCAACGTTGCTACACGGTGAATAACTACCGGTCGGACAGGGAAAGAATGTCAATGAACTAACTGTATATTTCACTGTCTTGATTCGTTCAATTTCTCTATTGTGAACTGTGCTGAACTTAATCCTTTATGGACTGATGACGGTGTTACGTAGGAAGTGCAGTCAACGTACTTGACGCCTTGTAAATGGAATAGGTCAACTGATAACTCATTTTGAAGCTCTTTATCAATAGTCTGTGACGCAGAGTACCAGTTTACCGTCTTCCAAAATGGCGGGCTATCAAGTTTGAGCGTTTTTGTACATTTAATCGCCTGTAGCCCAATAATAAATTATCAAAAGACTATAGTAAGTTTATGCTACATCATCTTCTTCTCCTGGGAGGATATATGCGAATTAATACTGAGACGAAAAGGAAAAAAGAGACCGACATAAGGTACTTAACGTTTTGATATTTAGTTGTTGAGTTTATAAGTCATACAATGTACAAAAATGCAAAAGTTTTACAATTCCGCTAGTCCGCCATTTTGAAATATAGTAAGGTGATACTCTAGGGTTATGCAGTATTGAAAGGAAGCATCAAAATCAGTTACCAGATGACCCACATGCAATCAAAAAATGTTTTCAACTGTCATTGTATTTTCTCCTTACAAGTAGAAAATAGTTGGATAGAGATTTTAGTGTGTTTTTCATATGCATTATACATATTATACATAGTGTTACTTAATGATAGTCCATAATTACAAGAGTGCTTTGACCCAAATTTATTTATCAAATATATAATAGTGAGCAGACAATGTATTCAAGTAATAGTCAAAGTTTTACAAACAACTTCATTAATGTTGAACAATTGTTAAAATATGAGAACAGAAGCCTGCATAGAAAGGTGCTGGATACATTTTTTTGTAAAAACATTGTCAAATTGTTACTTTTCATTCCTTAAAAAACATATGTTTTTAAAAAGTCAGTGGAACACATTTTTTTTCAATATCATTCGTGAGGCTGCTCCTAGAGCCGCCACTGGAATTCATAATTATCTTCTAGTTAGTGCTACCTGCCGTCTTATTGCTACACTAATAATGCCAAAATTCAACAAAATTTTCACAAAGATCTTTAAAGTATTGATGAAAAACTAGAAGTTTTATAATACTTTGAAATCCTGTATCTTGGAAACCAGACTTTTTAGGGCACATGTTTATAATAACTTTTCTATAATTAAGTAACAGCCTGTATTTCAAAGGTGGAGCGTTTAGACGAGAAAAATAAAAAAATAAAGAAACTGAAGGTAAAAATCATTACCTGAGTAGTCCTTTGTGAGAATCAACCCTTGGGCTTTCCAACAACTCCTCCATTAACTGAAAGATCTTGAACTTCGACGAATTCTCGATAAATTTAAAGAACGGATAGTGGCCTGACTCCTCTTCCCATAACGCGTAACCGATGAGGTGCAAGACCTTATGCAGCTGCGGTTCAGAGAAGCTTCTCGCCCTTAGATTTGTACATCTCTCGAGCACCGTCTGCATGATATGTAGCATTACGTCGCACTGAAATAAGTAACAAATCCCTTTAAAAGTATGTATCAACCGAGACTTTTGAAAAGTTACAAAAATGGGATATTTCAGGTTAAAAATATTTTTAAACGTAGATACGAAAACAATTGATGGTGAAGAGTCGCCATCTATGGGGATGATTTACCATCATATTACTTATTTCGATGGGGGCGTGAATACATAGAAGACGATTCCAGAAGCGGAAGATCCAAAATAGCAGCAAATGATGAAATGACTCAAAAAGTTGAAGCCATGGTTCTCGAAGGAGACTTGGGTGAGTTATTGGGATCCTGAGGAAAAAACCAAATCCATGCAGTGGGTTCACAGAGTTTCAACACCCCAAAAAGGGCCGGACGAAACCCTCTGCTATAAAATTGATGGCAACAGTTTTTTAAGACATCAATAAATGCAAACGTCTATGCGAACACGCTGAAAACTTTACGCAAAGCAATCAACCAGAAATACTCCATTTGCGGCCGTGCATAAGGCTGCCGAAACAAAACCAATTGTGCAGGAATGCAGTTTCGTTCAGCTAGACCATCCTCCTTATAGTCCGGACTTGACTCCGTCTAACTTTTATCTCTGTAGACTATTAAAGAAAAATCTTCGAGGGCGCCGTTTTGACTCAGACTCTGAGTTAAGAGGAAAACTTTTCGTATAAGGGTATAAGTTCACTGGAGGAGAAATGGCAGAAGTGCATTGATGTAGAAAAAATCGTACATCTTTTGTTTCATGGTTAGGTAGGTTTCTTTTCTAGTGTCCCTCATATTAAGAGGTTAGATGTTACATGACATTTGAAAAACCACAAAAGTAAAACAATGTGAAGCATTCTGTACCTGCAACAGGTTCACCAACATGGTAAAAGACTCGTTCAGCTTGGGCAATTTAGGTGGTGGGCAACATTCTATCTCGCCTTTAGTTTTCCGTCTTAGTCTCTGCGTCTCTTCAGCCTTGGACAGTTCCTCTCGAGTGTAATGGTAGAAGAATACGTTGAAGTCATCATAATACTGTTCCTTCAATTCATATACGCCTTTGCCGGAGCCGTATGTCGGTTTCTTGAAGACGGCAAGTTCTTGAATAACCTAAAAGTGAATTATTGAGTAATTACAAAAAATGGCGTCCAGTAGGTTGACTCTGCACTTCCTACGTAACGCCCTCATCCGTTTTATTTAAATAGTCTAAAAAAAAATCAGTTACGAACACGTACAGCAGAAAAATTAAACGGATCAAGTCAGTGAAACAGGTCCATACAGTTAGTCCATAGACATTCTTCTTTCCCTGCCCTATCGGGGTAGTTATTTACAATCTAGCAATGTTGTCCTTTGCCACATCTGCAGCGCCCAGCGAGTTATTCTGTGTATATGTTTCCAAAACATTTTTCGTGCGCTGCAGTACGGATACATTAGTCAGCCGGACTGGTACGCCGGGCGTTGTACTTCGATAATAGGAGTACGCGGATCGAAAACATTTCTCTACCATTCTAAGTTTCAAAGGCAAATGCACTGGGATATCTATGAGGTGTGCAATATCGATAATAGGTGAATGGAATTACCGGTCATGTACAACCCCCAATCCCCGATTTCAAACCTCTACAAAAAAATTTCTAGAAATGATCAGAAGCCTCTGAAAGGTCGAAAAATGAAGTTTGAGCGATTTATATCTTTTTTGGATCTCAAAACATATATCAAATATTGTACTTGCCTCATCTACTGCAACCTGCCGTGAAGTCAGATCATCGGGTATCGTCTTGATCAGTTCAGAATGAGGCAGAGGCTTGATGCATAGATGTTGAATGATCTCTTTTCTGATCTTATCCTCCACTGTCACATTACTGATACCGGGCATACATCTGTGAATTAAGAGGTTCAGATAAATGATCATGTGTACAGAATGTATAGAAAGGAAAAATGTGAAACGCTAATCACTGCATTTAATAATTTCAGTGTAATACAGAGCGTGAGTAATGTAAAATTTGAGCGACGAATGCTGAGTATTATTCAGACGCTGGACGTACAACACGCACTTAAGTATGGTTTTGGCAGTTTCATTTGATATCATAATTGTCTAACATTGAGTAATCGATCGCTGCAGTTCTATGTGGGAATGTGTATATACAACAGTGAGAATAGGATGACTTAACATCGTTTGTATGAAAACCAGCACGACCAAATACTGCAAGCATTACTGTAGTGGGACGTGTGTCACCAAGCGGTTTTAATGAGTATTCCCCATTTCTGGAGGATCTCATACTTCGGGTAGAAAATAAATACTGTCGAGTTTTAAAGCTTTCCCCTGCCCAAAAAATATATATCCAACCTTTCGCCAATAACAGCATTTAAAAGATGCAGCAATTCCTCCACCAAGTTGATCGTCTGCCTGATGCTATCCTCCTCCGGATTCTTGAGACTATTAGCCTCGAAATCAGCCATTGCCCAATTGATCAGATTGAACTTGTTCAACACGTGAATGAGGAACTCGTTGCTTTCTATCAGCGAGGCGGCGATTTGCAGGGCAGTGATGTCACGATCTAACATCTCCGTTCTGCATTTCACGTTATGGTAGAAAAAGAGAGTGTTGAGGAGGGCGTAGCCGTTTCTACGCCACATGCCCGCATGGACCTGGGCGATCATCACCTGAGCCCGCAGCACTGGTTCCATTATTTGGACTGGGGTCGGTTTCGGTACCTGCAATAGAAATATTGTTAAAGAATGTAAGCGATTAAGGCCGATCGCACGAGGTACGGGTAAAAAGTGGCTGAAGCGAAGACACTACAAGGAATGCCTTTATAATCCGCCAGTCGCCCCAATCACCGCGGGAGTCATCTGCATTATAGAAGGGAAGCCGGCGATACGATAAAAACTAGTAAAATATTACGTATTTAACATATATCAGTACGTGATGTAATCAAAACGTTGCGGTCGGATCTTGTACTATAACTGACAACCAGTTCTATCTTAGTTTGGCGCGTCTGTCATAGAAGGCTCGACATTCTGCCAAAAATCGGGTGTTTCGTTCACAGGTGACGCTGCGTGTACCAAGGCGGTGCTGCCAACAACAAAAATGTTTAAAAAACGTTACATTTATACTGAGCTGAATGGAGTTATTTCCTTCCACGGTTTTTGATGCTTACGTCAAAAAGTAGAAATAAGCAATTTGACGTTAATCATTGATTTTCAAGCTGACGTACCTCTTTTGTTACTAAACTAAATCAAGTAAAACTGCCTGCAGGGTCCTAAACATTAAATAGGTATGTGATAACTTACAGTTTTTGAGAATAATTTCCGTTCACATGACGTGCAGAGCACTCGCAAAAAGTGTGATTTATAACTGTATTGAATGAAAAATATATTTCGTAGGCTGCAAATGGATGATAAATATCCACAACAAGAATAAATGTACAGACAAAAGAAATTTGAACGGAAAACGATACGTGATGGACAAAGGAATTCATCAAAAAAGATTATCGGCGACACCACATTTATCTCTAATCATAAGAACATCACGTATTTAGAGACGCCATCAGCTGTTTTGTAGACGCCTTCTCTTACCTCTAATTCATTCGCCTTGTCTAACCGTCTGCTCTTGATATAACTCTTATTTGGAACAGGGTTTCCATTGACCCAAGTATGGAAATTAGGGCAAATGTCAAAGCAAGGACTTTTGTCAACGCAATCATTAGAACTTTATAAACTCACCCCACTCTCGGAATGTCCGGGTGGAGGGTGGACTCGAGGGAACAATATCGAAGATAAAATTTGTTTCGGGAACATCTGCGGGATTATCAGTAACATTGATGCTGTTCATCACTACCTGCAATCCAATTGTCCCGCCATGATTTTCTTGGCGGAGACAAAAATCTCAGAGTCTGCACCGATTAACCATCTTAGCTTCCCAAATTATGAGGTGCACTCCAATCTGAGAAAAAACGGGGAGTTGTGGCCTTTCTCCGCCGCAGTCTTTCCTGCTTCAGAGAGGTGTATCTGGAATCAGATCGAAAGGACATTCTTTGGTTTCGCCTCAACTCCAAGACTTCTCCCAAATTTATTTGCTGCCTTTATCGCTCTCCCTCGAACCATAACTGGGATGACCTACTTGAATACCTCGCCGTCAAGATCGATTTCCTGAACATCAATCACCCCGCTTTGGAGGTAGTTCTCCTCGGTGATTTCAACGCCCATGAGCTTTGGTTGGGCTCAAACAAGACCAATGCAGCAGGTCGTGCAGTAGAAGCGTTCGCTCTTACTCAAGGGCTGACCCAGCTGGTGACGAGCCCTTCCTTTTTTTCCCCCGCGTCTCGTCACATGCCAGTGTTTTGCTGGATCTCTTTCTGAGCACGCATCCTATCCCTTACAGCACACCTGTCCTGTCCCCCCTAGGTAACTCAGACCTCGGTGTTGTGGAGGTTAGGTCTCGGTCAGAGTCCGCTGTGACAAGAGAAACTTGCACAGGCCGCAAAACTTGGCATTACGGACATGCCGACTGGGAAAGGGTCAGAGATTTCTTCTCTATCTTTCCTTGGAGAGATGTCTATTTCACTGACGCGGATGCGTCGGATGTCTGTTCTTCGATAACCGAAATTATCTACGTCGGAATACAAACATCGCTCATACAGTGAAAGTGCCTAAACCAGGGGCTGGTTTAACAAATCATGTGTCACTGCTCGCCAGCAGAAGATCAAGGTACACAGAATCTTCTCACAAAACCCTACTGTATAGAACAGACAAGCCGACATCGAGTCCGGAAACAATGGCAGTCGGTCTTTCTGGACGCTGGCCAAGCAGATTGAAAAGAGGTTCTCACACAGTAGCCTTCCACCATTTACGTGTTAGGATGGAACGATTGTATCCGACTCAAAGGCAAAATCGGAAGTGCTTGCCAAGATCTTTGCAGCCAACTCCACCATGGACGTCCCCCCAACGCCCAAGTGCCGTCAATTCAAAGGATTCCCTACACTATGCGGGAGGTAACAGTCAGACGTAATACCGTAAGACGAGTGCTCTTATTGCTCGACATCATCAAAGCTTCTGGTCCCGACTTGATTCCTGCCATTGAACCGAAGAAGTGTGCAGCGGAACTTGCTTAAGTTCTTTCGTGTCTTTTCCAGATATCTTACGAATCCGGCACCTTCCCAGAAAACAGGACATATGCTCGTCCAACCCATCCCAAAAAACGGATCTAAGACCCTTACAACTACAGGCCTATAGCTCTGCTTTCTGATATGAGTAAGATGATGGAGAGGTGCATAAATCGCGAGCTTCTGGACTACCTCGAACGTCACAGCTTGAATAGCGTCAGGCAGTATGGTTCGAGCGATCCACACGCGACCTCCTAGCTTACGTCACGCAATTGTGGAGTAGACATCCAGTCTTATGATGAGGCTCATGTCGTTGCTCTTGACATCACGAAAGCGTTCGATGAGCTGTGACACGCTGCCCTCTTAAGCAAACTTCGATCCTATGGCTTCCCAGAAAAGCTTTGCAGATGGGTCGCGGACTTTATCTCTGGCCGCAAGATATGCGTTGTAATTGACGGGTTGTCCTCTTCATCCCACAACGTCAACGTGGGTGTTTCCAAGAGATCGGTCTTTGCTCCGACACTGTTCCTCTTACATATCAACGACCTACTTTCCTACACGATCAACCCAAGCCACAGCTTCGCTGATGACAGCACTCTACAAGCAGCAATTCATAGTGACAAGCCGATCTCTGCCGCTGAGCTGGAAAAAAGAAGACTAGCGACGACTTCCTCTCTGACAAGAGACCTGGAGGTTATCGCTGTTTGGGGACGCAACAACTTGTACAGTTTAATGCTTCCAAAACACAGTACTGTACCTTGACGAACAAAAAGCGTCCTAGCGCTCATTCGGTTTCGATTGATGGCCGAGTTCTGCCAAAGAGTCATTCATGTCGGCTGGTCGGAGTCCAGATCACCGAGGACCTGATCTGGCACGAACACATCTCGCCAATAGCGGCAGCTGCAGGGAAAAATCTATGTTATTTGTTTAGGGCTAAGAAGTACTTTTCTCCACATAATCTCACAAAGCCCAGATACGGCCTAGCCTCGAGCATTGCTCACACGTTGGGGGTGTTGCCGCCCCGACTACATTACTTATGCTCGATACTGCCCAGAAGAGGGCTCTCCGAATGATCGATAACTCTTCTCTAACAGACGGTTTCGGGACCCTTTCGCACCGGCGGGCCGTCGGCGATCTACCTCTCTTTTACCGCTACACCAACCGGCTTTGCTCCTCAGAGCTCTCTTCCATGATGCCGCCGCGCGATGTGCCTGTCAGACAGACCCGTCTGAGTTTGGCCTCCCATCCAACCATGTCGAACTTTTTACATACAGAACTGAACGATACGACCGCTCCTTTGTCCCGAGGGTGTCGGGATTGTGGAACAATCTACAAGAGGAAGCTGTTCCCAGTTCTACTAACCTTAGGCAATTCATACATGCGGCTTCCGGTTGAGGAAAACGTATTTAATCGCCGACAAACATAACGAGCGAACCGGGAACTGTAATCAAAACGATCTCACCATCTTCAAGCAGATACTTCGCCAACTATATGTCTAAACAGCCTATTCTCTCTCCAACCCACCTCTCTCTCTCTCTCTCTCTTTTTCTACCTCCCCCCTTCCCCCCTCGTTTCCCCACTCTCTGTCTCTCTTGGCAATATTCTTTCGCTTTTGTTGTGTCGTAATAAAACTATTTATTTCATTCGAAAACATCCAGACTTCTGAACTCAATTTACTTACAAGATTACCTCTGCATAAAGTGAAAATGTACCTTGCTGTTGGCAACTTGGCACTCTAGTATCTCAAATAAATGTGAAAAGCTTGATACGCGAAATATGGCTTTACATTAAGTAAAAATTTATTTAGTTGATGGAATAAATCTTCTGTGTATGGTAATACAACGAAATATTTCAGAGTTATAACTACATGTCATTTTTCCAAACATTTCTTATCATCCGAAAACACATCTGTTCATATTCAGAATAATTGACGGCTACCTAAAATTCCTTAATGATTAATATGGATAGGACATATAATAGTGGCCACTGTCCCCAAATACAGCAATTACCATTAGGTTTTCTTTTTGAAATAAAATGTGAAAACTGTGCCATTTCTTCATAGACATACACATACCACATGTTGTAGTTGCAGGCATAATTATCCTAAAGTTACTATAAATACACTGTTGTTAAATGTAACTTTATTATAGGTAAGTCTTGACCAAACTGGAGTACTGCAACAGAAATCTAATGTGAGATTGACTTTCGAAGCGCTAGATTTAAGAAACGCGGCACAACCGGAAATTAAAAAACTCTTCACTTTCGAATAACATTGACGTTTGTCATTACTCACCTGAAATTCGGGACTATCAAAATGCAACCCATACTTTTCCAGGTACAGATGCAAGGCAGCAAGGAACCTAGTCAACGGCAGATGCACCGATACCGGCTTCGTCGATACGTCATACGGAAGACAAGCTGTCACATGGTCTGCTAACTCTCTCACTTCACCGGCTTCGTTGGGATCGTAGCACGGGTTCCCTTCCAGCTTCTTCAAGACCGAACGGTACGCTTTCACCAGTACCACTTTGTCACTACCGCACCATTCGATTGCCAGCGAGATGCAGTAGGCTAATTTGACGTGAAGGTTAAAGCCGGATTCCCACTCCGGTTCGTATTCCATGTGCTGACCTACTTGACGGGTTACAGAGTCCATACCTAAAAAATGAGAGAGCTTCGCTAGTGTGGAATAACAATGCGTTGGACACTTTTAGTTTACTCATTTGGTGTTGGAAAAGAAGTTGGAAGAAAGTTGTGGACAAGATCTGGAAAAAATAAAGGTGAAACCATCTATGAGTAAAAAATACACACGTCCTGCTTTCGTCCGTCCGACCAAAGACAGCCAACCATGGACAGCTGTTTCATGCTTTTTGGCTACTCCATAGCATGGTCTAGGCTTGGGTCTCTCAGACAACAAACAAAAGTGTGACGTCTATCGAAATAAGACAAGGCGAAGTACCATTTATCACTAGAATCAACAAATTCGAACGGTGATGGCGTGGAGGAAACCACAGTTTCCTGGTACCTCTAAAAGACACAGTTTTCTTTGAAGTAGACAGACAAGGTCGTCCACCACATAGGTGTCTCATCGTCGCTCAGGGAAGTACTGAGTACTCACCATGCTACCAAAATTGTCGTAATATAGAATGCTGCATAAACTAAATAAAAACTGAATAACCTGTACACAAAAGTTTAATGTGACAAGACGAAGAACTGGAGCCCATTAGGTCACATGAAAACATTGAGGCAGTGAGAGCTTCAATGTTGCGATCACCACGGCGTTCTGCGCGAAAACATGCGTCTGCCCTTGGACTTTCCGATCGTTCTGTGAGGAGAATTCTTCATGATGATCTTCATTTCCATCCTTTCAGAATGGCAAGTGCGCAGACATTTTCTGAACGTGACATCAATTCTCGGATGAACGCGTGTGAGCGTCTTCTCGAAGTCGTTCCCGAGGACGCTATAGCGCTTTTAGTGATAAAGCCCATGTTCATTCGTGAGGATCCGTCAACAAACAAAAAATGCACTACTGGGCGGACACCAATCCTCGACAATTACATCAAGGTCCGATATGTTACAGGCATTTTTTTCTACGGCTAGATGAGTTGAACTTAGGGGTCATTTGGTTCCTACAAGATGGTGCAACGGCACCCACTTCAAGAGCATTGATCGCTGTTCCGAGGGAACACTTCCCAGAGTGCCTCATCTCAATTAGGGGCGATTTGAAGTGGCCGGCCCGCTCTCCCGATTTGGCCCATTGTTTATGTGAACCGTCCAAGGACCCTACAAGATTTGAAGAACATCCAGGAAGAAACTGCCAGCATAGCGGCTGCTATACTGGTAAAACAATCGCCAGAAATCGATTTTATCTTCAAAACTATGTAAAACAAAACTTTAGACATGCGCCTTCATTATAAAAAACAAATACCGATGTTTCGAGTCACAATTTATTTTAATATATTTTTCGCGTCATCCGGCAGCGTCAGTGCGGTGGCCCAGAAACGAAACCTATGTGATGTCACGACCGAACCTCGACGCGCGAGGGCGGTCGATTTAATCACCCAACACAGACAATGTCATAAATTTTAAGTTATCGGACTAGTTCTTTCAGACTTGTCCGAGACCAATTATGCTATTAGATGCAAATGAAACTAGCAGTACTTTCAACTATAGGACCTAATTAGGCATTAGGCAGTGGCGTAGCAAGGGAGGCGGCGGGGGCGGTCCACCTTTTTAGGGGTCACACCTCAACCTAAGAACAATGTACAAACATTAAATCGCTAGCACAGCTGTCTTCTTAGGTGATTCCTCCACAAGCACTAACTCAGCTATATATAAAATTCTGGAATTCCCCCAAAAGCGCACGACGCTGATGTGTGGGATTCCCCGCCCATAGTCGCGATCCTTGGCGTCTCAGTTGAACTCCAGACAAGATCGAAGTCTGTTCAAAACCTAGGTTTTTACTGTGTTTTGTTATTTGTTCAATATTTTAATTATATATATTAAATGATCCATGACGTTTATAAATCATATAAAATGTATTTATTTTGACTTTCGATGAGGTGACACTACCAACTTCCGCACCGGGTGCTACCCAAGGTAGCTACGCCACTTGTAGTAGGTACTTTCACCCTTACCCTGCATCATGGTGAGAAGGCTGAGCATCGACGACAGCCCATGCAGGAAAGTACTCCTTAAATCGTTAGCCCATTTATCCGGTACGGCGCTGAGCAGGTACCTCAAGTCGTACAGCATGTACAACGCCCTTTTGAAGCTCTGCGTAGACGGGCTCCTTTCGAACTCCAACTTTCCCGCCTTGTTGCACTTGCGCGAACATTCTGATATGAGGGTGTTAAGTAGGATGAATAAAACGTCATCCTCAGCAATCAGGTGATGGGCCAGCGTTGGTACTGTGAACAGTTGAACTGCTAGGGAGGAGATTGAGTATGAGTGGTCGTGATCGTCCTTGATGAAGTCCTTCATTATTTGGCCGTAGTTCTTCGTGAAGATCTTTGCTAGCGCTTTCTTGTTATCGTACTCCAAGAGCATACCTACAAAGAAGTGGAATAACAGATTAATCTAATTGCTCTAATTTACTTGAACGATGGAAAGTGGAGCAGACGTACTACAGTTATCAAAAAACTGAGGCACGGAGATTTATTTTTATACAATAACCTCAGTACAATGATAAACGTAAAAGAAAACATAATACATGACTTTCACATGATAAATGTAAGTTTTAAATTGTCGGGTAAAGCCGATTGGAAGCAAAATATGTAGTTTGTTGTGCACGGGCAGATTTTTTTATATAATTTCGATCATATATATAATAGATTATAATAAGCACATTAGAAGCAAGGAGAGTACGGAAAGGATGAGTGGCACTCATACGATTATTTTATTAAACAATTCCCACCAGCTTTCTTGTCTATCTTGTCCCAGTCAGGAAAATATATTTTTTAAATAAACTTTTTATCGCAGACGAAGAGTTTATATTCGTATAGTAATAGTTCATGTTATGCTGATCAAATATTCCAAAGGGCGCAAAGCCCAGAAACATTTTCTGTTGGAGATTCAGGGTGTTAAGGTTTAGATCCTTAGCCTCTATGGGTACTTTACCAAAAATCACGCGTCTTTATTGTAGATTCAACGATAGAATAAAAGTCACGTTAACGCATAAAATATATACAGGGTGTCTCAATGAAAATCGAAAGTAGTTTAATCGAAAAACTATAAAAATATATTCGAAAACTATACTAAGTGACATATAAATTCGAACACCCAGTTTAAATGGTTTTTTTAATAAAATTTTGTATAAGTACTTAATGAAGCATAATAAGTAAATGATAAAAATTTCAAAATGATTGCACTGCTTTAAAGCCCTTTGACCTTTAATAATGTGTGGATGCACCCTGATGTGCTACGCATTCTCCAACGCGCCTAGGCATGCTTCTGATCAGGTGGTCAATGTCCTCCTGTGGTATCTCATTCCAGGCAACCACCAACTCCTCTCGAAGTGCTTCTAGAGTCTGAGGAGGACGTTGCAAATTGAGCAATCTCCTACCCATCATATCCCACACGTGCTCAATTGGGGATAAGTCGGGAGATCTTGGTGGCCATGGTAACAATGTGACATCATTATATTGAAAGAAGTCCTTTATGACTCTTGCAACATGTGGTCGGGCATTATCTTGTTGGAAACTTGAATCTGCCAGGGTGTCAAGATAGGGTAAAAGACGGGGTTCTAGAACTTCGTGGATATAACGCTGCGCGTTCATGTTACCTCTGATGAAGATTAAAGGTAACCTGGAACCATAAGCTATAGCACCCCAAACCATAACTCCAACAGTGTGATGAACATGTCTTTCAACAAAAAACTGTGGATTCCTCCTTTCACCACGTCGCCTTCTAACCCTGGCACGACCATCGTGCATGCCTAAACAAAATCGAGACTCGTCACTAAAGACAATACTGTTCCATTCCTGAGCCCAGAGTGACCGTTGTCTGCACCACTCAAAGCGATTACGTCGGTGTTCTCGAGTTAAAGGGAGGACCCAGTGTGGCCGGTATGAAAACAAGCCAAAACTTCTCATTCATCGCTAAACACTTCGCATGCCAATAGGTCTTCCGTGTTCTGCAAACCATTCATTTGCAATGGACCTGGTAGTGGAGAAACGGTCCCTTAAGGCCAATAATCTTAGGCGGCGATCTTCACGGTCTGTTGTTCTACGGCGGCGTCCAGTGCCCCTTGCTCTTTGCGTACGGCCTTCTCGAAGCCATGCCTGACAACACCTAACCACAGTGTCTACACTTCTTTGCACTCTAACTGCAATTGCCCGAAAAGAAAGTCCAGCTTCCCGAAGTCCCACTAAACGGCCCCTATCAAACTCACAAAGATGACGAAATCGTACAGGTGTCCGTACTCTAGGCATCATGACCGATCGTAAAGGATGTCAAGAACCAAAATCCGCCAACGTTGATTCTTTACTGCGGCTGAAATATTCATTTTTAGAGCATTAGTAAATTAAAAAAAAGCAGTATAAAAACCGGAATGTCCAACTGATAAGGCTGACAATTTTTTCACTTGTTATTTACAGTAAGATAAATACATTTACCAACTTTTATTAAAATAAAACCATTTAAACTGGGTGTTCGGATTTATATGTCACTTAGTATATTTGCACAGCAAGATTGACATAGGTGTGTATTTCTAAATTATTTGGATATACAGGGTGTTTGGTGCATCGTTTGCCAAATTGAAATGGCGGACAGGGGAGGTCTGTTTCTGTCACCCCATGTCCCTCAAACAGTTTTTAGCCCAACGGCATTAATTATGTAGATTTTTTAATTTTTTTAGTATAATATAATACACAACGTGAAATAAAAAAAAATAAAGAGTATGTCCACCTAATGATTAATTTATCTTAATGAGTGATGTTGTACCAATCTTACAAAATCAACATGACTTGCCAGCAGCATGTAGTTTTTTATTTATAAACGCACAAAGGGTTACAAAGAAGAACAAAAAAATCTAAGTCTCAATTTTGAATTTCTGCAAAAAAAACTAAAAGCGTTCACGTTCTTAGAATTCTTTTAAAAACTACTTTAGTTTATCCCGATTCTAATGATATGCCACAAGTCACAAAAAAGTTGAAACAATTTCTTGATTTTGCAAATTTTGTGTACAGGGTCAAATTTTTTCGGTCGTATGATAACAATGAATTTTTGTTTCTGTTGTGTAATTTACACGTACAACGTAACTCAGGTAAACACTTTTGTCTCCCTCGTACACAGCGGAGCAGTATCATCTGTCTCTCTCTTTTACTAGTTGAGCGGCTAACCGACAGGGACGACGTGGATCTATTTGTCCATCGAGGTTCGTCCCTGCTGGCTGCGTGACGCTTTTGTTACTTCTACGTAGTGCCGCGACCTGTGACTGTTGTTGTTTTGTCAGTTTTCGTTGAGTTCTGTTTTGACGATTGCTGCATTTACATTGTTGGTGTACGGACAAGCCAACTGTGTTGCACGAGCAGCGCAAAGAATCTACGAAGAGCGCTATCCTAACAGGCGTGTACCTACTCGCCACACATTCTAAAACACTTATCGATGCTTAAGAGAAACCGGTACTGTGAACAATAATGTACCAAGAGGTGTCGTAGTGCGACACAATGTTGACATCGATGAGAGGATTTTGGCACTTGTCGAGGAAGATCCTACTCAAAGCATCACTGGGAATTTCAATTTGGAAATTGTGGAAATTACTTCGCCAGAATAATAAACATACCTTCCACTACACTCCTGTACAAGGTACGTAATTTTTTTATCACACAACTGTCTGCAATGGAAACTTCTTATCGCTTATATTTAGCATGTAGCGGCGGCAGACTAATGTTACCCTTATTTTTTTTTTTATTGCAGGTCTTGAAAACGTGGACGATCCGGACTTTTTGACAAGTATTCTGTGGACGGACGAGTCCAAATTCACCAAGGAAGGGATTCTAAATTTGCACAATCTGCACCATTGGGCTTCAAAAGATCAGAAACCAAGAGTGAAGAGGCCAAGCTCTTTTCAGAGAAGATTCAGTGTGAATGTTTGGGCAATCATGTGATTGGGCCACATTATTTGCCAGAGGAGTTAATTATCTACATTTTCTGCAAAATTAGTTGCCCGAATTGGTAAATAAGGTGCCAATTTTCAATAGCGACAGACGAATTGTGTTCCAACATGATGGCTGTCCTGCACACTGGAGGCTAATTGTGCGGGAACATCTAAATGATGTTTTTCCGAATGCGTGGATGCCCTGTACGCAAAATTTGCAAATTCAATAAGTTAGTCAAACTTTTTTGTGACTTGTGGCATACCATTAGAATCGGGATAAACTAGAGTAGTTTTTAAAAGAATTCTAAGAGCGTGAACGTTTTTAGTTTTTTACAGAAATTCAAAATTGAGACTTACATTTTTTTTGTTCTTTTTTGTAACCCTTTGTGAGTTTATAAATAAAAAACTACATGCTGCTGGCAAATAATGTTGATTTTGTAAGATTGGTACAACATCACGCATTAAGATAAATTAATCATTAGGTGGACATACTCTTTATTTTTTTTTATTTTCCTTTGTGTATTACATTTTGGAGTTTTTACTAAAAAAAATTAAAAAATCTACATATTTAATTCCGTTGTGCTAAAAACTGTTTGAGGGACCTGGGGTGATAGAAAAAGACCTCATCTGTCCGCCATTTCAATTTGGCAAACGATGCACCAAACACCCTGTATAGTGTTTTCCATCATACAACAAACATTATACGGGATTTTTTGAAAAAACAAGTGTTGCGTTTCGATATTTCAAATTTGCCGCGCATTTTCCCATTTACTTATACTCATAATTTTATAGTGCATAAGTATAAAATAAGGTTGAAGGTGGCTTTATGTTGCAATATACGAGTACCCTGTAAATAAAAATATTAAACATAACCGATATTTAAATCACATGCATATACCCTATTTTGACCGTGTTTTATCATATTTTCATCATCATAGTTACATGGTAGTTTGTGAGAAGGCAGACAAAACTGAAAACCGTGACTGTATGAGCTTACCAGAAATGAGTAGACGTTGCCACTGAGATCTGGCGCTTTTCCACAATGTTGAGTCTCTCTGCATGATTCCTTTAATTATACATGGTTCTAGTGGTTGGGGTTTCAGCGCCACTTCTGCGAATATCTTCCTGAAGCCTTCCCCATTGCCCAAAAACTTCTCCAACCAATTCAACAATTTGGATGCGTATATCTGATGAGCTATGACATGCGCATGATTTACTAACACCTTGAGCGGTTTGTTCCCATGCCGTGATGTGTACCTAGAACAGTTTTATTTCCAAAATAGTCATCATATTCATGACTGTGACTGATGATGTCACCATTCGTACCTGTTTAAGCTCGCAATAGGAGCTGAATCTCAAAACACAAACCTGTAGGCGAACTCTAAATATTCACACCTATTGGCCAGCATGCCTGAACACTCAATATGCGAATAAAGGCACGAGAATTTATCGATCGATTGCTCATTATTATTTTAAGGTGGCGTAAATGAGTGTTGAAAAGAGCTTTTTAGCCTATGTGATCAACCTAAATTCGTGTAAGAATGGTCACATCATAAGAGGCAAATGTGTCGTTAAGGACTTACAATTTCATCTACACAGAATAAATAATATGTAACTACATTCAGTTGGTTGATGTCATAGCAAAGCGCTAGTTGTCTCGTCCGAGAGGCGGTACCATAACCTTTTATCCCGACACTCCTCAGACGCCACCAGGTGTTGGCACAGTGAGGGGCGTGCTTTTGCCGTTGAGGTCTACATTTCCAGCGGATGTTCTGTGATCGGAACTTTCTGAAGGCGACTTCAATTCTCGGCTTGTGAGCGACTTCTGGAAGTCGTTCCTGAGGACGCTATTGTTTTTTTTAATGATGACGCCCACTCACATTTGTGTGGATCCGTCATCGAACAAAACATGCGTTACTGGGCTGACACCACCCTTAAAAATTGCAACAAAGGCAATTGCATTTACCTACAGTCAGTGTGGTGAGCAGTTTCCTCAGTTGGAATTATTGGTCCCTCGTTCTTTGAGGAAAATGAAGTCGCAGAGACAGTGAATTGGGACCAGTATGTAAACATGTTACAGGATTTTTTTTTATTGACTAGATTAGTTAAACTGATCTCCCGATTTGGCCCCTTGTGAATTTTTTGTATGGGTTTTTTTGAAATCCCGTGTTTGTGGAACCGTCCAAGAACCCTACAAGATTTGAAGGCCAAAAGAAATTGCCATCATAACACCTATTCTGGCAAATCATGACAAACGTCAGAAATGTTTACTCTGTGTATGGAGAATGGGGGATGTTTTATCAAGTTTTGAGAAAAAAAAGAAGTTATACTGTGGCACCCTGTATAAATAGATATTTGTACCAAGGTTTACAAAATATGAGATATAAACTGTAAAGTCGAAAGCAACAATAAATTTAAGCGACGTTCTCGAAAATTGAAGCCAGTTTTACTTTACTAAAGAGATTTATGAGTCTTGGTCAGTCCTTCAGCATCTTTAAAAGGCAAATCAATTTAAACCACACTACATGGTTGTCCCTTGCTCCAATTTTCCTGAACATGTGGAGACCATCGTACCAATGCCAGTAGCTGTACATAATAAACAAAATACTAGCAGGACTTTACTAATTTTTCTATTAGATTTTCTCGCATCTTTCTAGTCATTTTAACATTAATACGATTTTACATACCTTTCGATCTCCGCCTTTAAATCTGAACAGTGCTGAAAACTGGAACATTTCACTATCGCTCTACCTTCCCTGTCTATATTCGTGACGTATTCTGTTGAAGTCCTAGCATTGCATTTTAGTACTCTGGTCAGTGTGTTGATAACTTGCTCAAACGTGTGAATCTCGTCATTATATAAAATTGTACAATACGTGTCAATGTCAAAAAAGTTGTCAGATGTTCCACCTAGCCGAATGTCGGCTATTTGTTCTGTACTGAGTAATCTGAAAACGGATACAGATCACAATAAATTATGTGTGATGTATCTCACAGCCTGTGTGGCATATCTTAACATTCCCGAATCCAAAAGCTATTTATATTCCAAGTAATATAATATATATAGTATAATAATAAAAACGATCAGGCTAAGAGGAATGTTTAAATGCAGTAAATGCACCATAAAAATGACCTATTTATATACCCCTACTCAATTCGCTTCCGCTTTACTATACCTTTCCATCTACCTACTATGATATTCCATAAACTCGCCGAATTCCATTTAATAAAGTGAATTCTGATGTAGAGTTTTGAGCTACTGATGAAGCTGTAGCTCAAGATGATGCTTGCTATTCAAAATTAATATAATCGACAGATTAACCTAAATTCTGATGACGTGTATGTGGTATATATGTCCTTTTTGATTCTCCCAAAACTTACAACTTTGTTTTATAAGATGTCAGATGTCGATAGTGTACAGATACTGAATAGCTGCCCTATAAAAATGCACTCACCTGTAAGCATACCACAGCACAGCATCAAACACAATCCTGGTCTTCTCCTGCAACTCCTCTGGCAACCCCTTGTTCTGCTCTTGTTCCTGCACGCCTGCTATGTGGATTTTGCAAAAGGGCGCCTTCTTCCATGCCTCCACATCTCCGCAATCGCAACACCCCCCACCTCCGGAAGTACCCATTTTGTATTTGTGATTACGGTGCTCGGAGTTCTTGAAGCACTCCACGCACAATACGCATGTGCGGTCCATGCCACATTCTCGACAGGAGTAGGTCGGCTCGCCGTATTTAAAAACTCTTCCGCATACCTAGAGTTTAATAAGTTTGTAAGGAATTGGATAATCGTGTTGACACATTTAAATTGTTCTGATGATACTGTAGCTCTAGAAGATATGCTCACTTCGCGATCGAATTTCATACCCCTTTGGACATGACGCCACTCTGTAACAAATGTTCCCCTCGTTGGTATGAAATGCATTGTATTAGATCGTTTTCTTTTGAATATCTACAATATCACATACTGTTTTTTGTGTTATCGATTTTACAAAGGTTGGCAGATCAGTATCAAACCAATACATAGCTTCATCTGGGGTGCCGCAAGCTAGTAACCTTGGTCCTTTGCTATTCTGTATTTTCATTAACGACTTACCAAACGGCATAAATAATTCAGAATGTCTCCTCTATGCTGATGACTTTAAAATATTTAAGCCCATAACATCATCTAAGGATTGACATGAAAGACAGAAGGATTTAGATTTGGTATCCAATTGGTTTCACAAAAATAAGATGTCGTTAAATATCGACAAATGCCATCTTTTAACTTTTACACGTAAAAAACAATACATAAATTTTATATACACGATTGAAAATGTACAGCTAGGCAGAGAAAGCACATGCAAGGATCTTGGCCTCTACTTCCAAACTTAACATTGGTCCTGCATTATGAAAACATTGTGAATAAATCTTATAAACTCCTTGGATTCATAATTAGGCATACAAGACATTTCAAGGATATAAATACAATAATAACTTTGTACAACACTCTAGTGAAATAGTGAAACGATTGAGAGAGTGCAAAAGAGATTTCTCAGATATTTGTATTCTAAAAAACATAATATATATCCTTTTATGATCTCATATAAGAATATGTTGAATGAATTTAAAATGGTCAAATTAAGCTATAGGCGACGTTTGAGTGATGTTTTATTCCTCTACAATCTCACTAACAACCTAAAGTATGAGAAATGTGATTTATATAAATATTTATTATTTGTAGTTCCTAAAGTTAAACTAAGAATAACAAAAAAACAAATTGTTCCAGTGTCAAAAGTTAAGTAGCTCTCCTATAAATAGGATGATGTACGAATGCAACATTCTTATGCAACAGTGTGATTGAGACCTTTTTTGTACATCAGTAGGACAAATCAAGGCTGTGTTTCTAAACAGCACATTGCCTTGATGCCATTAGTATTATATATTTTGTATATTATAGATATTTTATCTCTGTTTTGCATTTTAAAATGTTGTTTTTTCTTAATTTTTTAGTAAGGGCTCTTACATTTAAATACATTTGTATGTGTTTGTAGGAGGGTAAATAAATAAATAAATAAATAATTTTAGTATCAGGGAAAACCAAATTTGTTTGACGGCTTGAGTTCAATGTGTACAAGAGGGAATCGCGATAAGTGTGTATGGTATGGTTAATTTTTTGGCCGCGCCATTTAGTATAATAAAAATGATGAAAATTGTAAAATTACTTCAATAAAACGGTTTACCAATGCAAAATACTTTCATTAATATCTACTCATTCAAAAACCATTACACATAACATTTTATACAAAATTATAAATATGTCATAAATATATACAGGGTGGCCCATCCATGAGTGGACGGAATATTATTCATAAACAAAAACATTTTGGGAAAATCTATTTCTGAGACGATATACATGACATTTGAGGGCACATTTCTATAATATTGGCAATTATACAGGGTGTCCCAATTTTGACCTACATATCAAAGTTATGATTTTTCAAATAGAATGCCTCAAATTTTATTGCATATTTGGATAAACCAATTCAAAAGAAGAAGATTGATATAACATACTATGGGGTTTGGGTAATTAGCTACAGAGATGTAAGGTAATTTGTCCAGAAAAACCGTCCACTTCGGCAACCCCTCAATCCGCCATTTTGAAATTCTGGGTGCTGAATTTTGTATCAAAAAAACTTACTCACCTCAGCTTTTATGTTATTTGTTACTTTTTCGAATTTTAATTTTTGCTCATACAGGGTGGTCAAAAACGCAAATTGTAATTTTCTGCAAAAATTTCAAATGTATATTTGTTTGGATTCAGTTTTTTATAAGCTTTTTTTGATACTAGACACATTAGTGTTTTTACGGCTATTTTTTTCGGTCTTTTATGGAACGCCTTAATTCCCTAAAATATCGCATCATCCTTGGAAACAAATAAATTGTTGATTAGTTACAAACTGTCAAAATTAGCTTTGCGAGCATTATAGTAAAAACGTGTTTGAAAATGAATTTTTCTAAAGAAGAAATGGTGAATATGGTGTTCGTTTTGGGCGAAGGCTAAAGAAATAGTTTCCTAGCATCTCGCATTTATAAGCAGCGGTACCCTAATATGCGACATCCAAGGCCGGTAACATTTTCCACAATACGAGAACGTTTTGAATCAAGTGGAGCAGTGGAATATAGTAAAAAATGTATAGATAATCCAAGTGTCATCAATGAGGCGAATCAGTTGGAGGTTTTATTAAAGTTGCAGAAAAATCCACATTTAAGTGCACGTCAAATTGGAGCATAAACTGATATATGCAGAACTTCTGTCCAGAAGATTATTCACAAGTATAGGTACCATCCATATGCTTGCATCAATGCCTTCGTCTTCAGGAAGTCACTACTTTCCTGGATAAGGTTCTTTTTAGCGATGAGGCAACTTTTAACAGCATAGGTGTTGTCAACAGGCCGGGAGGAGTTATTGGTAGACAAGTTATTCGGCCTTTCTTTTTCGACAACAGATTAACAGGTACAGAATACTTGAATTTTTTGATCGAGCATTTGCCTCTGCCTTTGGAGGATGTCAACCTGCAAACTCGGATGCATATGTACTTCCAACATGACGGCGCACCTGCGCATTATCATAATTGTGTGCGTAACTATTCGGACCCTGGAGTAACAATCGTTGGATCGGTCGTGATGGGCCTATATCTTGGCCTTCTAGATCAGGTTCCAAGGATAATGCGATATTTTAGGGAATTAAGCCGTAAAAACCCTTTTGTGTCTGGTATAAAAAAAAAGCTTATAAAAAATTGAATCCAAACTTGCACAAATATACAGGGTGATGCATTTGAAATTTTTGAGAAAAAGTACAATTCGCGTTTTTGACCACCCTGTATGACCAAAAATGAAAATTCGAATAAGTAACAAATAAGATAGAAGCTGAGGTGTATAGGTTTTTTTTGATACAAAATTCAGTACTCCAAATTTCAAAATGGCGTACTGAGAGGTTGCCGAGGTGGACGGTTTTTCTGAACAAAACACCTTACATCTCAATAGCTAATTACCAAAACCCCATAGTATGTTATATCAATCTTCTTCTTTTGAATTTTTTTATCCAAATATGCAATAAAATTTGAGGCATTCCATTTAAAAAATCACAACTTTGATATGCATGTCAAAATTGGGACACCCTGTATAATTGCCAATACTCGTATTTTAGAAATGTGCCCTCAAATGTCATGTATAACATGCCATAACTAGATTTTCCCAAAATAGATTTGTTTATGCAATCTGCCGCGTTGCCAATATGTTACACCGCAAAATGTTCGCACAGGCTGCTACAATAGGTTAGGGTACTGTCAAACCCAAGGAGGTTTGTTCGAACATTTAATTTAATATCTTGTTTTCGTATTGATTAGAATAATTTATTTATTTCAATTATGATGCAACTTAATAAAGTAGTGATAAAATCAATACATCCTGAGTTATGAAAACGCAATACAAATTATCACTGCCTGCGTGTACGCAGGTGAAAGCCATGTCGAAGCAGGACGACACACCCCTAGGAGAGCTAGATGGGTACTGAACAAAATCGCTCAACTATGATCATGGAGATGGACACCTTGCCTTGGAATGTACAAGATACGGTGTTGTCAAACGAACCACTGATGCAATGTTGCAGAATTTGTTGGGATCCTGACCTTTCATTTTAACCTGACTGCCGTTAGGACCGATCCAAAATCAAACCTTAACAGATTCGACACAATTCAAAATTGAGTTCGCTAAAAATAAAATCATTATTTGGGCGTAAATTCAAGGAACTGGTATAACATATTGGCAACGCGGCAATAATCGACGTGGCAATAAGCTACACTATCCAGCCGGCTTCTATCTCTTTCTAAAATATGAGCCTATACACCCTTCTCTCGCATACACATTGAATTCGAGCCATCAGACAAATTTGTTTTTTAGAGCTCCAAATAAAGAAACTTATTGGGAAGTAAATTGTTATCAAATAATACATTTGTGACATATATTAATTTGTTGTATTAACTTTTTATACAAAAAAAGTATGGAAAACAGGATATATGACATATTTATAATTTTGTATAAAATCTTATACGAGGGATGTCTTTTAAGTTTTGCATATAGACACATAGTAGGCCGCGCGGATCGAACGTCAGTACTGAATCTTAACCTCACTCTTTAGTAAACTTAAATTCAAAGTTTCACAACAATACGTCCAGTGTTCTCACTACAGTGAATTTTTAAGTGTCACCAAGTCATTAGAAAAATGGAACTCAACCCAGAACATTTTCGCGCCATAATTTATTACAACTCTCAGAGACAATTATCGCAACAAGAATGCCTTGCTGAGTTACTGTCTGTTTACGGAAACAAAGCGCCACATCAGTCGACAATTTCCCGTTGGTATGGAGAATTCAAACGTGGACGGGTGAGTCTTAGTGACGATCCCAGGGTGGGTGCACCAAAAACGGCAGTCACCCAGGAAAACGTCGATGCTGTACGTAAACTCAACATTGAAGATAGACATGTGACATATCGCGATTGAGGCGTCCTTGAAGATCTCAAAGACCTCAATTCAAAAAATTTTACATGAAGAATTAAGAGTCGGAAAATTAGTTTCTCGTTGGATGAAGAGCAGAAAGCAGCCAGGGTTAATTGGTGTCAAAAATCGCTTGACCGTTTCAATTCCGGAAACTCAAAAAATGTGAACAGCATTATTACTTGTGATGAATCGTGGATTTACTGTTATGAACCAGAAAATAAACGACAGTCGGCTGTTTGGGTGTTCCAAGGTGAAGAAAAGCCAACAAAAGTCATCGTCCTAGAAGTGTTTCGAAAAAGATGGTCGCGACATTTGTGTCAAAAGCGGGTCATATTGCAACAATTCCTCTTAATGAGCAAAGAACTGTTACTGCGGATTGGTATACCACCATTTGTTTGCCAAAAGTCATCACCGAGATTCGGAAAATCAACCCCGAAAGAAGAATCATGCTCCACCAAGAGAATGCAAGCTCGCACACAGCCCAAAAAACAAGGCAGTATTTAACGGAAGAAAACGTGGAATTATTGGACCATCCTCCATATAGTCCCGATCTAAGTCCTAACGATTTCTTTACTTTCCCGATTAAAAACAGTCTGCGGGGTCAAAGGTTCCAGTTACCAGAAGAAGCAGTTGACGCATTTAAAAATGCCGTTTTAGATCTGCCAGCAAACGAGTGGAATAAGTGCTTCGAAAATTGGTTCGAGCGCATGCAGATGTGTATTAATCTTCGTGGAGAATACTTAGAAAAACAATAAAGTCATTTAAAACTACCTACCGTGTTTTTTTATTTGCATATGCAAAACTTAAAAGACATCCCTCGTATGTAAATGTTTTTTCTTTTTTTATGGTAGGTGTTAATAAAAGTACTTTGTATTGGTAAACAGTTTTATTGAGTTTATTTTACAATGATCAGCATTTTTATTTTCCCAATTCTGAACTTTTCTTTTATATCTCTAATATCCGAATTTTAAAATACATTTTATATATAAAAAAATATGATTGACATCTACACTTTGACTGGCGTCGCTAAATCCATTAACCATATTAAATAATTTTTGGTCAATTTTAATGACCTTGCGTTAAAATTGTCGGAAGTGTAGTTGATTTCATTGTGTTTAAACTCTTAAATTTGTATTGCTGATAACACTTCAGAAACCACTGTTCACAAACCTCTTTGGAAAACTGAAGAAACGGAAATTCGAAACACCTTTGCTTTCCTTGTTGTTGTTGATTGAACAACCCAGTACACAATAGTCGAATATTTTATTCACCGTTTATAAAGTATTCTTCACACAGAGACTTATTTGAAACACATCAGATAAACTAACGAACCCACTCACAAATTACACGCTAAAGCGCCATATAAAAATGTACGTTTGTCAACCGTCTCTGGGGATTTTTGTCATCAAGTGACGCCACGCGTGCGAAACAGATAGACTGATGATATCCGCGTGGGTTTATCGCCTCAAGTAATAGTATCATGATTTGATGTATACATATGACACATTACTGTGGTTCGTGTTATATAAATTGGGAACGTATAGTATACCTATTCAAAGCATAGCGCCATGTCAGATCAAACACGAAATCAACAAATTCTCCCAAAAGAAAGGATACGCAACAATACGCGGATAAAAGTGCAAGTGTGTATTTTGACGTGGCGTAAGTACGTCGTGAATAAGGTTTAATGTATTAAGCGTGATAATATGAAAGCTTCTTTGAGAAACCAGGTATCGATCGCAAGTGGCGACATTGTTAAACAATTTAAGCTTGTGGGACGCCGACAATTACACGTTGGCAGTTGGTGTATCACAAGCGTTTTTTACATGGTACTAATACCTGGCATCCAATAGCAAGAAACAGTTACTGGCACATTATAGTAAACCATCACATTTTTTTTTAAACGTTGACTTCTAGCCACCATGAAAGCTGTGAACATTTTTTATGACTATTTAACTCACGACTTCGAGCTTCCATCCCAAAAACTGTATTTACTCTATATTAATGAAACTTCAAATCCTTGTATCTGTCATCAAACATTAAGAATAATGGACGAGACTGTACGCCTCTACTGAACATGTTGCAAAAATTTTTTTTTATTAAGATTTTGAGTGATTTGACTTAAAAAACTGATACCAGGAACTCTTCAATGTCCCAGTTTTCTAAATCTTAAGCAATAGCATATTTAAGGATCGCGGATTCACCTACGACAGCTGAAAATTACAGATTTGAAAACCGTCAGTAAGAAGATATATTCGGAAAATATACTTACTGATGGTGCTCTGTCCATCTCACAAAGTTGCTTAAGCACCACACTCGGATCTCCATTACATATAAACTCATCAAGAGTATTGAATAGCACCTCCTGGGCTAACTCTTCATTAAAATTCCAATTCAAACAGCTTTCATTGACAGTTGGGCTGTAGATCTTTGGCACCCAATGGCGCCACAGCTCTTCAAAATGGACTGTCGTCAGACAGCCCTTCTTGAAGCGTTCTGACCACCTCTGTACTACCCTTTTGGTGAAGTCCTTTATATTAGACAAGTTATGCTCATCATACTCCATGTCCTCTGCTGCCATATCCACGTCGTTTCCATCCATAATAACATCAACCCTATGCGAAAAAAAAATACAGTTCAATAGTGAGTTAACCTTGGATTGCATTGTTGGAAGAGTGAAGAATAAGTATTGGGTTTCACACATATGTTCTGAACACCATTTAATGTCTGAAAAATGAGGAAGATCTGGCTCTCCCAACCCAACAGACTTTGCAATAACATAAAAACCATCAATTTCTATTGAAGTTCATACCTCTGCTAATATATTTCCGGCAAACTCCAAATTGGGTCTATCTAAATGTTCATTAATTGAAAATAAATGAGACTCAAAATGGTTGAGAGGCAATTTGGAACCAGCCAGTTCTCGACAAAGAGAAGCATTCTGCGCTCTACTCGGTTTCATACGCATTTCTACCAGGAATAATTGTAGCCAAGGTTCTAAGTGAGTAAGCATATCCATATATGGGAAATCCCGGAAGATGCGTCTCGCTTTCAAGCATACACAAGCAGGGTTGCCACATATGTGTTCAAATCAAAATCGACTAAATTTTGTAGGAAATACGAAAAAATGAAAAACAAATGTTGCTGAAATAATCACCATCCAGACCCCCATGTCATCAAAAACAAGCAAACTAAGGAGGGGGGCCTCCCTTTAGTGCTTATTCAGGTATAATACTCGAATGGCACCATAGGCTTCTCAGTGTGAGTCGCATCTTGATTTGTTTTGTAGGCATCAAGTTCAACACTGTAAGAAGGTTTTGAAAACTCGAAAAACAACACTGTGTGGAAATACGTTATAATATCTAATTAAAGCACTGACAAAGTCAGTGCAACAGAAAGGATTGTTACAACTAATGAGAATATATGTATATATTGACGTTCTAATTTGTATCAGCCGCAGATACCTATTGGGGTATGGACAATCAAATCCGCCAGTTCGTATATTAGGTCAATATATGTGTCAGTATCAGTCAATCTCTACTTAGAGCTGGTTGAGTAACAAAAAAGAGTTGATTCATGATTTGTTTTCTCTTTGAGAATTATATATATATATATATATATATTTTGCTGGTATGGTGATCATAATATATTATTATTTTAGATCCAAGTTATAACACTATATTATAATAGAAATCTAGTGAGGCTTATCATTTATAAAGATGTTCATTGGGTCATCAGGAATCATCACAAAAAAATGACTGACAAAAAAGTTTTGGTTTAGTAAACTTATCAAGAATCATTGGAAAAATAGGAAATGGCCTCACCAGTTATGGACATTATAAAATAATGGAGGCATTTTAAAAAAATGTTGATTTTTATCCAACAAGATCATGGAGAGTATTGACAATTTTTCTCAGTAAGCCAAATCAGCCCTCCCTTGTGGGCACTCATAAAAATCTCAAATTATTTATTTATTAAATGTATAAAAGTGAGCAGACAATGTCTGATGTAACTATCCTTAAAATCTCTGTTTAAACAAATTTTCTAATGATGATTTACTGATCACAAATGAAAAATCAGAAACAAACATAAAAACATCCAATTGATAATATTAGGATGCCAATCTGCTTTCTTATTAGTAATCTGCAATATGTGCACATTTTTGCTTAAATTGAATCAGTGAAAGTTGAAGATACTTTCCCCTGACAATGACCATTGAATGTTTATTACCAAGACGAATTAATACAGAATAGCTAGCGAATAATGACATTATATTAAAATAGATGATGATATTATTAAGCACAAAAGAAACGCAATACAGATTTTTTTATATAAATTTCCTTGCCAAGGTTAACATACTAGGTGGGTTTGTGTTAAATTTAATACGACAAATACATGATCTGACGACTATGGAGCGTATCAAATGCTCCTTATGAAATGTGCGTATGCAGTTTGGCAATTTTGCCATTGTCAATAAAATAAAAAGACCATTTTACATCTCCTTACTGTTGGTACTGTGCCAAAAAACAAGTCGGTACGTCCGCACACAGCAATGCATTTGAACAATAAGTTTTCTACAAATTGATTAGTAGCAATGGTAAATGTGTACTTACGTTGAATTTCCAGATAAGTTTGTCACTATTGAAGAAGTCAGGTACCAGAAAATTAAAATGATCTTTCGCAAGCAGCAAAAGCAGCCATTTGATTTTGCTTTGTCTTTGTCAGTCAGTGAACTGTCAAATCTGTCACCGTAACTACCACCACCACGGAGTGAGCAGAACACATTTCCTTATAATCGCGTGATGGGTAAGCATACCAATCTCCGATTCAGCGGAACGAATACCGAAGCAGCATTTTATGGAATGATTATTCGTAAAAGAGAAGCGAACGATGGTATTTGAATTATGTGGTATCGAAACTTATGTTTGTGCACACAATGTGAAAAACACAAAGAGGTAATTCAAAATTTTCATACCTACGGTATGCCGAGCGTTTAACTCGTAAAGCTCTCGAAATATTCTATCATATTTCTATACTGACAAAAAATCAGTTTTTCATAAAAAAGTATTATTTTCCATACTAGCTCCTCAAACACCACATTTTTCTCAATCTGACATAACTACGCAATGGATTGTTCATCCTAACCTCTCATATATCACAAAAACACGTCAAATATAATAAAAATGGAAGAGATAAGTATAGTGTGCCGCATCGGACGTCAATGTTACGGGGTGCTCTTTAATTGATGAGTACGAATAGATCTGCGTACATGTATATAAAGTGCTCGATTCCGTTTTGACTGTAATCTAATATTCATTCATAGTCTGAGAAACAGGAGCAAAACTTGTGTATATAGATACAAATAAAAAAAACTTGGTTAAAAATCTAATTCTTATATTTAACAATTGTTACATTCGTCAAAGATATAAACTTTTACATATAGATTATTTATAAATTATACAATACGATTCAACATGACAGCATATGTTACAGTTTTATATAAGAATGCACCGCAGACGGCAATATCCATTCCGATATCTCATCTGCAAATCGATCATAAATCTGTCTTTCACTTATTATGCAGAAAACTTTCAGATTAACGAGTGGATGATTGCCTTCAGCAATACTCTGTCGGTTACAAACCTAACTGCCGATATGACATGGCCATGTGCGCCTTACATTCATCTGACATAGGTTCGTTCTCATCCGGTAAAGGTTTCAATATCTCTTCAATCCACTTGAACAACCCCTGAATTTCCTCTTTCACCAACTCATGTCCGGCATCTTTTAATGTGATGAACTCCCCTTTCATACCCCCATCTTTTAAGCTATCGAACGTCTTTTTTGCCCAATCTATTGGCACCTCTTCATCGTTTTGTCCATGGCACATGTACAATGGTACTCTACTCAAACTGTATTCATCCATGTCGTAGACTTTGGAGTCATCGTTGAGGTAAGAGGACAGGGCGAAGACCCCGTCAGGAGTGCTTGACTCGAAGTAATACGCTGTATGAAGAGCTAGAGTTCCTCCCATACCAAACCCACCTGTTGAAAATGAGATAGACATAGTCAAGGCATATGACAAAGGAGAAAACACGATAATGTAATAAGGCGAATACTTTTTAGCATAATACTGCTGAACAAAATCCACATATTCTGTACAATACATCCTAGATGGCTAGATGGAGATCTAGCATCCCATTACCTATATCTAGTAATCATACCTTTGATAAGGAGGTGTCCATCAATTACGTAAGTCGTTTTTTTGACGATTTTCTGACCCCTCCTCCCCCTTTGGCAAGATATCGGGAGATACGACTTACCTACAACAGTTTTATACCATGGCGAAGAAAGACGTGGCACAGAATATGTGATAACTTCGGTGAGAGCTTTCATATGATGTTCCATTTCTTCGAAGCTTTCATCATGTTCTGGAGCATCTGGAGTGGTATTCCACTGGTCAAACCATACACGACTCAACTACGAATATAGAATCATTCAGTTTATTGAATTTCGACTATATGGAAATCTTAACTGAATGTCGATCCTTCGAGTTGATTCAATATCGCCTTGCCGTGCAGCATATTCTCGCCATAATCATTTTGGCTACTGATTCTGACTTCTATATCAAAAGTATCATCAGTATAAATATAGCAATCATATTTATCATGGGTAAGCCGACATCGAAGTTAATTTCGACGGCCGAAGTTCAGTTAAAATCAGACCCCGGGTCTAAAAGGAAAGCAATTTACCTCTCCTTCTAGAGGTGTGTAGGGCATCAATGGAGCAGTAGGAAAATAGAATTCTATATGCGGATATGAAAACTCTCCTATTAGAGATGTTATTCTATCTAAAAGCATTCTGCCAGAACCACCTGTAATTGAAATAAGAAAGGATAATAAATTAACAAGTCATTAATCTATATTTTAGCAATCTTCCTAATTTTTGATTTTTTATCCAGAGTACAAATGTCCAAATGCTCACTTTCACTTCTATCAACTTTTAATCCCTACATCGCTGCATGACCCCACTACAACTACAAGCCATCTCGATAGTGAACGAACGATTCACGGATCAGTATTCGTTAGTTCGGATACTCGTACAACAACTATAGTTCTCCATCTCCGTCGTAGACAGAAAACAAACCAATATCAAAAATCCTGAATCAAATCCAAGCGGATAACCAAAATTTCCGTATTATGTACCGCAGTTATAATATGGTTCAAGATGACACACGGGATGGTGACGTCAGTTACTCGAATCGCTTGAACGCGTTGGTTTTAACCGCGGTTTGTTGCAAGTTGTTTATTTTAGAAAAGCCCGTATATAATTTCTGATTATTTTTATTATCACTTAATAATCGGTGCTTTTTCGTCTACAACGGGGTATGGAAAGTTGAAAAAAAGAAAACTTTCATAATATTAATGGGAGGAATGTTTTTTTTTCCGAAAAAAATTTTTGCTGATGGAACCATGGCTTTGTAGCTATGATAACTTTCAATTCTCTAAGCTTTTCCGCATGTCAAACAAAATATTTATTGATTTAGCAGAAATGATGAAAAAGCGATGAAAAAAGATATTAACAAAATCGTATACAGGTGGACATCATCCAGTGAGTTTATACGGCCATATTTTAATATTCTTGTGGTATATGGCTATACAGGATACTTTTTGTGGAGGAACTAGATTTAAAGTGTCCCCAACAACAGTGATGATTATAAATAATAAGGTGCTCTCTTATGCTAAAACTGAAGTCAGCCTGTATCAAGTTTCCCAAAAATGAAGCTGAAGTACAATAAATATATCCAATACCCGGCAAAATTTTAACTTGTCACATGTCAAATAATAACCAGAAATATAAAACTACTCCGGAGTTGGGTAAATACCACAATTTTGCGGTGATAACTATGACATATAACAGCTGATTCGTGACGTCACGGATCTTATAACCAAACTGATAACCACACTCGCTTGAACGGATCGGTAAATACCAATCCAAAATGGTAAATACCATTTCCATTTGGTTATCCGCTTGAATTTGATTCTGTTCTTTGTATACATATCTACATTTATGTTTATGTCTTTGTCTATGCATATGTTCCGACTTATGCTACTTTCGGAATATTTTATCACTTACACAAATGTTACACATCTTGAAACAAGTAAATGAATGATGTAATCACCTTTTTATTTGAACCAAATCAAAATTTGGTTTATTATCCTTTAAAAAAAATACAACAATGTACATAAAATTTATGTGTAAAATTACCTGCATCATGTAAGAATATAACAGTACCCGTGCAATCAGTGCCAGTGTGTTTAACTACTTCGAATGTATCTATACTCAATGATGGATCCATATTCTGTTATTAAGTAAGCAATAGATAGCGAAAGCAAAAAGTAAATTAATACAAAAACAGTTACTCAAAACAACAAACCAGAACGATCAAACCACGTAAAATAGATGAAAATAAATGAGCCTCTCGCCTAACTATCACTAATAGTCTGGTGGCATGATAGCATGATACTATGACTCGAGTCATAGTTTCATGTAAGATGGTCTGATGGAATACGTCAATCACTGGTCTATACTATGAGTCATGATCTTGTGATGTCATTTTCATGATAGAGATGCAATTGCTGCTGAAAGAAGTATTCAGAACCGGTCCTAGGGATGGTGCAGTCCTGCTGTAAATTGTTAATGGTTAGCATGGCAGATGATGAACAGTGGTTTGGGTTCTTGGTATTACATTTTTGCTTTTGGCTGAATGGTTAGAACATTAAAATGGCAACAAAACATTTAAAATCTATTTTATTTATTATCTTCATGTATCTCACAGAGGCTTACAAAGATCCATGAATTTATAAGATGTATACAATTTTCAATAGTTTTGCACTTATGTGTATAAACAAGATCTATATAAATATATCGATTTAACATTTAAAAAAAATGTATTCGAACATTTCTATTCCACTTATTTAGTAAATACACAGTGATTCATTTTAATGGACCAACAGTCACTAATTGTAAAAACACTTTAACGCCTTTGAATCATCAAGAAAGTTTTGCTAAGCGACATTTTTCTAAAGTAAATATGTATATTTGAACAAATTTATAAATAGAGTTCATGCACAAGAACTTTAATAGAAATATGATTGCTCCTTTTGCATACTATGACATAATTAGACAAACGATACTCATGGATATCAGTAATCGTTCTCATTAATATACCTAATTGTTTTCAACAAAAACTTTAAGTTGAACATCATAAATATTATTATAATGACTTTCCGCAAGTATTTTTCATGCCTCAAATCTTTTTTAATGGAAAAGGAAAATGAGGTCTAAAGCTGTATGTATTTTTTGTTTGTCCGAAGTGTCTGTTGGTCCTTACGTCAGAGATGTCCAAAGCGGACAATTTGCCTATATGCTGATCTGCAGATTTTCCATTGATAATTATCCAGTCAGACAAAATCGCTTACATCTGCAGGTTGAGCCGGTTTTTATTTCTGTTAAATGTATTGAGCTATAAGTATAGTTAAATTAACCTAACAATTCAGTTGAGATGGAACTTTGATTAGTTTATACATTTATACAAAATAAAAGTCTTATAACACACTTATTTGAATTGCAAACATCAAAGATTCCCACAAAATATACATGAGAAGTACCTTAATCAAATTATATGTATTGATATTATCTAATAAACATTTATATTTCGAGATTTTTCCTTAGCTTATTGAACAAAAGTTGTATTGCAATTAATCTAAAAATAGTTAAAGTTAATAAATAAAATAATGGCTTACTACGGAAATCTATAAAAATAAAAATTAGGGAAAGCAAGTCACTGGCAGAAAAATTTACACATATAATGGAATATAACCAAATCAGATTCACAAAAGGTTCAGATGAGATTGGGGTTGTAAGAAAAAACTTCACCGGATCTAGATGCATTGATTCCAATTTCTTTTAATTGCATGCTCTATGCTTAATTAAAATTTATCTCTCCCATATATATATATATATATATATATATTTTTGAGACGTGGTCATTGTCGCCTAGACCAGTTAGGTGAAAAATTAAAGCTTCCGCCTTTTGTTGGGTACTTCGACAAAATTTAAGCAAGGAGGACTCGTTATACTTTTTTTATTCTCTCTAGCTTTCAATGGACTTTGCCATCATCATCAGGAGCTGCAATTACATTGATAACAGTAGCACCAATAGTGTAAAATGAATTTAAATTAACTTACAGTAGCATGTGAGGATGTTGCTAATTGTTGTTTACGTTCAGGATGAGGGAAACACCCAGTAACATGGTGAAAGCTGGATAAATGGTACAATGGTCAAAATTATATAAAATACACACAGCTGTATGACAAGAACAAATTTTTAATCTGTTTTTAACTTGTTCTTGTCATACAGCTGTGTGTATTTTATATAATTTTGACCATTGTACCATTTATCCAGCTTTCACCATGTTACTGGGTGTTTCCCTCATCCTGAACGTAAACAATAATTAGCAACATCCTCACATACTACTGTAAGTTAATTTAAATTCATTTTACACCATTGTTGCTACTGTTATCAATGTAATTGTAGCTCCTGATGATGATGGCAAAGTCCATTGAAAGCTAGAGAGAATAAAAAAAGTATAAAGAGTCCTCCTTGCTTAAATTTTGTCGAAGTACCCAACAAAAGGCGGAAGCTTTAATTTTTCACCTATATATATATATATAGTCTTTATCCATAAAACTAAGGATACAAATCTAATATATAAAGTAAAGATATCAATACCTTTATTCCTTCTGACAATATGAAATTTGAATCTTTGGTGCTTGGCTGCAATCAACAACATTCGTACTAGATTCAACCTCACTGAGCCATCGGAAGTTGAATGTGACGAACATTTTTTTGAAATTCATTCTTTTAAAAATAAATTTCTGACTTTTCTTCAATTCATCCTCAGGTATTGTAAACTAGATAAATATCTTGTATAATAAATCAGAATATTGTGACACTACGGATAAGTAGGTGATCTACCATTTTTTAAGCCTTCTAAATTTTCCCAATATAAATATGTTTTAACAAACCTCAACGTTGAAATTCCAGAACTAAATTTCTCAAAATCATACTTTTAAAAGTCATTTTTAGGGTTTTTGGACAGACGTAACAACATGGAAAACAGAAATTGCGTAACAAATGATTTGATACTTTAGTAATACGTTTCTTTCTTTGATTATCATTAGATTTATCTATAAAGTTTTGTAAAGAAAATACAATTATTGAATCCAACCTCATCTGTAAAATCTTTCAAACCTGTTCAGATTCAAAAGATCTTACATATGTTAGGAATATGCCTGATTTAGTGATACAAAATATTTAAATAGGCATACATTTGATTCCTTCGCGCAACTTCGTTACAATCAGTCTTAGAACATTTTTTATAGTGTTGCGTATGTTTATTTATAAAAAATAATTTCCTACGTATAGTACTTGTGACGTACACAGCATTCATAAGTATAGTAAGTATCCAAAAAATAGTTTTTTACGTAAACTCTCAGAAATATCTTTGGCATTGTGACAACGCCGCTGAGATTAAGATCTTACATCTTACAAGGTTTTTATCGTATTAACGGTCAATAAAAGTGTCTTCTAAAAGATTAGCAAGCTGAAGTTCGAATTGATGAAGTTAATGCATGTATAATACTAGTTATACTCATATCGTACCGTACAACTGGCAGTTGAAAATGTTACGATGGGGTTCTAGCGCCATCTTGGCATTTTTTTAAATAGAATTGCGGGTCATCAGATGCTTCATTTTGAAGCTCCTTATGAGTACTTAACTGTAGAATATAACATCTGTTTCAAAATGGCGAACTGGCAGATTCTCAAAGTTGAGCGTTTTTGTGCATTTAATCGCTTCAACCCAACAACCATATAATAAAACGCTATACTGAGTACAACGTACAAAAGCGCTCAACCCTGACAACCCATCAAAAAAATCCAGGCTTTCACCTTTAAATTTTCAGCTGTCAATTATTTTACGATAAAATATAGTATTCATACATCAATTGCATCACCCCGAATTCCAGCTTACTACCCTGAGCCGTTGTAAGAATAAGTAGGTGAAGGACTTTTTTTAAAAACCACCAGATCTTATTGACCAAGCATTATTTGCAATTTTTTTGTATTCTATTTAATGAGCTTTCAAATATTAAGATATACATCCACAGTCTGCTCTGGACCAATATGATGCTGCATCTAAGTCAGCGATTTTTTAATTTCACCCCAGACCAACCAATACTTATGTAGATAGTTCACGTGAAAATCTACTTTTCTGGGCAATCAGGTGAAAATCACCCAGTTATAAATCATCAAACAAATATTATTTGGTGAAATTTTATGTGGACATGATATGAAAATCACATACAGAAAAATTCCCATATACTATTTTTAAACACTTTCAGTAACAAGATATGTAACATCTATAAATACAGAGTTTTCATTATTTTACTAATATGAATAGGTAGCTGTCCACTGTCTCATATATGCAATATTTCACAAGAATTGTAGCATCAACTTTTTTCTATATCTTGTTGACTGAACAGATTTTATTACCAGTTTACGATCATTTTCTGGAATATTTCAAGCGTAATCATCCAGGATAAAGGTATTGTTCCGCGCGACGACAGCGACCGGAGACGTGACTGCAACCAAGCGTGAGACCGACCCGTGAGACTAGTGGCATAGGCCTGATGCTTTACCATATGGATGGAAGAAAGTGGCATGAAATTAGCTCCTGAGAAGACAGAAGTGGTTATACTTTGTGGTAAATTCACTTTATTATCTGTTAAGGTTGAGAACGCTAAGATTCGAAGCCAAAATGTGATAAGTACCTGGGTGCATGGTCCGACAAATATATAAAAATGGCAGAATAAAGTAGTACCACTGATAACGCAAATAATGTCGTTATATCCTTGATACGGCTAATACCATCTGATGGAGACCCTGGTAGTGAAAGGTGTACGATTTTGGCAGGGGTAGATGTACGGAGCCTCTATACATACATAACAAGGCCTTGAGGAAAAAATGTAGAGAGCTAATGCTCAAAAACGAGCGAAAAGTAATGCTGCGCGTGATATGCGCTTATAGAACGGTCTCGACCGATGCACTGCCGGTAGTGGCTGGCATCCCGTCAATTGATTTGCTCGCTGAGGAATGGTGCATGCTCTATAGAAAGGGCACCGAAGCTAGAAGCTTCGGAAGGGAGGCGCTTTTTGTCAGATGGCAGGAGAGATGGGATTCAACTGGGCATGATACATCGACTAGAAGGCTGATCCCTTATATTAAAACTTGGATTGACAAGGGAGCGGTGCGAATAGATTACTACACATGTGCAGTAGAACACAGTTTCTCGCGGGACATGGTTGTTCTGACATATTATACCTAAAGAGGGTAGGAAAAAGTGAGTACGTGAACTGCGTATATTGCAATGGACAGAAGAATACTCCTAATCATCTACTTCAATGACGTAGATGGTTTGATACCAGAGACAGCTGAACAAGGTGCAGGAGGACAAAAGTAGGACCGAACAATAGGTTCTTATGCTCGATTGTACATTACATACTGTATAGTTACGATTGTATGTACGATAGAGAGTATATGACTAACACCTATGGTAGGAAAGTCTAGCGCAACGCTACACACTATGAGAAAATGCTGCAAGCATTGCCTTGGTGAGATGTGTAGCGGGCGACTGAGGGGTCGCACTTATGCTAAAATTGTTACCGTCAAGATTCCACTATGAAAATAGTCCAATTTTAAAAATATGTCGAATAATAAGACGCACATGTATTGTATCTCTTATTGTATTGCTTCTTCATATATATATTTTAAATTTGAGGATGAGTATTCCACAGTGACAGATTTCCTATATTAGTGCTATACAACGAGTATCACGTATCGCTCTCATGCCTGGTCGCGGTAGCTGTCTACAGCCGCTGTCGAGGCACCTTTCGAAGCCAACGTTATAAGAAATATACTTACGTTCCCAAATAATAGATCAGGTATTTACTTAGTTATTCATCCAACGATAATATTGATTACATAGTAATTAAGAACATGACATATCTGTAAGGAACATTTCGGCCTGATTTTACTATTGACCTGCGGGAATCAAAACTGAACAAATGAGAAGGCGTCTTTGATGTAACGGACCTAATGAATTTGGTCGATTTCTTGTAAAATGTTTCTTAAACTAGAGAAAAATTATACGATTTGTGTGAGATGAGCTCCTAATTCCCATATTAAATAAAAACATCTTTCATATATCACATGATTCAATTACAAAAGCCTATTTTTCATCGGTGACAGGACACAAAAGTTGACGCAAATTCCACCAATCAAACAGAAGGCTTTACATATACTTAGTCGCAAATTGGACGAATCAGAAAGAGGGATCGAACCTGGTACCAGAAGCCTGATAAAATAGATTGACGTGTCGCTATTACTGAGCGTTTTATTGAAAAGAACAGTGGCTGACTGTTGCTGTACAAAATTCTGCTTAATAAATTCTTTAACGATATAAATAAAATCCCACTGCCCAGTAGAGGGTGTGGGAGCTCCCTGTCAACAGGTTTGAGGAACAGGGTTTTTCGCACATTAGTCAAGTAAATTGAAATTGAAATATTTACTCCGTGTTTGTCAAGCAGTATTTTGTAGACACTGTTATTTTCACTAAATTGTTGTTATATCAAACTATATATTAGACATATCAAATTTGTGTCCATGCTTTGAGTATGGCGCAAATACTTCCTTTTCGTTGGTGCATTTTATGACCATGACCGCTAATTTAGTGTCAGGACGCAAACGAAAAAGTTTGTTTTTGTACTTAAAACAAGTGATTTATGACGTATTTCTTGATATAATATGGGAATTAGGGGCCCATCTTACACAAGCCGTGTAATTATTCTCTAGTTTAAGAGACATTTTACAAGAAATCGGCCATATTCATCCTTCTCATTTGTTGAATTTGTGACCCACACGCTTTTTTGTGCCCCAGCTTAGTAAGAGTGGGTCTGAAATACACATTATAAAAAATATTAAATGAATAAAATAGCATGTAACAAAAGCAGTCCAAAAATAAACTATAATTAAAATTCATAAATAAGTAAAAATAATTATTAAAGCTAATCACATGTTAGAAACAAAGAGGTGTTGTTCGCTAGCTTTATAGTAGCTCTTTAGTATTAAAGTTGTTTTATCCTTTTTTATAGCAATATGGGGAGTTCTTTAGGCTTATACCTTAGACTTGTTTCCGTTATGTGTAACATATGGTACTCTAGAGGTGTTGGAACATTGGTCTGTCATGTTAAATTTCTTTCAGCTAAACGCGTCATTCAAATACTAGAAATCAGTAATAGCATAATATCACCTCTCTAGTGTTACAATTATGGCCTTCATAATGATTTTTTTTTAGTTCATATCAAAGTTCAGTTTATAATATTAATGCTAAAATTCTTGCGCGATGCATATCTTCCGTAACAAAAAGAAAGACAGGCGATTCATTACAGTGCCGATATAATTAATATCAAATTATAACAGAGATACGTTTATACAAAAATACAAAAACGCTATTTAATGTTCTTCCATCCTTATAGATTGTTGGCACAAGTCCCAAATTTTGCTTTAACTATTAATACTGTTAGTTCTGTCTTTATTGTCAGTCACCTTAATTTGACAATATCCTTATATACAATTTAGAATTAGCTTTTGTCCACTAAGCTAAACTACCATGTGTCACTCAAGCGTTAAGCAACAAATCTCAGCATTGGGCATTATTGCAAATAATTGTCATAACACAACCCCTCAGATAGTTTTAAACTCTATACGGGATTTTTTTATCATAATACAATTTTTATATTTTTTTAACTTTTGCACTTTAAACGAAACTAAAATTGACATTTATAATATTTGTACGAAGTTTCTCAACGAAAATACACAGAAGATCAAGATGATTGACTTTATAAATGACATTCACGAACTATGGAAGGTTGAGTCAGGGATATATATATAGTCTGGAATGCAAATAATAGCAGGAAAATCCAATATATCTCTTGAAAAAGCATATAAAAAATTTAGAAGTTGAAGAATGTTCGCAAAATCGGAACAAAGGAAAAAGTGTAAAAGCAGCAACGTGTGCGGCAAATCAAAATGTTTTGGTTTTGTAACCACCTCATTTGTCCTCACTCAAGATACTCAAAACGTAGGTGAAAGTGCAACATCTAATGTTTTGTACTTGATTTTATTGTGATTGAACATATCTATAAACAATTTAGAGACCTACTGATTATTTGCTTTGTGTATATCCTTGTTATAGTATTTAATTGTATCTATCCTGCCATGCTACTCGACCTTGCTCTGACAAGAAGTAATTAATGTTACTTTTCCTTCACTGCTTTTGCTCTGCATTTCGTTCAAGAACCTTTAAATCTGTTAAGCCTTGTCTAACCCGTCTGATGAAGTTCTAACTATGTACCTACATATTGCAGACGATATCGTCAAGATATAGCTTATATATCCGGGATATATTGCCGGGCCATTTGATGCAATATTTTCATGTATTGTTGCCTTAGTTATAGCAAAATATTTCGACAAAAATATTGCCCGTTTGGAGGCTACATTACCCCTGTTTTATAGTCCGCAAGACCATTGCATGCAATCACTTGCAGCTGCCTTGATTCAAACGAGCAAGGTTAGCCGACCTAAATGAATGTCACATTCTTAAGCTATAATTTTGATGTGGGTTTTTTTACCCTGCAGACTACATAATTTTAATATCCAAAAGCTGGTTTTAATCACCGAACATACGACATCAAAACACAAAATCAAACGTGTATCTGTAACAGTTAAATATAACCACACAAACTACCGGACTGATCTAGGGACAATTGAATGCATTGGTAACTTGTAAGTTTCTAACTATTCCACGAAAATTGCAGACAAACCTGAAAAAATCCAACTGATTGATTTTGATGGAAGACTTCGTGCAGTTGCAAGAAAATGATAGTAAGAATCAGCTGTTTTGTTATTGCGCATGCGTCTGATCAACATTTCTCTTCCACTTGCTAAACAAGTAAAGCGGGTATTAGAAACAGTTTTTGGAGTAATTCCTTATACCCTGATACCCTGGACGCACTGCTATTTGATTAAGGTGGGTGATTCGCCCTATTTATAGCCTAGTCAAGGTGTATTAATTTTTTACTGTGCCCAAATGGAAACATGTCATTTTCTTTTGATTCGCTATATTCAAAACAATTATTTGAAATTGTCAGTTCTTTATACGTTCTTGGCTTTACCGAAACGTATAATTGATACAGATAAACTAGTTATTATTATAATTTTTTAGAACTGTAACATAAAATATATATATATATATATATATATATATATATATATATATATATATATATGTGTGTGTGACTAATGTTTTTCACGGGTTTCCCTCACTCCAAATTACGATTGCAGCCACTAGATAGAGACTCCTTATTGTCATTGCTAGTTTGACGATTCTTCAATAATGCGAAGGTCACTTTAGATTCTGTGCATTTTTATCGTGAACTTTTGTACAAATAAACATGGTGTTTTCGTCTGCTCGATTCAAAATAGCCAACAACCATGGTCAGCATGCTCAATTCTGATAATATTCTTATTTCGATAGATCTCATACCTTTTGTGCAAATACTTCTTAATCGTACAATAAAAGAGTTTGATGAAGAAGACATTTGAAAAGAACTCCAAATTGTGTGGACTTAATATTCAGGTCTTACTATCCAACAATTATGGCCAATACCGCACATGGTAGTGATTTGGACGCAAGCCCCTGCTTTTCAGGATGATTCAGTAGGTGACTAGATCGGAGCAAATTACGATACAGATTTGATGAGGTCCAACTTATGCAATGGGGTCACTGAAGGTGACCTTTCTATGTCCGGTGTGACAGTTTCGCAATTGGAACTGCATGGTGTTAGAATTGTTGGGATAAGACTGGCGATTTCTGGACTGCTCGTTCCCACTGTTTCTTCGTAGACGCGCTCCTGAAGGAAAATTTTTGTAAATATTTCGACCTATCCAGCAAAATATAGTACAAGGTGGCCAATATTTTAGAGTTGGGCCAAATTGTTCGTTTTAGCCCGATTTTACTAAGTCTGGGCTCAAAAAACACGTTGGTCACATTTTTAACCAATAAGAAGGCGTCTATGAAGTGATTGATCAAATGAATATGGACAATTTCTTATAAAATGTCTGTCAAACTAGAGAAAAATTATACTGTTTGTGTAAGATGGGCCACTAATTCCCATATTAAATCAAGAAATACATCTCAAATCATTGGTTTGCCTACAAACTTATTTTTTCATTTGAGTCCAGACACTAAATTAGCGGCCATGATGATATAATACACCAATGAAAAATAATCATTTGCGCCATACTCCAAGCATCGACTCGACACAATTGTAGATTGATACGACAGCAATTAAATTTGCATTTTATTGAAAATGACGGTGTCTCACCATTGCTGTACGAAATTCTGCTTGATAAATTGTTTGAGGACATGAATGAAATTACTCTTTAATAAACATCGAGTGAATAATCAATTTACTTACTGTTAATAGGGAGATGCCGCGCAGTCTACTGGGCGGTAGGACAACTACACTACCATCAGTAATCATGGATGTCAGCGTGGTCGTGTAGTCGTCCTACCGTCCAGTAGAGTTCGCGACATCTTCCTGTTAACAGTAAGTAAGTAAATTGATTGTTTACTCGATGTTTGTTATAGTCTAAGCATTTAATCCATGCTTCGCATCCTTTTTGATTGATGGAAATTGCGTCAAATGCTGTGTCCGGATACAAATGAAGCAATAAGTTTTTGTAGCTGAACTTATAAAGCATTGTTGTTTTAATGTGGGCTTTGGGGACCGTCTGACACAAGTCGAATAATTTTTCGCGAGTTTTAGAGACATCTTAAAGGAAAGCGAGCAAACTTGTGCCATTGGCTCAACTTTTGGTTCCCGCCTGTCAACAGTAAAATCGGGCCTTAGTGATTCGATTCCATGGTTTCGATTCTGGTCTCGGAACCGATTTTCTTCGATTTATTCTCGTTTCTTTTAATTCCGATTCCAATTCCAAGACATACCATCGGTGTTGATGAACGCTACAATGCAACGACATCGCAGTAGGATCGATTTTTTGTCAGTTCTTGGTAGATTTCAGGAGGAATATTTTGACTATCTTCCCGAATATTGCTCACCAGCTGCTCTATACTGGGTGCTTCCTAATTGAACGTCAATATTTAAGGAGACGATCTTTGGGTCCATTTAAAAAAAAACTTCATATGGACGTCTACGTCTTAAGATCTCTACCAATTTAGATAATTTAGAGAAATTTGGCGTACATGCACTATGTATTAATAGGTATTTTTAATGTAATGAATTTTGTTTAATTTCCACCAGTAGCGTTCGTATGGAATTTCACCTGCCTATTTTGTCAGACACTGATTTCTCGTATAATAAAAATTATTCTTAAAAACCGTGCGCCGGAAAAAAAAATTCAAGAAATCAAATCCGCTCATAAAAGAGATCGGATATAATTTTTTTGTCGTAGAAAAAGTCAGCGGCGTGCCAGTGAATTTCTATATTTAAAGCTTCACCACCCTGTATCTCAAAAGTTAAGAGGTTTAGGAGATACGCTCATATGAAGTTTTCTCCTTCAAATGGACCCAAAAATCAACCCTTGTATAGAGACTTCTTGACATTAACCTTATTATTGGCAATATTGGGGCTAAATGTCATCTAAAGGGGATCAAATGCCCTGAACAAATTTTTGCCCCCAGAATTATCGGAATTGATGGTCCCAGACTTCTTTTTATGTCAACTTGTCAACAAACCAAGCAATATAGAACAGCTAAAGAGCAATATTTGAAGAACTATTTCTAATGAGCAAGTGATGGAAATGACGAGGGCTCCTGTTTGTGTGCTCTCAGAGATGAATATCTATGTGATATCATTTTTCATATACAACTGATAAAATTGGAAAAAAGTCATTTTGTTATATATTGGCCACCTTAGTTAAGGTTTAATTTCTTTCCGGAGATAAAAAAGCAGAGAGATTATGCTAGTCCTTTTTTCAATGTCAGTGGCTTTGCTACCAAGAATATAGGTCTTCTGTGGATCTGAATATAACTGCTGAGTCCTATAAAAAAGATAATCTTGCACTAAGAACCTGAAGATGGATATTCTGAACATAATTGGGAGTTGTCTGCATTATAAGACTTACCTGAGATTTGTCATATTTAAGCCTTTTCCAAACAAACTTGCCATTGTTCGGAACCACACTCATTTCATTATTGGGTGAATAGTAATTTGGATTGGCGAAACTTCTACTCGTTCCGTAAATATGTTTCTTTTTCCGTTTTTTGATTAGTAAGAACCCTGCCAGGACCAGGCATAGTGTCACGATAAAGACCTACAGAAAATACAGTATAAAATTTTCTTGAAAACATCCACAAACTAAAGCAGTCTGCGTAGTAATTTACTTAATATGTATTTATTGTGGAATCTAGACATTGGCCAAGTGATATTTTAATATATAAAAAGAGATCTAAAATATAAAGAGAGAAAATTTGAGCGTTACTGTGCATATGAAATATATTAAACAAACCATTAAGTGCTATCAACATTTCTGTGTTACTGTGTGTTGAAAATATATTGTTTTGATAGTGACTTAAATTTACGATGATCTGCTATATTCCTAATATGAATGTCCAATGCATTATAATATTCAGCGGCGTAAGAGCGCTAAAACGTGGGTGTGAGATGACTTAGTATGGATAATGTGCTTGTATACCTAGAATTCATATCATTAATGCTTATTCTAAATGTTAACTTGTTCCATAAACGTATTGGTGAATGAGTGATTATAATAAACTTTGCAAATGACAAAAATAACTATTTTAAGAGGTTATTAATTTTGAGTCGTCGTAAATCGTTGTTTGGGACAACTACATGGTCATATTTCCCAGGATTACTTGTTAGGAGAATATTTGATCTAAGCATAACGATAATATGTTAGGATCCCATATGAAATTTTGGAAATAATTAACGATTCTTATAATCACTTTTTTGTTTTAAAACTGCGGAAGTGTCTGTTTGTATACATGGTGTATATTTGAAAACTTCCCACCAAGGATTCATCGAAAACCACTGATCTAAAGAAAAAACACCGAGACACGTCAAAAGATTTGTCAAGGTGGATAACTTTTTCACCAAAAAATACTACACCCTCTGCCTCCAAGGGTCATCCCCTTTAAAATTTTAAACGACAAGGAGTATCGACTAATAGCTTGTTTGAAAAGTCTTTTAAAGTCCTTTATTTTGACGTTTGATTTTTAAAATCGGTCGATTCGTTTTCAAGAAAATTAGAGAAATCTTTATTTATCTTAATTTGTTCAGATCGAAAACAAAAACACACGAAAATATCACTTTTTATTTCAATAAGTGCTCAAAATATTGCTCGTTAGGGTTTGCCAAATCTAGAATTCGTTTATGATTTAAAACGGAAACTACCAACATAAATAGCAATTCAGAAGATTAGACGTGGCAACAACCAAATAATAACCCGATTTTTTCCGCATTCTTTGCATCAACACATATCCTGGGTGAACTGTATTTATAGTTATTTGCTGCTAAGGGAAAGAAAGAATTTAATTTGCTGTCAGTTACCTTTGTGACATTCTTGGGATAGTAAAAATTAATTTATTGATTCAGATTTTACTTCCAAATGGTTTACACACTAGCCGAAAGAGTGGAAATGATTCTAATTTACGGTGCCCAGAATCAGTGTGCTCGGCACGTTTAACGCCAGATATCGCGGAAGATAACTTCGCATAGGTATGTTTTGGACCTTGTTACTAAATTTACTCAACCTGGATCTGTTGTAAATAAAAAAGTGTTCATCGGAGAGTTTTGGATTAAGCCCCTCAAGTTGAAGTTTTGGGTCATTTTGGAATACATCCAAATACTTCATTACGCAAAAGTGTTGCTATTTCATTATACACAGTTACTAAACTCCATAAATTTCATCAATTCAAAATGAAAATATTGCAAGAGTTAACCGAAGATGATTTCGATAGGAGAGTTGAGGTTTGTGAACAAATGACTGCAGCGATTAATAATAATACCATTCATATAAAGAATATCTGCTTCAGTGGTGAATGCACATTTTATCTAAATGGACTTGTTAATAAGCATAACTCTAGGTATTGGAGGAATGAAAATCCTCATGGTTTTGTAGAAGGGCATACCCAATACCCCCAAAAAAATAATGTATGGCATAATAATGGAAATTTGAATGGAGGCATTTATTTGGATATGTTGTAAAATACGATCAATCCGCTTATCACTAAAACCAAGTCAAAGAGGATGGAAACCCTGTACGTGATGAGGCTGCAATATATTTTCAGCAAGACGGCGCTCCTCCTCACTATGCTCTTCCGGTTCGGCAATGGCTAGACGACGAGTCTCCAGATAAATGGATAGGGCAAAGAGTGCCTATAGAATAGCCTACATCTCATGATTTCACGCCATTAGCCTTTTTTAATGGAACCTATGGAAATCCATTGTGTTTACTCCCCAACCTGAAAGTTTGGATGAGCTTCGTCAACGCATCATCGAAAGCTGCCATGATATCCCACAACATGTTTTTGAAAATGTCCGTCAGGAATTTGAACATCGCCTATATGATTGTTTGACCAATTACAGGTAAGATTTTGAACACTTATTGAAATAAAAAGCGATATTTTCGTGAGTTTTTGTTTTCTATCTGAACAAATTAAGACAAATAAGGTTTTTATAATATTCTTGAAAACGAATCGACTGATTTTAAAAAATGATAAAAGATAAAAGACTTTGAAAGACCTTTCAAACGCGCTCTTATTCGATATCCTTGTCTTTTAAAATTTTCAATGAGATAACCCTGGGAGGCAGAGGGTGAAAAGAGGTGAAGTAGTTTTTGATTAATAAGTTGTCCCTTTTGGCGTGTCTGGGTGTTTCTTCTTTTAATCAGTGGGTCTCGATAAATCCATGGTGGGAAGTTTTCAAATGAACACCCTGTATAACAGTTTCAACATAAAATAGGATGTTTTTATGACGCTGTTAACATGCGTGCGAAAACTTAGGTTTTCGTTTATGAATAGGCTCAAATGTGTGTTTGCATAAATCATTGAATTTGACTTTACTAACTGCTTTCGGTGCACGATCCCCTCAACGATGGCGAAGTCGCATCGTTTCGTTAGAGCTCGTTAGTACGACGTAGATCTAGAGTGGAGGACATCAGCGGTGACACGGTGTAATGAACGGCGCGACGAACGATATGGATTCTGTAGTTGTTTGCTGTGTATGTGTGGTGTAACAAATATTATTGTTAAATAAATTCTATAAAACCTTACTCACCATTGGCACAAGCATCATAACGTAAAACGTGTTAGAATGTTGAGCTGACAATCTTTCGTCCTCATCCCCAGGACTTATAGCGTCACACATATTTTCGTCCTGACAGTCTATTGGTTCTTCTTCTGTATCACATTTATAGTTACCACCTGTGGGACATTGCAGTGGTACCGCCTCTTTAGGTTCTACAATAAATAATAATGAACAGAAGTAGAGAAAATAGACCTGCGAATGTTCAGAAGGCAATTTTATCTTGATTGGGCGCAAAGTGAAAAAAAATGGCGTCTAGTAGGTAGGCTCTGCAATTCCCTCGTAGCGCTGTCATCATTTCATAAAGGATTATGATATGATAAATGATTAAATGGATCAAGTAATCCCAGCAAAACCATACAGTTATTCCGTAATCCCACCCATTTGATAACGCTGCGATCTAGAAACTTCTTCCCTACCCTTACTGAAAGATTAACCGCCAGTCGCAGCATGGGTTTTGTGGGCATCGGGGTTCGTAGCGCATGGCAAGTGCGACACGTCAGATTACTATTTCTACAAGTTGTAAGAACGGGGAAATCTATGATGTCTGATATACACTGAAAACCAAATACCACTGATGTCGAAATGAGTATGAGACAGAAGTGCGAGGAGCGTGCAATACGTGTGTTAGAAAGAAATAGAAGCAACTCGTTGCCTAGCAATTCGAGTGACGAGTCCTCGGACGCCATCGGCGCACTCTTTCTAACATACATATTGGACTCGCGCTTCTCTCTGGTACACATTACGATGTCAGCCAAGTTTGAACCTCACCGTATGTACTAATAGGTACGTAGAATTGGCATGGCTAGAAGCGAATGTACGTATAACCGACAAAAAATTGAGATATGCTCCCCTCCACCTCTACAACCCCAACCCTCAAATTTTAACCCCACCAACATTTTTTCCGAAAATGGTCATGATCCTCTAAGATGTCAAAAAAAACGAAGAGCATTATGTGAGTGATATTGAAAAAAATTACAGAAAGACCTACTTTGATCACAGTGATCACAACACTTTTGTTTTACTTGAACTTTTATTAGAACCTTTGTAAAAAAAAGAGTGGTTGCCAAGTTTTCGGGATGTTCGGGCATTTCAATATAGGCAAATTTGACGATGAGTTCGCGGGTAGAACCATGCCTATACCCTTCTTCGGGTATACATTGATAACTTTACAAATGTTTACGTCTCATCCTATAGTAGTTCGGACGTGATGCTTTAGGCTAGTAATGTATATTTACATACTCACCAGTCTTACAGTTCTTTGCCCCTGTATCTGGACACCCGCAAGTATAGTTCTTAAGTGTGAACAAGCACAGATGCGTACACCCTCCATTGTTCACAGCGCATGGGTTCCATCCGAGTTGTCGCTCAGCTGTGACCATCGTAATGCCCATTGCAGCATCTAGCTGTGGCCTTATGACCGTTGCGTCTCTACCTGTTGATTTTTCGGCTCGCATCACCGATTTTTGGATCCAGTCAGTCCAGTAGATGTAGTCTTCGTGCTGAAAAGAACAAAAATAGTGGTATAATGTGTATATAAACAGCTTAATTACATTCTTACATCACTTATTTCAACATGATAATACCGCTTGTCTAAATTTGTTGTAATCTTGAGGCAAGTGGAGTTTCAAAGCGGATCGCAGTCGAATAAAAATGACCTCTGCTAAGACACTGTAAAGTAACGAGATCTCCCAAAATAAGAGTTTGTATATATGCACGTGAATTTGCCACTAAAAACTAGATGCGTATTCTGGGTATAATCCACGTATGTCAATATATTCCTTCCTATTTAAATAGTATCGCATAGTACACAATCATTGAACAAGCAACATGACTCAGTATATGTAACATATAAAACTTATCCTGCGGTTGACACGCGGTTCAATCTCCATATTTTGCTGGCCGCCAACTGAAACCATAGGTATAGCAGTGGGAGCTCACTAAATTTTCGTCCATCCCGCGCTCGTAACACGTAACTTAAAAAGTGGCATTATATCGATTTTTTATTATACTATGTAGATGTTCCTAAAAACAATCATTTGATGCTCATTTGTAGTAGGCGCAGAAAGAACTAGCGGCACACTAGCGCCTACTTAGTGTACAAGTTGACATTTTGCCGACATTTTTGACATTATACAGGGTGTAAACGTTATGGTAGTCATTATTGAAATGGGTAATAGGGGGGGGGGGTCAAAACAAGTCAAAAAGTTCATATGACCTATGGTCCAAAAGTCAATAGATTTTTGTCTAAATGGCTTTATAGTTTACAACTTTAAGTGCTTTTTATCGACCACAATCACCACAATCTTACTAATTTTTATAATCTAATCTAAAACGTTTTTAAATTGGATAATTAAGAAATAAATAGCATTAAGTTTTTCTAAGTTAAGCCAAAATTTGTGGTCAGTAAGTGAGTGAGTTTCATTAAATTAAATATTTAAAACACACATGACAACAGCCGTCGGTCATTCATCACTCTTATCGAACCGGCAATCGATCGCAAACGGTAACAGTGGTTAGTTATTGTTCGCGTACAGCGTCGTGTTTATTTACAATGTTCTCGAATTAAGAGTTCGCCGACATGTTGTTAGTTTACGGTGAAGCTCGTCAGAATTCAAATCCTACAGCTCAAATTTATCGCAACAGATTTCGCCAATGTGTACACCCAACAGGAGGACATTTGTGCAAGTGTATCAAAGACTTCGAGATACAGGAAGTGTTCAGCCCACTAATATTCGCACTCGTGAAAGACAGGTTACTGTAGAGCAGGAAGAACAAATTTTAAATATCGTGGAAATCATTGCAGATATCAGCACTCGAGAATTGGGCCGCCGCGTAGGACTATCCATTGAATCCTACGGAAAAATTTGCTTTAGCCCTACCATGTACGAGTGCGGGCCTTGTTACCAGAAGACTATCCTCGCAGACTAACATTCTATTCTGTCAGTGGTTTTTGCACAAAAACATTGAAAATCCGGATTTTTTAAAAACATTCTAGCGATGGACGAATTAAATTTTACGCGAGACAGGATATTAAATTTACATAATACTTACACGTGCGTCCAAGAAAATCCTCATACCAATCTTGAAGGTCATTTCCAACAACGTTTTAAAATAAATATTTGGGCGGGTATTCTTGACGATCAGGCCCTTTCGAGTTACCCCCAAAGTTGTCAGGAGAAGGATACCTTAGCTTTCTAGCCAATAACCTACCAGAACTTTTGGAACAGACCTTAGACAACATGCCATTACAACGGAGACAGAATTTGTGGTTTCTTCATGACGGGGCTCCAACACACATTTTTAGAGGCATCATTCAGTATTTGAAATGAATATTATTCAAATCGCTGGATCATGATCCTCGAAAATGGCCAGCAAGATCTCCTGACCTCAATCCGAAGGATTTCTGGTATTGGGAAAAACTTAAAGGGATGCTTTATGGGGCTGGTCTAATAACAACTGAAGCACAACTACGCGAAAAAAAATTTAATGCGACTGAACTAATAAATGGACAACTTCGAGGACCTAGAGTAAGAAGAAACTGGGTTCGTCGTAATGAAGCTTGTGTGGAAAGTGGTGGGACGACATTTTGAACACCTTCTTTAAATACAAAAAAAGTGCAGGGTGAGTTTTAAAACGAAAAACAATGTATGTATCAAAATTGTGTTCCCTATTTACAAGTGGATTTTTTAACACGTTGAATAAACTTTCACACACCAGGTGAAGCGCTGAGACAGTTAGTGGTAAGTCCGTCTTTTTTAATTGTTTGCATTTTATGAGTACATTATCAAATAATGAAATAATACCTAAGAGCCAAAAATAACAAACTCCATCTTTATTTACACTGCGTTCCGTCGTAATTTGCGTCTGGCATTGCAGCGTTGTCAGATTTTATTTTAATTTAAAGTCGCTTTTCTCTAAAAAAATGCCGTTTTGACCCCCATGTTATATGAAACTTTTTGCTTCTTTTAACCCCCTTTATCACCCATTTAAATAATGACTATAATAACGTTTACACCCTGAATTATAGGATGTTTACACAATAAATCTTTTTTCAGAGTAGATTATATTGTCATTTTCATCTTAAATTGAATCACTCAATTCAAAAACCACTTAATTCTTACTTATTTCAACATTCTTTTTTTGCTGAAATATATTGAATGCGTCTTAGTTCGTATAATGAAGGGTTGAACTGCATTTGCCGCAAAACCTCAATAAAATGAGACAATAAGTAGTGCTAAAATAAGATATCAAAGAAAGGGCCCCTCTATTTAAGATGAACAGTTGACCTCCACCATATTTTGAAATTCCTGTACAACATATATTACTTTCACCATACTTTGAAATGTGCTAATTCGTATGTTGATCAATTCAAGAAACATTTAAATATGTTTACTTGGATAACCACTCATACCGAATCTTGTTGTCAAATGACAGAGCAAATACGATAATGTGAATGGATAAACATTCGGGGTATCAGGGGGTGATTTGAATGGATATATTTACTAACAAAAATATTAATTTCGTGAGAATTTCAGCCGAGCTGTATATTCGATACGAAATAGTTTTTCGAAAATCATCAAAATGCAAAACAACCTTAGAATAATACAAGAATTTTTAAGTCAATTTATGCGTCCTGTTTAGGAAATACCAACAACATATTAAGTGCGATCAGCGAACGTAAAGCAGTTCAGCAACGCAACACTTTTTTGCTGAATAGCAGAAGCTTTCTCATGTTAACAGCACTTTTCACTTGGTTGTCATATTTGATTGTTTGTTGCTTATTGTTCATATAATTCCACAAGTACTGTTATTTAGCATAAAAACGTCGCACTATTCAAACGGTTTGCAACCATCAAATTTACTTTGCTAAACGAATTGTCAGAAAAGAGTCACTAAACTCTAGGTATCATATTGTTGAAAACCTACCTGGGTTAACGAAAATGGATGCGTAGCCTGGATGCTCAACATAATCCTGTTATTTCCATGTAAATCGGATGTTTCTATTTTCTCTGCATTCAACTTTGAGTCAACCCAATAGATTCTCCTACCCACGTAATCAATAGTTAAGCCGATAGGGAAATCAATGCCTTTTTCCACCAGTACTCTTCTGGAAGAACCATCGAGAAATGATCTTTCTATTTTCGGTACACCCCAATCAGTCCAGAAAAGAAATCCCTTTTTGGGGAAAACTGCAATTGATCTTGGATCATGAAGGTTGTCTCTGACTAAGACTGTACGGCTAGTGCCATCTAGTCTTGCTACTTCAATCACTTTGTTGCCTGCAAGGTAGAATAAGAATGAATCATTACAGTTTCTGGAAGCAGGATAAGCACAAATCTCCATTACTTTAAAAGCTGAAGTTATTTAAATTTCCTGATGTTTCCAAAAAAACTTACACAGCACGACACAAGATTCCTGAATGGTCGTGTTTTTAAATGTAGAAAAAAGTAAGTTCACCTCGTTTTAAGGTAGGTTTTAACGGCATTTTATAAAAGACTTCTGGAGACAGGTGCATGAGTTCTTACTTAAACATATTCCAAGCATCCTTACACAAAATTTCAGTCTATAATAGTACGTCACATACCCAGGGTGAGAAGTGGGTTATTATTGGTCGAACACTTTTTTTCCACTATTAACACTATATTCAGTTTTATTAAATTTAGATATCTTTATTTATTAGCTGTATGTTTACATTTACAAATCCTCTGCCATGTCTAGTTGGCTGCTGTCACAAGCTCAAATAATCATATTCAGGCTTCTTGGACTAGTTCATTTATCATTTTCAAGAAGAGTAATGTGATAACACTGATTGGCCGTGTGTTCTTACTGTTTTTCAGCACTTTCCCGAATCCGGATTTCAGAGATATCAAGATGTTTCGCTACATAAGGACCGTGCGGTCTATCAATTGCAATTTTTTTGTCCACAGAAAAAAAACTCATTTACACTCTTTTAGACAAGTGGTATTTTTTAGTTCTTTTTTAAGATTTTGTTTCTAAAGTCAATCATTTATGTTTTATTGATTGCAACAGATATCTATTATCATTTCTTAACCTTATTTCTAACGAAAAACACGTTCTTCAGTACTATTTAGTATTATACTGACCAGTATTTGTCCAGTAGATGTTATCCGCTATCCAATCCACAGCAATTCCGTCGGCTGAATTGAGATTCTTATCCAAAATGGTTTGGACATCAGATATGTTGTACATAGAAACGCTTTGTATGACGTTACGTTCGATATCAGTGTAGAAGATCAGTTTCTTCTCCCAGTGAAAGTCTACGTCGATGGCATTGCGAATTTGTTCTACAGGCAATGTGACGTCCCATTCGTCACCAGTGTCCAGGCTTATCTGACTTAAAACATACCTGGAAAGATTAGAATTACATAGAAAGACATTTTTGCTGTAATTGGCCTGAGGATAAACATGGTAGTGTACTGCGGCTGCAAACGAAATTACCCACAACAGGATTACAGGCAGATATATAAATCTGCTCTGCACGGATGGGATACTGGTTCTCAAGTGTCACAATATCACTACGAGAACAATACCAGTTTGTTTTACTTCCGAGAGTCGTCCGACCAATGTCCCGGTAGCAGTGCAGCCACTTGATCTTATTGTACCTTGCTCCTCTCATTTACAATACCTAATTCAGCAACCTAGTACTCTGTACCAGTTGGTACAGTTTCCCTGCCTGTACTGTTCTAAGCTCCCTTGGTTTTAGGTTTGGTTTTCTGATGTTGTCTTGTGATCCAACGCCTCGCACTCACATAAGATATATGTTAGGCTGATTCTGTCCCTTTTCCGTATTATCTGTCGTTGAGCCCTATTTTGCGCAGGTGTTCTTTCAGGCCATGATGTCCCGTTAGGTCTGTAACTACACGGAGTTGATTTCTACTCATTGAGTACAGTTCCGAGGCCGCATTTGGACATGGTCCCAAGATAAATTCTTTCTCATGCCTGCATCCATTAAAGTGCCAGTATTCCTTGTGCTGATTTCTTACCCATTCTTTGACTTGGCTCTTTATTGTGCTTTTTGCACCCCAAGGCAAATTCTGAGTCTGTGAAGCGTGTGGATGATCCTTTCCTTGCGAGCCTGGCACCCACATCAAGTTACTTTGTTGTGTTTCTCCAGTGTGTTCCGTTTTTGTTGGGATCCTCAAATCACTTGTCACTCTAGGACTTCTTAACCCTTTGAGTGATGCCTGAGTGACAGTGTATATGGCGATACTTTTATTATTGCAGGCTTGCTTATTACTCTTGCGCAAGTGGTGTATTATGCCCAGCATTACACCTATTCCCAAATATACCTGCACAAGTTCTCTACACAGTTTGACCCATCTGTGTACCAGGTAATTTCGCTTTGAAGGTTGTGCCTTTGGTGGTCCATTTTGGTTTAATAGTTCCTTTTGAACACAAATCTGGGAACTATGTGGTCTATCAAGTTGGCCCTTTTTCCAGTTATAAACTCCTAAAAATGACCACCTTCAATGGTTTAAAAATTGGTTAACAATAATTATATTGAGATACCAAAGTATCTTAATTGAAGTTATAACCTTCCCCTAGAAGATTCCGGGGAGTATATTTGGCTTAGATTGTTTTAAAACAATTTTCAACCTTGGTTGGTACGGTAACAAGTGGCGAACTTTTAATTTTCGTAGACTGTACAAGCGGCCCAACGGTGTCTAAGAACTGTGACCTTGGTTGGTTACCCTTGTTCCAATATGGGATACATGAAACATAATCAAAAAGAAATTTGGAAACGTTTTTCCTATGAAGATTATGTTTTAATGCTTACATATTGAATCATCTTACCCAAGCGTAACACCTACCTTGTAGCTATGAGAAGAAACGTCTGAGGAATAGGTTCGCAATGGTTCACATTCAGCTTCGATTTCCTCAACCCTGTAGGGCAGGCGCATGAATACGACGTCGGATTCCTTAAGCAAAGGTGGGAACATCCTCCATTGTTACTACCACACACATTTTCACCCTTGGTCCCCATCTGTACTGCCCTGACTTCCATCAACCCTTCCAGGTTGTCTTTCAGTATCACCCTGTCTGCCCCCGTGACTTTGTCTGCCCTATGCAGAGCCCTGGTCTGCCAGTCTGTCCAGTAGATGTGGCTCTTGACTACCACCAGGCCGTAGGGATGTGGTACGTTGGATATGATCAGGTTGCGGTTTTTGCCATCCAGGTCGCTGGATTCTATGGTGTTGAGTTTGCAGTCGTTCCAGTAGATGCGTTGTTCCAGGTGATCTATGGTTAAGCCGTTCGGCCATGCTATCTTGGTGCCGATAAGAACTTTCCTGGAAATACGACAGTTTTTGTCAATTAGGCTTCAGCGCCTCCACTTCCACATTTTTTTTTTCAGAATTTAGTGCCTTGATGGCTGATTGCTTAATCGGTCTGATGAGTTATTTAGTCACGACAACAAAAACTGTCCATGTCATATTTTTATAAAAAAACAAAGTGCGATAGTGGGCATGTCCGCAATAAAGAAACAGGAGCAGAAATAGAAGGATTGGTAACCCAATCGACGTACGCTTCTTCTTATTGGATTTATCAGGCCCAAACGTGTATCCAAAACACCGAAGTGAAAACGTATGTTTATCATATCTGGATACGGGTGCAACGTGGAGGAAAACAAAGATGGAAAGGAAAATACAACTAGAAGCTACCAACAAGAGCCAGCAGGAACATTTGTGGCTTTGGTCATCAACCAACGTCGGCACAAAGAAAGACAATATATTTTTATAAATGCATGCGTCTTTGACCGAATATCTTACCTACTGGTACCATCCATATGCGCCATTTCGATCTTTCCATTCTTGCCCCAATCTGACCAAAATAGCAAACCATATCTGTAATAGATAGTTATAGCTCTTGGATTGTCCAGATCCCTATTAAACAACACTTTTCTGTTTTTTCCATTTAATTCAGCTACCTCCAGGCTGTTTCGCTCACCATCTGTCCAGTATACCTACAAGCAAAAACCGCTCCTAAGATACTGTTCTTTACAAAAGCGACCAGATGGCAAATCGGGTTCAGACCTAAAGCAAGCAACTGCTAAACAACTGGCGCTGTCGTTTTGTTGCTGTGAAAAAGTTACTATACCAAATTAATTTTCCAGTTGCAGTGGATGGAAGCAATATCAGGTTTAAGGTACTATTCCTGACAGGTCAGAGCCGTATTCGATGCTTATGCGAATGATGTCGGTGTTTACGAATCGACGCTTGCCCAAATTCTGAGTGAATGAGTGCCAAACAAGAGTATTCAAAACTAAATTAGTATGTTGCTGAAAATATATGAAATTGGTGGCTCTAATTTTCGAATGTAGAACAATGTAGCTTCAGTATTTAAAATACCATCTGATCATTTATACAGAGAACCCCTGAATTTGAAATTTTATACATTATCAACAACATGCCAATTAAGTCTTAAATTCTTTTATTTGGTGCTCGCCTTCCTAAGTGCATGTTCGAGGTGGCGGTTTAGCAGTGTTGATTAAGCGCGGTATACACGTATAGAAGCACTAACGCAGAGATGCATAGCATCGAAGCAGCCTCTGTGGTGGTCAATATGGCGGGAGGTGTCACGCTGAAGATCACCTCCGTGTATGTCAGATGTGATGCCAGGCTACAAGAGACGGATCTGGAGGTCCTTTTGGACTAAACGGGCCTGCTGATTGTGGCAGGGGACTTCAACTGCAAACATCGAGCATAGGTTCAAATTCACTAATGGGATTTAATTATACAATTGTACAACCATGTGATTAGAAATGGGTACCTTATAAATGGCACTGAATAGCCAATACATCATCCATCCAACCATCTTCAGACACCAGATGTCATTAACTTAGCGATATCTATAAACTGTGAATACAGTATTTCTTCTCGAATCGTGTATGATATCTCTAGTGGTCCTGTACCTGTTGTCTTAAATGTAAACAATGAGCAAACTTCTGAGGAGGAAGCTCCTCCAAGGCAACGTATTGGTTGGGAGTTATACAAGTTGTTCCTTAGAGTTTTTCCTAATATACCGATCATAGATGACGTAGCTGGAATAGAAGTCGCTCAAGCTGAGTGGACAAGTTTCATTCAAACAGCTCTACAACGTGCAATAGTACTTCCTGTACAACGACATGGCAGACCTTCTTTGCATGCGGATATTAGTCAGAAAATCTCTAACAAAAGAGCCGCCATTAAGCAGGCAAAAAGGACTTGTCATCCTGATGACATCTGAGGGCTACAAATGTTGTCCATGAAGTGAGAAAAGCACACCACGAATCCCGTAACGGACAAAGGAGATACTTTCTGGCGGGAATGCTTGATTCAAGTATTACTCTCTGGAGGGTCGCAAAGTCACTCAAACACGGAAAGCGAGAACAACTCCCGCACATCCACGGTCTTCAAGGCATAGTCTTCAGAAAGAAGTATAAGGTCGAGGTTTTCGCTGATGCCATGGAAAAACAGTTCTCACCCAGCCATGATCTGGATAATTTACGAGGAACAACACATCTTAAGATCCGTCTGAGATATTTTAGGGCTAACGGCGTTAGCGGAGGCACTGAATCCTCTTCATATGGCTCTTCTTCAGAAGATTCGACTTAAGCTTCACATGAGACATTAGCGGAACCTTCCGAGGTTCCACATTGCACACCAATGGAGCTCCTAAGTCATATTAAAGACCTCAAGGCACGTAAAGCACCTGGTGAGGATCAAATCACTAACAAGGCGTTAAATCTGCTCTCGCCTTAGGCTCTGACATATTTGGTGACATTAATCAATGTGATGCTCAGAATCCAGTACTCCCCTGCGGGGTGGAAGACGGCTGAGGTCATCATGATTCCAAAGAAAGTGGATTCGATATTTTATCAGGATTACCGTCCCACTAGTCTGTTGTCAGCTCCTTTTAAGCTCACCGAAAAGATGATTTATCGTAACCTTGCTATTTTTTCCTCAACTCACAATGTGATTACTGACGTTCAATCCGTCTTTCGATCCAAGCATAGTACTGAGCTACAAGCAGTCAGGCTGGTGGAACACGTGACCAGAGGATTCACCCTCAGCATGAGTACTGGCATCTTGCTTTTGGATGTTGCCTTGGACAAAGTGTGGCACGCGGGCCTCCGCTATGAACTAATCCAAAAGGGTTTTCCTTTTTGGCTTCCAAAATTACTGAAATCCATCCATGAAGGAAGAAAGTTTCGAATCAAAATTAACAATGTTTTGTCAACAATACGGCCAGTATGGGCCGGTGTTTCTCAGGGCTCGGTCCTAGGATCAATCCTTTACTCGCTTTTTATCCCCGACATCCCTTGCCCCAGCAACTGTAAAGTCTACCTCTCCGCTGACGTCATTGCACTTGTCGTCTAGTCGTGCACTGGTGATCTCTTTCACAATGGGCTGCAGAGTGCGGTGGGTGAAGTACTAGAGTGGGCAGAACGGTGGCTGATTGAAATTAATTATTCAAAAATCCAGGCTTTTTATTGTATCAAAAACTGTCGTGGCCCCCCAGCCGAGGTTTCGGTGGAAGGAAATAGTCCATGGACAAATTCTACCCAGTATATTAGTGTCACTCTTGATAAAGGTATGACGTGGCAGAAACATACAGCAGCGATGAAAACAAAATTCCAAATTGCGTTTCAGCAACGATACCCTTTGTTATGTAGACCCTCCAAATTGAGTTTGATAAATAAAGTTCGACTATATAAAATGATTACTTATGCATGTGCGGCTGGTGTTTTCTTGCCAAGGCACACATGCAAGATCTTCAAAGCAGATCCTCACGAACAATTTGCAACGATTCATGGTATGTCTCAAATGAGTGATGTTGACATTCCTTACTTGAGGGATTATGTCAAGCAGCGACGTTATAGTCAAGTGGAATCGCACAGCGATGCGTGCCTCAGTGGACTAACTCAGTGGAGCAAGCTCGTAAACATTCAAGACCACGGCTCGCATTGTGATAAAAAATTAGCGCGACCTTTTAGTAAACCCAAAATTATACTCTAACAAAACCTGAATCAAAATTTGTTTTTAGTTCATCTCAAAATTAATCCGTGTACCAAGTCAAAAGCCTAGGTGTTTTTTCTTAAACTAATACACTTCTGTTTTTCTTTGCTCTTCTCCTTTTTTTTTCTCTTCCCCTTTTCTTTTTCCTTGACATTGTCTGGTTTTTGGACAACCAGGACTGACAGATTCGACTAACGCACATTAGGCAGTAACTAATGGGCAAACAAATAACGAATTGTAATTTTATTGAAATAACAATGATTTTTTGAGGATATGATCAGTACGTTAGCTTGAGTTTCACAGTGGCATCCACAGACGACATCGTTCACCAACTCGTGGTTAGCTCCGTTATTCTGTGTCTTTAGTTTTACTATCACGAAAAGCTTAACTCGCTACAACTACGACACGTCTGACCGTTCGAATCAAGATGACTTAGTCCTATAGAATTCCGACGCATTAATTTTGTAACTGCTTACTGTAAAAGAGCACGCACCTTTCTACCGATCGAATCTACAGCAATACCATCAGGAGCTTCCATCTCGAACATCAAAATCACATCCCTGGATTTCGCATCAGATGTAGCTCTGGAGATTGTATCCTCCTCAGTATCGCTCCAATAGATCTCACCGGTTTTGGTATCCACGTCTAGTGATGTAGCTTTCTTCAACGAGGTCAATGGTAGTACTACATCAGCCAAATAAGGTACGTCCAAGGAGATGAATCTGATGTCGGTTCGATGGGCGAAGATGATGAAATTTTTGGGAAGAGATCGACATGTCTTTCCATCATCCTGTAAATAACAGTTTTTTACTTTTAATACTGATACAATGGCGGCCATACTTATTCTTAGGCTTAGGTTTCTTTACAATTAGCTGGATGGGAGTTGTATCTGTGAACTGAAAGTGAAAGTACAAAATAATGCATTTTTGTGCTTCTGCGTAATATTATTCGAAAACGTTATTGAGTCCGCAAAAAATGTAATGATAGGTAAGATGCAAAACAATTTCTTATATAAAATATGAGGAGAAAGCATGAAGACGTCAAGAAACAAGGATCTTTCCTGAATTACTGGTCTATGATAAAAAATTACTACATTAGATTTATATTATCTAGATTTTTTGTAGTCCTTATCTATCAATTCAATGTACCTACTGTGTTTAATGGGCATCTTCCTTTCGTGGAATATCAATTTATTGACAGTTTTTTTGTAATCAATGTGAGTATTTAAAAAACGAGAGAAACAGAAACAAATAACGTCATTCTAAATTCCATATGGCGATTGCAGCAAAATCTATCGAAATTTAGTAATACAAATAAAGTAACAAGTTTTATGGAGTCCTTTCAATGAAATATACTAAGTGACATATAAATCCGAACACCCAGTTTAAATGGTTTTATTTTAATAAAATTTTGTATAAGTACTTAATGAAGCATAATAAGTAAATGATAAAACATTTCAAAGTGATTGCACTGCTTTAAAGCCCTTTGACCTTTAATAATGTGTGGATGCACCCTGATGTGCTACGCATTCTCCAACGCGCCTAGGCATGCTTCTGATCAGGTGGTCAATGTCCTCCTGTGGTATCTCATTCCAGGCAACCACCAACTCCTCTCGAAGTGCTTCTAGAGTCTGAGGAGGACGTTGCAAATTGAGCAATCTCCTACCCATCATATCCCACACGTGCTCAATTGGGGATAAGTCGCGAGATCTTGGTGGCCATGGTAACAATGTGACATCATTATGTTGAAAGAAGTCTATTGTGACTCTTGCAACATGTGGTCGGGCATTATCTTGTTGGAAAGTTGGATCTGCCAGGGTGTCAAGATAGGGTAAAAGATGGGGTTCTAGAACTTCGTTGATATAACGCTGCGCGATTATGTTACCTCTGATGAAGATTAAAGGTGACCTGGAACCATAAGCTATAGCACCCCAAACCATAACTAGAACAGTGTGATGAACATGTCTTTCAACAAAAAACTGTGGATTCCTCCTTTCACCACGTCGCCTTCTAACCCTTACACCGACGTAATCGCCTTGAGTGGTGCAGACAACGGTCACTCTGGGATCAGGAATGGAACAGTATTGTCTTTAGTGACGAGTGTCGATTTTGTTTAGGCATGCACGATGGTCGTGCCAGGGTTAGAAGGCGACGTGGTGAAAGGAGGAATCCACAGCTTTTTGTTGAAAGACATGTTCATCACACTGTTGGAGTTATGGTTTGGGGTGCTATAGCTTATGGTTCCAGGTCACCTTTAATCTCCATCAGAGGTAACATGAACGCGCAGCGTTATATCCACGAAGTTCTAGAACCCCATCTTTTACCCTATCTTGACACCCTGGCAGATCCAACTTTCCAACAAGATAATGCCCGACCACATGTTGCAAGAGTCACAATAGACTTCTTTCAACATAATGATGTCACATTGTTACCATGGCCACCAAGATCTCCCGACTTATCCCCAATTGAGCACCTGTGGGATATGATGGGTAGGAGATTGCTCAATTTGCAACGTCCTCCTCAGACTCTAGAAGCACTTCGAGAGGAGTTGGTGGTTGCCTGGAATGAGATACCACAGGAGGACATTGACCACCTGATCAGAAGCATGCCTAGGCGCGTTGGAGAATGCGTAGCACATCAGGGTGCATCCACACATTATTAAAGGTCAAAGGGCTTTAAAGCAGTGCAATCATTTTGAAATTTTTATCATTTACTTATTATGTTTCATTAAGTACTTATACAAAATTTTATTAAAATAAAACCATTTAAACTGGGTGTTCGGATTTATATGTCACTTAGTATATATGGAAATTATATAGAAATTACCAAACTAGTTATTTTTGTTATACCAAAGCAGCCGTGCAGGCAGAAGCCTAAATGCCGAGACACCGCGACTGCTATGATGATCCAAAAGAAATTTTATTATTCCGATATTTGAACTGTCTAAGGTTAGTAGAACTGTGAAAAGCTTCCTCTTGTAGACTGTTCCACGATCTCGACACCCTCGGGACAAAGGAGCGGTCGTATCGGCCAGTTCTGGATGTACGTTCAACACCATTGAGATTGGAGGCCGAAGTCAGGAGGGTCTGTCTGGCAGGCATATGGTGCGGCGGCATCCTGGAGGAGAGCTCTGAGGAGCAAAGCCCGTTGGTGTAGTGGTAGAAGAGAGCTAGATCGCCGACGGCTTGCCGGTTGCGAGAGGGTCCCGAGACTGTCTGTTAGAGAAGCGTCATAGATCAGTCGGACAGCCCTCCTCTGGACAGCATCGAGCATAAATAATGTAGTCGGAGCGGCAGCACCCCCAAACGTGTGAGCGATACTCGAGGCTAGGCCTTATCTGGACCCTGTATAGAGTGAGAAGGTCATGCGAAGAGAAGTACTTCTTAGCCCTAAACAAATAGCCTAGCTTTTCCCAGCAACTGCCGCTATTGACGAGACGTGTGTTCGTGCCCGATTAGGTCCTCGGTGATCTGGACTCCGACTAGACGAAATGAATGGCTCTTTGGGAGAGCTCGGCCATCCATCGAAACCGGATGAGCACTAGGATGCTTTTTGTTCCTCAAGGTACAGTACTGTGTTTTGGAAGCATTAAACTGTACAAGATTGTTGCGTCCCCAAGCAGTGATAACCTCAAGGTCTCTCGTCAGAGATGAAGTCGTCGCTAGTCTTCTTTTTCCCAGCTCAGCGGCAGAGATCGGCTTGTCGCTCTGAATTCCTGCATGTAGAGCGCTGTCATCGGCAAAGCTGTGGATTGGGTTTATCGTACAGGAAAGGAGGTCTTTTATATGTAAGAGAAACAGGGTCGCCCCTGGGAAACACACGCGTTGACGTGTGATGAAGGCAAACATGCCGACATTTATAAGACACCCTGGGAAAATCTAGCGGGTGATACTGCCTCGGTCGACTGGTTCTTGTCTACCACCTTCTTTTTGCATGTTAATGATATTAAATAGACCTAAAGTGGCCAGTTGGCGGACTTGTACCGCCATATGGCAATCGGTACTGAGGTATTCCTTAGCGCGTGTACAAACGCTTGAACGGGAAGAAGTTGTCTACCGGATACAACAACTTTCGGAACAAGCATTTGCCACGGCCCCGCTCAGTAGCGGGCATCATGAATACTAAAAAGTAAAAATTAAATAAAATAAAGATACATTTTCAAGAACAGCTGTCATTTAGCTGTAAATAGGGTGAACTAAGAATGTAGTTTTTTGTATTGGAAATAAATGAACGATAGTGAAGCTCCTTCATCTCAAGTTTTCAAGTAGAAGCGTGTTACGTTTTGACAGCAGGATGAAAAAGGGATGTAACACGCTTTTATTTGAACATATGAGATGAAGGAGCTTCATTATTGTTTAAATATTTCCAATCGAAAGAAAATATTTTTGAATGTTCAGTTCAATTCATTAATAGCTTGTTTTTATTTTTGTTATTGTTATTATCATAGATAGAGTTGTACGCAACATATTTTATAAGACCTTACTGACCTCTAGCCTGATGCCTGTTGGACAAGCGCAGGACTGACTTTTCGGCCTCAGCAGACACAAATGACTGCACCCTCCGTTATTTTCCATGCAAGAGTGTTTGAAAGTTTTTCTGTTCCTGTGGAATATCCGGACGTCCATCAAATCGTTCATGTTACTAGAAATAATTGTTCTATTCTTTCCGGTCGCCTTGTGTGCTTTCTCTATGGTGTGCGATTCCCAGTCGGTCCAATAGACATGATTGCCAAAAACGTCCAGTCCAAATGGGTGAGGCATGCTGTTTCCACCTATATTAAAATGGAATGGTAAGTAGTGAAAAATGATAGGTAAGACTAAAACTGATATCAATTTATCTGCTATGCAAATTAAAAACCCCCGACATTCGAGTGAATTTCGTGTCGATACTTCTTATTGGCAGAATTAAATACCTACCCTATAGATATGACTTTCGATTAATAGTATGCACTCAAATCTGCATCACCCGTTTGAGAGATTTTGATTCGGCAGTTGAAAATAGAGAGAAGTCGAAAAGCGAAGTTTGCGCCATTTCTATTTTTTTCGTTTTTAGCCTTATTCTCAGCCCCCTCTGGACCTGCTGTCAAAAACTAAAAAACTTTTTCGTCCTTGCATAGCAGTAATCCTGTGTGAAAATTTCACCTAACTCTGACTGGTGCTTTGCAAATTATACACGGGGCAAGAATTAGCGGACAGACCGACATACCGGTGGAAATGAAAAACATACTATCGCATTTTTTTGCGATTACAGTACTTCCTTGCTAGTAGACATCAGGAGTAGTACAAATAGTCCATATCAATCTCGGCAGATATTGAAAAATAATTACAAACACCTCAGAACAATATGAGTACGAATATGAAATCTTAGAATACGAGTATATTGTGTCTACAATGTACCATCTAAGGGATATACTCGTACAATGTGTTTGGTCACGACATACCGATATTTGAGGGCGATATTTTTCAGCTATTTTTATCAAATCCACCCCCTACAATGTCATACCTCATTCCCCTTGAAATGGATCCACACCGCGCGTACGAAATTAGGGCTGACACGGATATGGTCTGCCGCTCAACAAGACGCATTGTTTTAAGAACAACAATGTGCATAACCAATAAAGGAGGACATTTTTAATAGTTTCTGTAACATTAAACATGTCCAAACCCTCTATAAGAAATATTGATTTGTCATTTTTACGAATAAAAAGTTTGAAAACAATTTGCATTTCATTACACCCATTTTGACCAATGTTAGATAGCATTTACTGCTTAACGTAGAATACTTAAGATAACAAAAAGCTGTGGAATTAGCACAAAAAAGTGGAGAAATGCACAAAATAATCAATTTTCTTCCATATTTTTTTCTGTTTTTGTCTGTTTTTAAGTATGTTTGACGGTTAGTACCCATGTCCAATTACGCCTACGTTTCTATTTTCATATTCTATAATCAAATTCAAGCGGATAACCAAATGGAAATGGTATTTACCATTTTGGGTTGGTATTTACCAATCCGTTCAAGCGAGTGTAGTTATCAGTTTGGTTATAAGATCCGTGACGTCACGAATCAGCTGTTATATGTCATAGTTATCACCGCAAAATTGTGGTATTTACCCAACTCAAGAGTAGTTTTATATTTCTGGTTATTATTTGAAATGTGACAAGTTAGAATTTTGCCGGGTATTGGATATTGTTATTGTACTTCAGCTTCATTTTTGAGAAAAATGATACAGGCTGACTTCAGTTTTACCATAAAGTGGAGCACCTTATTAGTTATACTCATTACGGTTGTTGGGGACACTTTAAATGGAGTTCCTATGCTTAACAAAGTATCCTGTGTAGCCATATACCACAAGAATATTAAAATATGGCCATATAAACTCTAGATGATATCCACCTGTATACGGTTTTGCCAATTTCTTTTTTCATCATTTCTGCTGAATCAATAAATGTTTTCTTTGTCATGCGGAAAAATTTAGAGAATTGAAAGTTATCATAGCTACAAAGCCATGGTTCCATCATTAAAAAAAAAAATGGTAAAAAACATTTCTCCCATGAATATTATGAAAGGTTTCTTATTTAAACTTTCCATATACAGTTGTAGACGAAAAAGCACCGATTATTAAGTGATAATAAAAATAATCAGAGATTATATACGCGCTTTTCTAAAATAAACAACTTGCAACAAAACCGCGGTTAAAACCAACGCGTTCAAGCGATTCGTGTAACTGACGTCATCAACCCGTGTGTCACCTTGAACCATATTATAACCGCGGCACATAACACAGAAATTTTGGTTATTCGCTTGGATTTGATTTATGTAATTTGACATTTGATTGAATATAGTTTTGTAGACACATACAGGTGTGAATGCGGCTTAAATAAAAAAATGGCGTCAAGTAAGTTGACTCTGTACTTCCCACGCAACGCTGTCATCACTTCGTAAAGGATTATGTTTGGCATAAGTTAGTCCTTCTAATAATAAAAGTTATCTATGAACATGTATAGCATTTAATGACCTCCCCTGACAGGAATTCCTGCATACCCACATGATCGTTGTGATGACCAATCCCTTGTAATTAACCATACACCGTGCACATAGCAGAGGGCAATGCGAAAGCGATATCCAACTGTGTCATACGACCATCCACGATGACGCTTGTCCATCGGGAGACCACATCGCACTTATCTACACCCGACTGTTGGATATATTTCTAAGTTTTAAGGGTGAATGTACGGGGACATGTATGATGAGTGAAATATGCCTGCGTAGAATTACTGAGGTTGGAAGCGTATAAACATAGCAACGTGAAAAATTGAGATATACCCTCCCCACCCCCTGAAAGCCCTAACCTCGAACTTTTAAGCCCTACAAAAGTTTTTCCCTAAATGAAGTTTGGGCAATTTTTATATTTTTTTCTCATTTTTGGCCTTTTTATTCCCCGCCACTGGACCGATTTTCAAAAGCTTTTGCGACCTTGGTACAGTAATAACATTGTTTAAAAATTTCATCGAAATCATAGAGGTTATAAGATTAGTGGTCAGACCGGCATAGCGACGGCAATGAGTGACATACAAAACATACAATCCTTCCCCGCCAGTAGACATGGTAAGTAAAATATGAATTTAATTATATAGAATAAGCACGTGTCAATGTTATGAAATGATAAGAAAATAAATGTTAATAAACACAATACTGGAAATTGAGAAACGCATATCAATACAGGTTGCAACATTTTTTTAAGTGTTTGATCTATCCATCTTTTGATTTCGACGGAAACTACCGAAGTAGTCCAAACAAATATAAAGATGAAGTTTGGGTTTCTACTGAATTGTTTCTCGTATCACCGGCCACGAACGCACTATTATCCAAAAGTACTGATTTATGGTGTCATATTCATTCGATACTTATTTACTCATGCTGTTTGTTCTCTTTATACATTGAGCGAATAAATATAATATTCCTTTTTATATAAATTGGCGAGTAGTTGTAGAAAATCGCCAGCAGGCAGATCGATGAAAATGAGAGACATGTATTAACTTCTTCATGCAAACGAATTAAAATTGTACCTAGTAAATGCGAACCTTCACTCACCTAATAATACTTTCCTACTGGACCCATCCATGTTAGCATACTCAATCGTTCTCAGGCCCCCATCCGTCCAATAGATCTTGCTCGTGGAATGATCAACAGCCAAACCATTGGGCCAAGTCAAATTCACGCTGACGATCACCTGCCTGTTGCTACCATCCATGTTGGACCTTTCTATCTTCGGCACTTCCCCCCATTCGGACCAAAACATCAAACCAGCTTGAGGATCGGTCGCGATGTCTCTGGGCTTTTGAAGCTCCTCCCAGACTAAGAGGCATCGCATTGAACCGTCGGTGTTTGCTACTTCGATGGTGTGAGATTCGGAATCCGTCCAGTACAACTTATCTGTTGCCCAGTCTAAGGCTATGCCTGCTGGTGAAACTGGAAAAAGTTATTCTGATATATTTAGATATTCTATCGCTCAAAACAGATACATGTGATGTTTCAAGAGAAGTGTTTACTATTGTATTAAGGTAAACGATCGACTGAGTTAGGATAGGAGGCAGACACCTGGCAGCTTCGTCAGCTCTGAGAAGCAAAGTCCGTTGGCATACCGGAAGAAGAGAGCCAGATTTTTTAATGTTCTGGCGGACACAAAACATCACCGGATGTCGATTAATAATTAATATTTCATGTTAAATTCGAACGTAATTACTTACTTAAATTTGTGTGGACCAAAATTTTATGATCTGATCCATTCCAAAATGCTTTGTTTATGGAACTTCTATCCACATCTGTCCAATAGATAGTGTCTGTTTTTGAGTCCCATGCTATAGCTACGGCAGACTTTACTCCGCTTATTGGTATCACCTAAAAATATGTCTATGATACAACAATATTAAAAAAAGGCGTTAAGTATCATCAAAAATGGGTAACCAATCCGCAGTATATGCGAAACAGTGTGGAACGGTTAGGGTTGTCATCCGTCCGCCTTTTTTTGGTCCCGTCCGGACAAATTCTTATGTGTACGACCCGTCCTGCTTTTTAGTACACACGATATTGCATATTTTAAATAACTATTTTGATTTTGATACTATAAAAATTGTCTGTCATGTTAATTTTGAACCTATCCTAAGATATGGAATAATTTTTACGGTCAAAGCATTCATATAAATCGACCTTTTATGGTCCAAAAGAGAGCTCTGAGATGTATGCTTTAAATGTCGCAAAGAGAATTATGCCGTTGAAAATTTAGTTCTAATAATAGTTTAACTGTAACTGCCATGTATTTACAAGAAGCCTTACTATTCGTATTCAATAATCAACCTTTGTTTGAAAAGAATCTACCACGGGGTAACCATAGAATTAGAAATTTCAATTTTATACAGGGTGTCCCGAAAAAAGTGTGCAATATTCTACCAGCGGTTTCTAGAGCTTAAAATAGGAAGAAAAGTTTATATAAACATAGGTCGACAAACGTCCCCTAAGGGCGCTACGGTCTTTTAAAGGGGCTCCCCTGAAAATGGTTTTTCCTTAATATTTCCGAAACGTGTTGAGATAAAGACATAAAATTTGGTATTCTAGCCTAGTTTTTTATGCTGGATTTAAAAATATTAACAATTTTAGACAGTTTTGTTTGGAAGCGTATGTAACAGGGACAGACTCAGGTTATTTTAGCCCCAAAATTTTTGTGTGATTCTATTTTTGAAATTCAATTTTAGATTTTGAAAATTTAGGGTTTTTTACATAAAAAAGGTACTCTTAATAAATATCGACAAATTGTGCCATTTTTAACAAAATCAAACTAAAAAATGTGTCACATGATAGGAGATGTACTGCGATTTTAAATGAATTGTTAATTATACATAGTTAGCCATGTTAAGCTGACATTGTTAGCAGTGTAAAATTACTAGATTAAAATCAAAATTTTTATTAAATCGATTTAAAATGCCAGGATTTACAGACAGACTGACATGCATTTTGTGTACGGGTTTCGCAATGGCAGTTCATTGGCAGCGGTAAGAGAATATCAAAGAAGATTTCCCAATCGCATAGTACCTTTAGGCAGCAGCGGTGGCCGCAGTAGTAGACTCTTCGGTCTCCTGATCAGTCGCCGTGCGCTGTGCGGGTTCGAGTCCCGTCCCACGAGAAATTTTTCTCTTGGCTATGGATGTTGTGATTGTCCGTAGGTGGTAGACGGTCTCTGACTGTCGAACGTGGAGGTACCATCCGGTGGATCTCGTAGGCGGAGCCAGAATGTGTGCATGTTGCATTCACACGTGTTCCCTCGCCAGAGTCCGTGAGGAGTTTCCCCTTTCCCCTGTATCCCCCTATAGCCCCACGGTACCCAATGGGTGTTTAGGCCTTAGGCCTTCGTGGTAGTTGGAGTATAAAAAAACCTGGACGTCGAATGTTTACTGATATTCACCGGAATTTGTCAAATCATGGAAGTTTTCAGCGCATGCAGGGCTCATATATATATGTTTGAAAATAATCCGCAAATAAGCATACGAAATGTTTCAGAAAATATGGATATACCTTGATCAATAGTAAGAAAAATTTATGAATACCTATTCGATAGTTATCCTAAAAATAATAATTTTAGATAGGAAGAATGACAAGAATGCAAGGATTACATCCTTATCATTTTAAACGGGTGCAGCATTTAACGGAGGCAGATTTTTTACCACGAATCGAGTTTTGCCAGCGGATATTAGCAAATGAAAACACTATTCCTAGAATATTATGGTCGGATGAGTCAATATTTACTAGGAATGGTGCTTTTAATTTCCATAACTTGCATCACTGGTCAGATGAAAATCCAAAAGTTGTTCGCCGTACAAATTTCCAACATGGATTTTCATTAAACTTACGGGCAGGAGTAATTGTTGATCAAGTAATTGGGCCTATTGTACTTCCCAATCGTCTTAATTCAGAGGTGTATCTGAACGTTCTTCAGAATGAGCTCATGGATATAATACCATTGGATGTGCGCCAGCAGTTTCAAGAAAATATGTTTTTTCAACATGATGGCGCCCCTGCACATTTTGGACGCGATGTTCGAAATTGGTTGAATGTCAATTTTCCAGACAGGTGGTTAGGCCGAGGAGGTCCTATAGCATGGCCGCCACGTTCACCTGACCTAAATCCATTGGATTTCTATTTTTGAGGGTCATTAAAAGACCCAGTTTACTCGACTGAAGTAAATACTCAAGAAGATTTACTTCAATGAATCCATCAGGCTGCAAATGAAATAAGAAGAAAGAGGTTTCCCACTTTTCGGGCTACGCAATCATTAGTTCGTTGAGCGAGACTCGGTATCCAACAAAATAGGAATTTATTTGAACACTTATTGTAGAGCTAGTTTTAAGTATATCCAACTGTATGTCTTCTTTTTTAAACAAATTTCAATTTCGTTCGGAGAAAAAATTTATTTCTTTTGTTTTTGCCTAAATGTTAGCTATGTTGCAATAGAAATATGTATTTATGTAATATTTACCAATTATTAAATTAGTTTTTTCGTTGCCATGGTTAATTATTCAACAATTCATTTAAATTCGCAGTACATTTCTTATCATGTGACAAATTCTTTAGTTTGATTTTAATCAGAAATGGTACAATTTATCGATATTCAATAAGAGTACCTTTTTATGTAGAAAACCCTAAATTTTCAACTTCTAAAATTGAATTTCAAAAATAGAATGACAGAACAATTTTGGGGCTAAAATAAGCTGAGTCCGTCCCTGTCACATACGCTTCCAAACAAAACTGTCTAAAATTGTTAATATTTTTAAATCCAGCATAAAAAATTAGGCTAGAATACCAAATGTTATGTCTTTATCTCAACACGTTTCGGAAATATTAAGAAAAACCATCTTCAGGGGAGCCCCTTTAAAAGACCGTAGCGCCCTTAGGGGACGTTTTTCGACCTATATTCATATAAACTTTGCTTCCTATTTTAAGCTCTAGAAACCGCTGGTAGAATATTGCACACTTTTTTCGGGACACCCTGTATATACAATACATAGTCTCACTTTAACAGAAAGTAATGAACGACCAAGGTGCGACGGTGTTCGTACCGCGTACTGTACATAACATTTTTTCTATTATGGTAGCTATGTCAATTTCAAAACTCTTATGTTCCGTCAAGAGCGGATTCAGGGTCATGACAATCAAGATCGACCATCCAAAGCCACCCTCTCCCCAGTGACCACCAGTGCGCCCCCTCTGAAGACAGTCTAAGTCCGCCACTGTGACTAGACGCCCCTCTCCCTTGACTCTAAGGCTGGATGTGCCTCAGCTTTAAGAAAGTTATTTTTGGCTATGACTACAGCGCTGACTCCAGCTTTTGTACTTTAGGAGATAGCAACCCTAAGCAAGGCAGGACTTCATCAGTGGCACGCTAACACTTGATAAACCTCCTGAAAATTTATTGAAGCCCATAATAACCCTACTTATATTTCCTCTTATTTGTAGAAGTTGTGTGGCACGCATACCTTTTATTGGGTGCGTTTGTGAGACGAAGTCACTTAGCATTGGTACATTCTTTTTTATGCTGATTCAGCTGCGAAGACATGCCTAAATTCAGAGCCACCGCTAGTGCTATAAGGAGCTCAAAAACACCTTGTTAATATGATTTTTGACCTGCTCCAGATTAGTAGAATTGAAGAAAATTCTGGCACCCTGGGAACAAAGTAATGGTTGTACCAGCTAGTTCTGTTTGTACAAAGACAGAGCTAGAGTGGGAGGAAGAGGCCTAGCGGGTCTATCTGACAGGCTCAACGCGCCGCGGATCATGGAGGAGAGCTCTAAGGAGTAAAGACCGTTGGCATAGCTGAGAGCCAAATCACTGACCTCCCGTCGGGTGTGAAAGGGTGCCGAGGCCGTCCCTTAGACAACTGTCATAAATCGGTCGGAAAGCCTCCTTTGATTATGGACAGTGTAATCGAGGAGAGCATCCCAAACATCTGGCAGAACTCGAGGCTCAGTTTTATCCTAGACTTGTACATCTTAAGAAGGTTATGTGGTGAAAAGTGCTTTTCAGTCCTAGGCAAATAATCCAACGATGTCCCAGCAGCTTTCGCGGTTGACGAAATGTGTTTATGCCAACTCTCCAGCTCAGCAGCAGAGATCTGCTTGGCACTATGAATGCGTGTGCGTAAAGTGCTGTCAGCAGCACACCTGTGGATCGGATTGCTCATACAGGAGAAGAGTTCGTTGATATAATTATAATAAACCGATTCCTGGAGAACACCCACGTTCACATTTTGGGATGAAGAGGAGAACCGGTCAATTAATAGGGATATCTTGCGGTTGGAGAGGAACTCACCAGCAAAACGTCTCTGAGAGGCCATACGACGGAAGTTTGTAAAAGTTTACCTTTTCCATAAAGTGTCTCCAAGGAATTACAAACCCGATAATTAATCGAATTATGCTATAATTTTAAAACTTCTAATTCATTCCTTACCATTTCATACTGATTTGGAGCATTACCATCCAAATACTTAATCCTCAGGTCTTTCTTTCTTGCAAATAATAGGAATTTGTCTGGTTTCTGACAGGTTTTCTTGTCGGATTTAAGTTTCTGTCCTAAGTCACATACGCAAGCATAACTTTTTCTGTTGGGCAGACATAAGTGCGCACATCCTCCATTATTATCACCACAACGGTTTTTGTATTTTGGCTGCCGTTGTGGGTGATAGCTGTAATGACATCAATTCTTTAATGTCAATGAGATATTGTTTAGGGATTTTCTGAAGTCTTGATCTGAATTGGAGACGATGGCGACGCTAATGTTCCCTAAACACTTTGTAAACGATGAAAGGAGAATGTCAAGCATATTTTCTACTTGAATACTGAAATATAAGTCTCAAATAATGAAGTTTAAATGCTTCTAGAATAATGTTGAACTATATAATATCCAAAATGAGTCAGTTCGACAAGACGAGCCGATTACATGATGTTACCTGTGTATATCCATAGGAAAGTGTAGTTGAGAATGAACTGGTTTCAAACCAGCTCCAGTGATCTTGTTGGCTGTAGATATCGATTTGGTATGCCAGTCTGTCCAAAAAAGAGCATCTTCAAAGATTGTAATGGCAAAAGGATGAGGCAGTCCCTTGCTTACTACTTTTCTTCTGTGGGACCCATCAAACATTGCCGTTTCAATAACGTTATGTTTAGCGTCTGCCCAGTAGATCTGGTTCATTGTGTAGTCGATGGTCAAACCTGAAAGATAATATAATAGCTAATTTTTTCTCATTTTATTTCTAGTTAAAAATCCTTGGAGCAGGGGGTTTATGTAACATTTGGGGTGAGTTGCATGAACAGAAAATAATGTCATTTGACTCTGTTGCTACGCTGTCATCAGTTTGTAAAGGATTATGTTATGCACAAAAGTAGGCACATACATGTCTAACAAAAAATTAAATGATCCACTTCCTCCCCTTGAGAAGCGCACATGATCGTTGCGATGACCAATCCTGCGTGAATGGCGATATTGGCCTTTACCTAGCACAGTGCACGCAGGCTACAGTGTCCCTACTGTGGGAGATATTTTTAAAGGTAAATATACGGAGACATTTATAATGAGTGAAATATGCCTAATATGTGCATAGAATTATTGAGTTTAGAAGCGTATGCATAAACCAACGTCAAAAAAGTACACCGTTCCCCAACCCCTGCAGCCCCTAACCTTCAATGTTTAACCCCAACAAACATGTTTGAGAACATGATCAGGATCATCCGAAACGTCGAAAAACGATGGTTGGGCAATTTTTTTTTTTTCGTTTTTGGCCGGTTATAAGATTATCGGACAGACCGATAGATAGACCGACGAAAAGAGTAATATGGCTTTTCGTGATGTCCATGTCATATAACATATAGAGAATTTGTATTTTCGTGTCGTATACATTCAAAAGTCATAAACATTACATTATTTATTACAAGGGATGATTTACCAAAAATCATCTGGGCGAAACTTGCATTTCTTCCAAAGAGGCCAAGAAATGAAATAGCTTTTCAATAAGGTCGTCTATGTACTTCTTTCACCTAGGATGAATACTCTCCACAGTAACCCTATAAACAAAATGCATCCCAGACCTTTTTAAGTATTTTACTCTGAACTCTTCACATGTTGGAATCGAGCAGCGACCCGTGCATCATCCTTTGTCAAATCTTAAGTGGAATACTAGGGATTAAGAAGTCTCAATTTTGTTTGGCTTATTATAAAGTAATCAACCGCGATCTACAATATCGACATACCATTTGGCCAGAAGACGGATTCCATAATGATACTCTTTCTATTAGACCCATCCATCTCAGCTTTCTCAATCTTTGGATTGGGCCCATAGTCTGTCCAAAATACCAAGGCCTCGCCAGGATGTACAGCAATGGCTCTAGGTTTATCTACTTCGCTTGCGGCTATAATTGAGCGACGTCTGCCATCTAGGGTGGCCACTTCAATTCTCCTGGTGCCGGAATCTGTCCAAAAGATCAAATCGTGGATCCAGTCTAAAGCGATACCGCCGGGTGATTCCAAGCCGGATCTAACAATAGCTAGAAGACAGCAAGAACATAGTTTATAATATGGATATACGACCCCCTTCCCTCTTCAGTTGGCCCAACTATTTAAATCTTAGTTTTTGTTCTTATCAAACACATAATAAAAATGTAGCAGGGTGTTATAGGTTTAAAATATTAACAATGAATATTTTGATAATATATAGTAGAAAACACTCCCTAATCAAATTTGCAGCATAAAAATAACACATGTTGCAATTACAGCATATCAACCTATTTTCATTTCAATGCAAAATAAGTCTATAAAGCATATGTGGCTGTGAAAAATAAAAGCCATGACAATTGTTTTTATTAATCACAGCTGTCAGAATACGTTTAAAATAGTTTTGGGTAGTTAAGGTTTTCAAAATGGGTAGAAGAAAGGTTATTAGTGAGAAAATTCGGTTACTGATAATTAAATTTTTTAATTCTGGGAAATCAAACTCAGAAATTGCAACTTTGTTAGACTTATCGCGGTACAGTGTGAGAAATATTGTTAGAAGATATAACGTAACTGGTTCAGTTAATATTAAGCCACGATATGTGAAAAAAAGTAATATCACAAATGCCGACCGAAGAGCATTAAGAAGAATAATCGTGAAAAACAGGCGTGCCAATTATTTACAATTAAGTGCTCTGTGGAGTGACGCTGTTGGAAGGAGAATTTCGAGGTCTACAACTCATAGAGAGGCCCACAAACTGAGATTTGGCACTTGCAAGGTAAGTTTTCTTATAAAGAAAAGTGAAGTAAAAACCCTAAAGTTGCACAACTTGTTTATAGGCCAAATAAAAGCCACTATTAACTCCAGTGCAAAAGAAAAATCGGCTTAGATCGGCTAAAGAACATAGACAATGGACACCTCAACAATGGTGTGCAATACAATGAAGTGATGAGGCCCGATTCGAAGTTTGTGTTGATGACAGTCGCAGTAGAGTTATTCGCAAAAAAATGAAGCATTCCATGTTGACTGTCTGAAGAGAAAAGTGAAATTTCCAGCATCCATTATAGTCTGGGGCAGTATGTCATCAAAAGGAGTAGGAAAACTTCATTTTATTGATGGAAATGTGGACACAAACATAAATTTGGCAATTTTAGAAGAATCTCTTTTACCAGTGTTGTTTTTCACCAATTTTTTGCCAAAACTTGGTTAACACTATGCCCCAAAAAATTTCAGCCGTAATAAAAAATAAAGGTGATGTTACCCAATGGTAATCTTTCAATTGTTGCTTTGTTAACTTCGCGCATTTATTCGCACATTTTTTATTTGTTCAGATTTTCTATTAGTTATAGGTCTAAGTGATTTCAAATATATATTTTTACGACTAGAGTGTATCTAAAATGTTTTTGAGAAAATAAATTGTTTTAGAAGTAAATAGTTTCGTCATGTTTAGTTTATAAAGGTATATTTTGGTACAAATCTTGAAGTGGGCCAACTGAAGTGGGAAGGGGCTCGTACATACAAAATAATATTATAGGTGATAGCCATATGTTTGCAATTCCTGTGGTTTTTATTATCATGCAAGATTAGCAATCGTCTTGAAGCTTTTCACTCAGGGGCGAGGCTTACTATGCAATCCCAGGACGTCTTATTTATGAAATATATTTTCCTATTATGATGTTGGTGTGTTGTATGTAACTACAAAAATGCACAGTTTTGGAAAAAAATGTGTTCTACCTGTTATATTAGTTCCATTGATATATGCACGCCAGATAGTATCCTGCGATACATCAGTCCAAACTATAAAGCCCTTCTCGTAGTGGTAATCCAAAGAGATGGCGTTATGAAGACCTTTTATTATTGAGATGTATTTGGTATTGCTTAAGGAAACCTGTAATAATAACAGATTTGAAATTTTTACAGAAAACTTTCCGATGTGTACAACATAATATGATATAAACTACCCGTATGCAGTGATGCACGTATACAAGCAACTTGTAACTAGTATGACTATCACACTTCTAAATTGTGAAAGTATCTACATCTCTCTCTCTCTCTCTTTCTCTCTCTCTCTCCATAAATATCTAATCTATCCTATCAATCCTCCCCCCCCCGTAAAAAATAACTTTCTAGAGGCGTAACTGGTAAATATCAAAGAAGTATATGGAAGAGATGAACGTTTGTGTGATACTTCATTTTCGATTTACTTAGATAATCGATAAGACCATTTATCAGCCCTCGTCGTTTCATACAGACTGACTGAACTTGTTATAAATAGTACACATTTCGAGAAAGACAGACTTACCTGTCTGATATCAACTCTGTTGGCGAATAAAAGAGTTGGTGGTGCACCCAAAGCTTTACAGGTTCTCATATCCGGCCTCAGAACATAGCCCGTCATACAACCACACTTGAAGCTTCCTATGGTATTATTGCATGTTTGTGAGCAGACTGGATCGGTGGCGAAAAGACATTCATTGATATCCTCACAACTGAAATGAAAAGACCAAGGCGTCATGTAAGACAAAGCTTAAGCAATGATTAATGTAGTATTTGAGAGGACTAAAGCATGAATCACACTATCCCAGGAAAAACAGCTCGCAATAATGTTGTGAATGTATTTTATTGAGATATAATTTCATTGGTACTTTAAAGTGAAAAACCTTAAGGGGTATTTATTATAAAAAACACGAGAGTAGAAGAGAAAAACTGATGAGTCACAACTGAAAAGCTAGAGAACCTCCATTCAATTTTTCATTAAACCACACCCTTGCTGAGTGAGCTATGTCTCAATTGACATCTCGTTACCATGCATTACTGCGTGTCTAACTGTTCAGGTACCAATGCTAATAAAATCTGGGATGCGTTAAAGCCTTCCTACACAACAAAACGAGTGCAGACGTTATCTTACATTTACTACTTATTGCCTTGATTACCGCCTATAAGTATCTGAGCAGATACGCGTGATTCCAAAACTTGCCTGTATCCATTCTTTGCCAACTGGTACCCATTGAAACAGGAGCATCCCTTCTTCCCATCAGCAGTGGTGATACACAGTTGTTCACACTTGGTGTCCCGTTCGCACTCTCTGCTTTTGGGACAGTTATGTTCATCCTCGCCTTTTGGACAATCTTTTTGCCCATCGCACCTGTACTTTTTGTTGATACAGAATTCTATCGCCGTATTATTGCCATACCCGCTGCAGGGGAATTTGGAAGCGTCGCATTCTATCTCGCACTTGGCTTCGTCTTCACCGTTGGGACAGTCTTCATTGCCATCACATCGCCAGGTTTTCTGGATAAGAGAAATAATGTTTAATCTACGAAGATTGATCCCCATGCTCCAACAGTGACTCCCTTGCAATTAACATAGATGTTAAATATTACGAGTATGTATGACTACTGAGAAGCACTCCTCTACCACACATAACCTGTTGTTCAATTGAATTTTGTTTCTTGGTAAATGTTCCAATTTTAGAAATATTATTAAATTACTGGGGCCACAATTGACAAACGCTTTGGGTAATTAACCAACTCAAAGCCTGCTTGTTGTATCATGTGTATCAAAGCAATGCAAAAGGTACGGCTAGGAGCATTATATTCATAAGGCAAAACTCTACTTCTTAACTTCTTCCAAAGTTTCTCCTTTAAAAGTGTGACATGACAAGAAGATCTGTGTATTTTCTGAGAAACTGTTTGACAGTTTATATAATACAAGCGCTTTTGGAATAAATATCAAGATGCTAACATCTGGAAGTGGTCCGAGCCACCATCAAGTTTACAGCGTTTCGACGAACATTTTATACTGAAAACGGGGGAAACGCCACATAGAGGCACATAAAAATGAACAAGAATGGTGCTAGTAAAAAGTCAAATCATCAGATGGTAAATAGGCAAGCTACATTACATATTTTTCTCGAATCGCTACCAATCGATATATGAATATTTACTCTTATTAACGGTTTCCGTACTCAGCTCCAATCTCAGCAAATTCTTAATAAGATGAACTTTAAGTTATTATCGTTTTGTTGATAAAACTAACTAACAAATTTAATTGTGGTCGTCTTAGCTAATTAACTAATAAATATAAATAAACGGCTAATTACGTCTCACTAACTAAAGGCAACTACGACCAATTTTGACACAAAAGTAACTAGCAGTTTTATCATTGAGTTTGCTCAATATGTTTTTGCAATTCTACACGTCCGACTTGTAACACGATATCATGCACTATGACTATATCAGAAGAAAAGGCATACCATTCACTATAATATTTTGATGAAATTCATAATCTTTTTTTGGAAACATTTTATAACGGCTCTTTGTTCAAAGGGGTTCATTTCTTTTATAATCTTTGCCACGCATCAACAAAGGAGTCAGAGACGGAACATAGCGATCAATCTATACAATAATCTTAAATTAATGACTTAAATTTTGCAATATGTATAAAAGAGGAAATGAGATTTGAATACATAATAGAGATACTCAAGATTATAATTAATCTTGCTGTATTCCGAGATTACTAGAAATGGGGCAAACACTCAAAGGCTTATTCTATTTTGTCCATTGACGATTCTTGAACCTATAGGGCGAGCTTATCGAGAAATAATACTTTTTATCAATGGAAAATGACATTTGAACCCTCTTAGTCTCCAAACATAGTTTGAAATTATTTGTCCTTCCAGGTAGAATGGATGTCAAAATATCCATGTCAGTTGAATATTCAAATACACAGAGGTCATTCTTCATCGACTTTCATTCAGCAACTTCAGTGTGGTTGCTTGTAAGTCTTTAACATGAATATATCGAGATCATTGTGATTGACGAGAGGGATCTGACTTACACACTGCTCAATCTTATCTAGGTTATTTTTGCGGCGCCTTCCAGGATTATTAATTTGCACAACTGCAGGGAAAAATCGGATAACGAACCAAGATCACCTGTAGGTAGTTATTTCGAAGATTTTTCATGGACATGTTATTTTTCCTTAGGAAAACTTATATTTTCGAAAATTTGGCTCGCCTTGTACCTCCGAAACAAAATGGTTAATTAAAAATCGGTAAAGATCAAATTGTTATTAGATTTGAAGAATTGCTTCTTAAACTTTTGCCATATAAATTCAAGAAACATCGTGTATACGTCATTGTCTGTGTGTGAAATGCAACTGTCTAAAGAAAGTCCACTTTAGCTTAAAATGTTGAGGTCTTTGTTTTTAGGATAGTACATTGTTCAAGTAGAAAAAAACGAAAAATGATTACCAAAATACAAGCCCCATTATTGCAAGTAAATTCATCAGGTGCACATGTTTTTGTAACGTTGTAATCACAGTTTGCTTCATCTTCATTATCTTCGCAGTCCTGTTGCTTATCACATCGATACCTCTCGGGAATGCAGTTTCCTCTGTTACACCTGAAACAGTGTATTATAAATTGAAACGGAAATTTAAATAAGAATAGTCAAATAGAATGGCGTGCATCATTTATTCGAGATAGTTTAATGGCTTATACGACCATTGGCGAGAAAACGGCAGATGCACCACACGCAAGCTTTACTCACCACCTCTGAATCTTTACTTTGCTCAATTAAACATTTGTCCAACAATATCTATGTTCAGAATTTTCTGCGACTGGTTTGCAATGAGTTATTTCCCTACCTTGAATGAATGAATGAATAACGAGATTAGAGGCATACCGGCCACCATGAGGAGCCGGCGCATAGGCCAGATATATGGGTCCTTATGCAAGCCTACATTCACTAAGCCCCAAGCTCCGCCCTCTTAGCAAAGTTGAGTCTAGCCCTAAGTCCTAGCTTTTTAATATTCTGGAGGTCCAAAGTGTTATACCCCAATATAGTCTGCTTGTAGTAGCTGTGAGCCTCACAGAGACATAAAACATGGCCGAGGATTCTTGGTCTACCCCACAGCGTTCATACATGGGATCCTCAGTCACCTCCATCACATTTAGGTGGCCGCTCAACATATTATGGCCAGGCAACAGTCCCACCAACAACCTTAGGACCATCTTTAACACTGCGCCCTTCAATGAGCTCCCTTGCCTAACGGAGATTTCTTAAGATGCTTCCCCATATCTGAGAGTTTTGTCTAGCAATTCACTTCTCCATTTTCATCCTGACTCTTTGTGCGGGCACCTCTAGGGCTAGCTCAGTACCAACAACCTTGCTCGCTGATCCTACTTCCGCAAGAGCGTCCGCCATATCATTACCCTTTATCCCAGCGTGGCTCGCTACCCACGATAATGATACCGGATGCCTCGCTGCTAGACAATCCTTGCCCAGCAGGCCAGGAGCCTCCCTTTGCAGCTCACCTACGATAAAAGTGTGACCCTTGATTCCAGAGTCGACTACTCTCGCCTCTCCGTGGACCGCTTGATCCAACGGTGGGACATCCAGCAGAGCCTCGATTGAACTATTTTCCTACCAAACATATATTTGATCACCAGAACTGTTCTTACTTGAATTCTCCTTGAACGCAGCTTCCAGGTATTTTAGGACAATCATCTTCATCACTCCAATCTTCACAGTCGTCATCTCCATCGCATTTGAATTCCTCTTTAATGCATTTATGAGAAGCACATTGAAACTCATTGTTCTCACAAGTGGGTGGTATTATTTCTGAAATATTGGATATAAAATTAAGTAACAAAAAAATTGAGCCAGTGATATCACAATTATGCATTTTGCCAAATGACTGACTGAGTATGCTATTACGAGTAGTAGCTCTATACTCGTACAATGAAAGGTCAACATTTAAATATACAGGGTGTTTAAAATTCGACCCTCACCATTGGGATCTCGGGAACTGTCAGAGTTACGGAGCCGCTTGAATGAGGGTAAATTAACAAATTGCCGCTTAGAAAGTTTCGAAATTCGAAGTACGGGGAGAGACGGAAAAACCGAATTTTTTCAAAATCATTTTAATTTGTTCTTGACTTTATTTGGAATGGGTTTTGAAAATAAATTGCACATTAACCACTTTTAGTCCTCTACAAGTTGGCATAATTAGAATTTCAATATGACGTTTCGTCTCTTGTCCTCCAGCATCAACTTTATTTTTTCTTATGGATCCTATATTGGATTTTTGCACATATGAACAGTTTTTGATTAAAAAATGTCAAATACGTCAAAAATTGATGTTGCCAAACATTGGCTTTCCAGAAAAGCAGAATTTCCTAGGTAGGTTTTGAAATCATAAGACAATCATTTATTTCGTATACCCGATTTATCCCAAAACCACTTTTATTTTTCCTGACGTCATTTGAGATGGGATTTCAGAATAAATTACATGTTATCGTTTTTATTTATTTTCCTCTACAAGATGGCGTACCTACTCAAATTTTCTATTCAAAATTCCTTCTTTCGACTTCCATCACCAACTTTTTTTTTCATATGCAGCTCTAAATTCAGGGACGTATTTCCTTAATTGGCCATGGATTTGTTTTAGGATGAACATAAAAAAGCATGGTGGAACACCCAAAATGAAAATTTTATTGATGATAATAGCGACAATAATCATGAATAAGCAGAGGTAAATCATAGCAGATGTTCAAAATGTTGTCCGTTATGTTCTTCTCTCTACCTTGTTCACTGCACATTTATTTTTCTTCTTCTTAGTATTCCAAACTCTGTTGCTACGTTCACTTTGGGGTCTGGCCTGTTAGTCGAATTAAATGAAATATGAGCCTACCTAGAGGCTGTTTTTCTGGAATAACTAAAGTTTGGTAGTTTTTGGAATCAGAATTAAAAATTGTATTCATCTGAGCAAAAATCCAATGTAACGTCTATAAGAAAAAACAAAGTGTTATTCCTAATTTCTCACCAACATTTCAGAACCAACAACAAATCTAGCGATATCGCATTTTCACTTAAACATTGAATCACGACTTTCTGTTGCTTATCCTAAACCCTATACAAAAATTTATTCAGATAAAATCATTTCTATCAGTTTTTTTCTCTGATACTAAATATGAAATATCATTTCCCATACTACTGGAGAAAAAAAGAAATAAAGTACCAAATAGGATGAACGCTTACTCAACCGTCCTTTAAAATTGTATAAACATTCACATAAAATATTGTTCAAGTTCATTTTCAATATTAAAACGGTAGAAAGACGCAATATATATTAATGTTGCATAAATAATATATTAGATCTTAATTTTAAATTCTTTAAAGGTGTATCACATACCGCAATCAATTTCATCTGACCCATCCGTGCAGTCAATATGGCGATCGCATTTCCAGCTCAGCGAGATACAGCTAGTATCAGTGCATTCAAATTCATTCTCGTTGCATCTGTAAATATAAAAAATATTTCATAACTTTGGTAATATAAATAATTGAAGACAAATGCATACCCAAACGTTGTACAGTTCTCGTCAGAAAGATCTTTACAATCGTTGTCATTATCACACAGCCATTGTTTCGGAATGCAAAGCCCGTTCGTGCACCTGAATTCGTTTTCTGTACAGTTGGATTTAAAATCTGTAAAAGTAACAATTAATTGTATTATAAATATTGCACCCTGTGAGAACTCCGCTCAACTGAATATCAAAGCATAGGCTAAAAAGCCCACTTTCGTTACACAGGGTGTTTCAGTTTATTGTTGCATAACTTTAAGATTCGATAGAACTTTTAAAATTAATGCATAAAGTCTATATAAACATGGGTCGAAAAATGCGTGGCTTCCGAAATACAGGGTGTTTAAATTTACTTTCTAAAATAGTTTTTTTTAAATATTTCGAACAATATTTTATGTATAACAGTGAAAATTGGTATACAAGGGTATTTTGGTACGACAAAACGATACATGGGCATACTAGCATACTGTAGCCGCTAGAGGGCGCTCTCTACTGTACCTGTAGTGTATTAAAATGACCGAAAAATTTTTCTTGGTGCATTTTTTTGCTTTTTGAATAAAAAAACTGATTCTTCGCACTTTTCAACATAAAATAGCTCTCATGTGAATTTTCGTTATAGTTAGCCGTTTTTGAGATATTTCGATTTTTAAGGTTCGGCGCATTTTTAATTATTTATGATAAAATAACATAAAAAAGTCAGTATCTCGATAATTTTTACAAGTAGGCTCTGCCTGCAAATATTTTTGAAATTGAAAGCAGAATCAGGTTAAACGTCAATTAGTTGACAGTTAGTTTTGTTGTCTGTTGAAACCTGAAACGTTTTTTTGCAATTGAAAGTTTTATAAAAATCCCATTTTTATTCTCCAATCAAGAGTTAGCGGATATTCATTTTGTGTATGGCTTTGTAAATGGAAACGCAGCAGAAGCAGCCAGAGAATACGCACGAAGATTTCCAAACAGACGACATCGAACTCGCTCAGTATTTGTAAGAGTGCATCGCCAAATAATTGAAAATGGTTTTGGAAATCTCCAAAGGAATCAAAACATAAATGTTCGTCAGCGCAGATTTACCCGTATGATTCTGCGTGAGTTTGATAGAGATCCGACCACAAGTTTTAGGAGAGTTTCTGGTGCCTTGGGAATTTCAGCAAGCCATGTTCACCGTGTTCAGTGGATTCTTGATAGAACTGATAATAATATGGAGTTTTTAAGTAACGTTTTATGGACCGATGAGTCATGCTTCACTAGACGTGGAGTGGTAAATTTTCATAATCAACATATTTGGTCGCATGAAAATCCGCATGCAGTTCGGGAAAGAAATTTTCAGCATGAATTTAGTGAGAACGTGTGGATTGGTATCTACCATAATCGACTATTTGGACCCTACCTTTTGCCTGCAAGGTTTAATGCTGCGACCTTCTTGGAATTTTTAAAGGCTGAACATGCAAATATGTGGGATGATGTTATGTTAGATTTAAGAAGATTGGCCTGGTTCCAGCTTGATGGTTGTCCAGCTCATTATTCGAGAATAGTTAGAAACTGGCTGGACGAAAGTTATCCAGAAAGATGGATCGGCCGTGGAGAACCAGTCGCCTGGCCTCCACGATCCCCTGACCTAAATCCATTAGATTTATTTGTGTGGGGATTTCTAAAATAAAAAGCGTCCAGTAACCACAAGAGATAATAGCTAATAGACAGAATCAGGAATGTATGTGATGAAATACGACGTTATTTGAGTAATGCTATACCACGTTCGATCATTCGTAGATGTGAATTGTGTATTGAACCATTGGGTTTACATTTCGAGCAACTACTTTAGATTTTGTATGTTTGTCCTAACTATCCAATAGCATTTTAGTTGTAAATAATTAATTTAATTTGTTAAAAATAATATTGGAAAATTAAACAAATTAATATTCTGTTTTTTGTGTTTATTTGGAGTTAGGAAATATTGCTGTGTTTAAAAACAATATCTAAACGATGATCTTAATTACTTGTAATGCCCAAATCAAAATTGTAAAAAAATATTATTTTCCCATAAATAATTAAAAATGCATCCAACCTTAAACATCGAAATATCTCAAAAACGGCTAACTATAACGAAAACTCACTGGAGAGCTTTTTTATGCAGAAAAGTGCGAAGAATCAGTTTTTTTATTCAAAAAGCAAAAAAATGCACTAAGAAAAAAATTTCGGTCATTTTAATACACTACAGGTACAGTAGAGAGCGCCCTCTATCGGCTACAGTAAAACTATGCAAAGGGTTCGTTTTGTCCTACCAAAAAACCTTTATATACCCATTTTCACTGTTATACATCAAATATTGTTAGAAATATTTAAAAAAAAACTGTTTTAAAAAGTAAATTTAAACACCCTGCATTTCGGAAGCCACGAATTTTTCGACCCATGTTTATATCGACTTTATGTATTAATTTTAAAATTTCTATCGAATCTTAAAGTTATGCAACAATAAACTGAAACACCCTGTATACAACTCCTCTAGGCATTTAAATAAATAAGTGCATGAGAATAATACTAAATAAAGATAAATATACTCCAATTAGGCAAATGCTTAGCAAATTAAAATGGCTCAATGTAAAAATTTTTATCAAATATCTTGTAATGATATTCATTTATAAAGTAAAAAATAATATATTTCAAGTCTAATTTAACATCATCAAATGTTGACCATCATTTACATAATAGCAGAAATAAAGATGACTTCCATTTAATGACCAAAAAGTATAACATATGCTACAAATCTGTATTCCATCAAGGGTTGATTGAATATAATAAATTATTCTCAGAGATAAAAGACCAGAAAACTTTGACAAAATTTAAAGTAAAATTGAGAAATCACTTGTTAAATCTACAATTATAGGTTGCCTAGCATTTACATCATACACCATATGGCTTGAATTTACTAGTTCTAAGTTGTTTACAATTATTCTGTTTATGTAGCCAAATGTGTTAAATAAATCTTTCTACTACTACTACTTAAGTTTATTGGATCCGAGATTAAGCCTTTTTTAAAATGTGTAATCAAATGGATAGTGCTATCTTCTACTTTCTCTTCTGTATACTCCCCTTTTTTGTATTTTGCTTTTTTTATAGTTATTTTTGTGAATACGTACTGCAATTTGTTTCATCAGATAAATCTCCACAGTCATCGTCTCCGTCGCAAAGCCAATCCTTGGAAATACATTTTATTGTCCTTGGACACATAACATAGTTTTTGGACTCGTCGCAATCTATAGTATGTTGCTCTAGATCTGTACAGTCTAATTCATCTTCGTTATCACCACAGTCGTTTTTACCATCACATCTAAAAAGGGACATTTATTTTATTATTCTCTGGAAGCAAACATTTGGAGCAACCTGGTCAAGTTTTCTGAAGATATGTTGAGGGCGCCGACAGAAACTTGCTAAAATCGTTTTTTTTTTTAACATCAAACCATCCACGTTTGAAAAATATTCTTTAAATCAATCTTGTGTAACAAAAATAGATTTCAATAACTCTTAAATAAGTTTAACTACCCTGACTACGTCCAAAATATTATGCATGGACAAGAGAAACAACTGAGATCCGAGATTTGATCTTTGGAGTATACCTAAGTGGTGTTTGAATTCTAGTGTATTGTTTACACGCTTACACGTGGTGTAGGCGATGTTTAAGATTAACATCGAATGCGGTATATAATTAATCTAGTTAAAAATCCTGGATTATTATGTAGTTCAGTGGCATACTATTTCTTACCTCTCTTCTCTTTTTATACAAATACATCTTACATCGCACAGCCATTCATCAGTTTTGCACCTTTTTTCACAGTCTGATTCCGCCGCTATATGGATATTTTCTTCCAATTCATCATTTTCTGGCCTAACAGGAATCCTGAAAACAATGATTTGATGAAGAGAAAAAAAGGTATTGCAAGGCGCTTTAGAAAATGTTGTTGTTCCATCGCAAGTTTGGAAGACTAACCTACATTACCTATACTTAGAAACGTAAGCCATACCTTTCATCGTCGTAATCATTAATTCGACTAAGTGGATACCGGCCTAGGAAAGGTGGTTCTACATAGTCTACTGGTGGTAGTCCTTTACCTATCAGAAACCCCAAATCCAGGGGGTACTTTCCTATGGCCACTGTGTGCCTTGAACGACCCTTTAAAAATTAAAATAAACATAAAACATATTCTACGAGTGGTATCAATATACATTTTGATGCAATGTATATCAACAAACGTTAATTCAATAGTTTAAGTAACTATTAATTGTATTAAAGATACTACATGTATATACCTATATAAGGTAATTCAACAAATTTTGAGTTACAAAGCTTTTATGTTGACTATACCAGTGTAAAGTTAGTAGTGAATCAACAGAAGTCATGAGATATTTGCAATTTTGTGAAATTTCGAAAAAAACGGGATAATGAACTTTCAATCGCAATTACAACTAAACCATTAGATTTAGGGCTGTGATTTTTTCTGAGATGAGCCAGATATTTAGTTTTAGCAATGGTTATGTCACTATTTAACAGAGCTCATGAGAAATCAACGCAAACAATCTTAAATTCATTTTTTTGTGAAAAATCTATTCCATCCCTCAACTTTGGAGGACGGTAAAAAAAATGAGGTTGTATTTCATTATTCATTTTATTGGAAAAACTATATCATTCCATGTAAAATAAATCCTGAAAATGTCTGCTTGCTACGATGAGTGTATCATGCCACATTCGTTGTTTTGATGCGATAAACGTAAGAAACGGGATAGAATCCTTACCACAAGTACAGAACCTACTGTGTTTAGCAGCTCTCGAAGGTGGGTATCTACATATACATGTAAACAAGAAATTATATTTTACGAGCTACAGTCCAAACGACTTGATGGAGAATGACATATGACGTACTGTTAGATTCGTCCTAGCCAAATCAGCTTAATGAGCATGGGCATTAAACTCGGCATTCCAGGTGCGGGAGAGTTTAGTCTTCGGTCCAACCGAAATTACTAAGTTAGGTAAGTCCAGCGCTGACTTTGTATTTAACGTTTGGCATCTGAATAGAATCATGTCATATTCTCCGCGAGATTATGCAGAAATGCATTACTATTATGGTGCTGCGCTAGGAAATGCTCGAGCAGCTGCTCGCATGTATCGGGAGTATGGAGCTAGGAGCGCCGAGCATACGCCAAGAAGAAGTAGAAGATATGATAGAAGTAGCTGAGAGAGATCCCCTATAAGCACCAGAGCCATTGCCCGAAACACACTTCAGCGCACACAAAACTACGCTCAGAGAACATCCATCCTTACCATGTACAAAAATTACAACAACTGCTTCCAAGCGACTATGCACAACGGGTTGAATTTTGTGAGAATATATTGAGAAGGTGCGAAGAGGATGAAACTTATGGACAGATAACTTTAACCGAAATGAAATATTCAACATGCACAATTTCCATTCATGGAGCGTGGAAAATCCACACACTATTCGCCGACACAGCTTTCAACGTCAGTTCGGCGTTAATTTATGGGCTGGAGTACTCAGCAAAAAATTAACTGGACCATATGAATTGCCCGCCAGGTTGAATGGTCAGTCACATCTTGCTTTTCAACAAAGCAGTTTGCATGATCTGCTAGACGATATACCTTTGGACGTTCGACGCCGCAGGTATTTTCAATGCTATGGTGCCCCATGGCACTTTGCACGGGATGTACGGCATTACTTAGACAGTGCCTTTCCTGGGCGTTGGATAGGTAGAGATGGACACATAAGATGGCCTACAAGGTCACCCGATTTAAGTCCTCTAGATTTTTTTAGAGGGGATAATCTATACATCTGAATATAAAAATGTTAACAAACTGCGCTAGAAAATTGATTAAGTAACAGTAAAAATTATGGAAAATATGGAAAACGCAAATTCATTTCAAAGACGAAAGGACAATTTTATTAGAAGGTATCGCTTGTGCATAGAAAATAATGGAGGCCATTTCGACCATGTTCTTTAAAAGTTAGTTAAATTAAATTATCTGCCACACTTGTCGGTAAATCGCCATAAAGAGCTGCTATACACAGTGTACTTATGGTAAGGATTCTATTGCGTTTCTTGCATTTATCGCATCAAAACAACGAATGTGGCATGATACACTCATCGTAGCAAGCTGAAATTCTCAGGGTTTATTTTACATGGATTGAAATAGTTTTTACAGTAAAATGAATAATGAAATACAACCTCAATTTTCTTTATCGTCCTCCAAAGTATAGGGATGGAAGAGATTTTTCACAAAAAAATGAATTTAAGATTGTTTGCGGTGATTTCTCATGAGCTCTTTGAAAAGTGACATAACCATTAATGCTAAAATAAACCGTTTAGCTCATCTCAGAAAAAAATCACAACCTTAAACCTAACGGTTTAGTTGTAATTGCGATTGAAAGTTCATTATATTGTTTTTTTTTTCGAAATTTCACAAAATTGCAGATATCTCCTGGACTATAAAATTTCGGACCACACATATAGGGGTTCATTCGATAGGTTTTGAGGCCCTCTATCACGTGACTTCCGTTGATCTACTACTAACTTTACACCCTGTATAGAGTGTGAATAATATGATCCTTAATTCTCTTTCGTGAAAGTTCTTACATTTGCCGTTTTCGCATTGTCAAACTATTGGCTCTCACCTGTTCTGTTCCATATACACCACCACGACTTAAAGGCCTCTCATTTTTTGGGAAACCTTGCATTGCGTTTGGCTGGAAATGAGCTGTAAGCAGTAGTTTTATGTACTCGCTTATTTTAATTATGAATACTTGTAATAAACTTTGATGCAGATGAGATAAAATTAATTTTAATGGTCTTACCGAAAAACCTTCCCAGCTCCTCCTTGGTCATGACCAATGGTGGCCCTTGGCCATAAAAGGGTGGAGACTCGGGAACGGCACCATAAGGTGGAGGTTGTTCTGTTGAGCCTCTAGGTGAGGTATGTCGACCTGTTGATGAAAAAACAAGCAATGTTTTACTAAATCTATGTTATTCTTTAAGACTATATCTAAGAGAAGGCCCGATCATTGGGATCCCATCTTTACAGGTTGATATAGGTATGATTAGCTTGCTTTATATTTTCAGATTTGAAAAGATAATACAAGAGATTTGTCATGTATACAGGGTATACCTCAATGACATGCTAATGTTCCAGGATATGATTTCTCAGATAATTTTATGAAGAAAATTTTATTTAAACATATGTTTGCAATGGTTTGAATTTTTTACAACAGGGTATGGAGGAGTAGCCTTTTTAATTTTTCTTATATTTGAAAGTACTCTACTCTTATATTTATTATATGTTATAATTTCAGCATATTATGAGAGGATGTAACGTGACATACGAGTATTTTGGAATAGAAAGCTGTTCTATTGCATCACCAGGGGTGTCCCTACAAACATCTCTTGTGATATCTTTTACATTAGAATTGTTAGGCCACTGATAATGTTTCAATGTTATGAGATAACTGATGAAACAGACAACTAAAACATAGTTATTTTCTACTTTGCCACAAGTATTTTGAATTCCAGTTCGTCGATTCCACCACTAAATTTGAGGTTTATTATTGTCCAGTCAATGTGTATGTGGCGGGACTCTGGACATCATACGGAATGTCGGGACACTCCTGACGAATCCCGACATAAAAACTTCTCTTATATATCTTATAAAGTCATTTGTGAAACCATATCCTGCAGTATCAAGGAATACCCTCCATAATTCAATGTATGTGAGTGATTCGGCCTATTCATCGGATATATTTTCTTGAAGGTAGTTGTCGAAAGGGCATTGTAATCGAGTGATGGGAAGAAAATTACGTATTTGGTGGAAAATTATATTTATTCAACTCAAACCAAAAAGTTGTTTAGCTCACCAGTGGCATAGACGGCTGGTCGTTGATTGGCTGGTCGCAGCTGCCCAGATCCGAACATCTGTCGAGCTGCTCCCCTATGAGCTGGAGGGCCGCTACCATCACTAGTAGTGTTGGCTATTGACGAGAAGACTGAAGAGCCTGATGAACTTGCTGAACCACATACCCCTGGAACAACAGAAATATTGCAGTCTTATTGAAAAATAATATCATTTTTATCATTTACATTCTTTCATTCATGAAGTGATTATACTATCTGATAGCCAGTCGGAGACGATACGATGTTTTGATAAGATCAAGCTTTCTGTTTGTTTTAATGAGACAAATTTGGGGATATGTATTTGTAATAATTGTTTAATATTTTTTACGAAAATTTGAGTTGAGGAAAGATTTAGTCAAACCATTCTAAAAACTGGGACAGTTTTCTACAACCAAACAGTGAATGGCAGTAATGTTTTACATGAAGGATGCTCAGTTCATAAGTAATACTTTTTTAATACTTAGTCGAAAGGGTGATAGTGCCTATACCATAATTCACATGTTTTTCGAAGCGTTCTAAATACCTACTATACTTTATGGACTCCTGACTAGACTATTATCCACTATTCCTCGAATACCGAACAGAGGAAACGGATTATTTGGTTAGAAATGTATGTTTTTAAATTTGCTTTACTGGTACTGTAAAATACAATTTTAAACGGATCAGACAATATTAAAAAAAGCAGTGCGCAAACCTCGATTTTACATTATAATGATGAAGTCTATCTCTATATGCAACTTTCAACTGAAGACATGTTTATGGTTCACAAACTTTTTACGCACTACAATGTCTCGATAACACTTTGAGATCATTTTTATTTGTTACCTTATCGAACAACAATTGGATCAAATAGTTTCTTGTCGCCTTGACTACAGAGGCTGTTATCAAATCGTATGATCATATTCAGTTATCAGAGATTCATCTGCCCCAGATTTCGCAGACTAAAGAGAATACTGAAAGTGTGGCAACATCTGCTGCCTCGGTGACCGACTTGAATGGATCCATTCATAAGGATGGCGCAGGGTGTGAGGAGGTCATCCACAAGGTGTTTCTTACGACTGTGATTTTGTTTCAACTTCTTTTTGAAATGTACGCTGCAAATAGTGACTTGCTGAATGAAATTATTATGACTGCAATTACATATTGTCGTCTAGTATTTTCAGATTTGAGGCATATATTTTCTTCACCGCTCCACTGATATCCCTTGATTAGAGGTAAACTTGAAACTATACAAATGTCGTCACTACTTCCCACGCCTTCGAAATAACTTCTAGTACAATTTTCCATGTAGTCCAATGCCATCAAAGGGACGTAGGTTTGCTCAGAAACATTAGCTGGCTTTTTCATAAAAAAGAAAATTCTTCAGATTGCAGCTATGAGCGTATCCTACACGGTAGCCTCTTTTCTATGGAGCTCTGGTGTAAAACTAATTGTCAGAAACTGATTATAACAGCTCTTGATACGTACTTATTCTACTATACAATGTATACTAAGTGACACATAAATCCGAACACCCAGTTTAAATGGTTTTATTTTAATAAAAGTTGGTGAATGTATTTATCTTACTGTAAATAACAAGTGAAAACATTTTCAGCCTTATCAGTTGGACATTGCGGTTTTTATACTGCTTTTTTTTAATTCACTAATGCTCTAAAAATGAATATTTCAGCCACAGTAAAGAATCAACGTTGGCTGATTTTGGTTCTTGACATCCTTTACGATCGGTTACGATGCCTAGAGTACGGAGACCTGTACCATTTCGTCAACTTAGTGAGTTTGATAGGGGCCGTATAGTGGGACTTCGGGAAGCTGGACTTTCTTTTCGGGCAATTGCAGTTAGAGTGCAAAGAAGTGTAGACACTGTGGTTAGGTGTTGTCAGGCATGGTTTCGAGAAGGCCTTACGCAAAGAGCAAGGGGCACTGGACGCCGCCGTAGAACAACAGACCGTGAAGATCGCCGCCTAAGATTATTTGCCTTAAGGGACCTATTGGCATTCGAAGTGTTTACCGACGAATGAGAAGTTTTGGCTTGTTTTCATACCGGCCACACTGGGTCCTCCCTTTAACTCGAGAACACCAACGTAATCGCCTTGAGGGGTGCAGACAACGGTAACTCTGGGATCAGGAGTGGAACAGTATTGTCTTTAGTGACGAGTCTCGATTTTGTTTAGGCATGCACGATGGTCGTGCCAGGGTTAGAAGGCGACATGGTGAAAGGAGGAATCCACAGTGTTTTGTTGAAAGACATGTTCATCACACTGTTGGAGTTATGGTTTGGGGTGCTATAGCTTATGGTTCCAGGTCACCTTTAATCTTCATCAGAGGTAACATGAACGCGCAGAGTTATATCCACGAAGATCTAGAACCCCATCTTTTACCCTATCTTGACACCCTGGCAGATCCAACTTTCCAACAAGATAATGCCCGACCACATATTGCAAGAGTCACAATAGACTTCTTTCAACATAATGATGTCACATTGTTACCATGGCCACCAATATCTCCCGACTTATCTCCAACTGAGCACGTGTGGGATATGATGGGTAGGAGATTGCTCAATTTGCAACGTCCTCCTCAGACTCTAGAAGCACTTCGAGAGGAGTTGGTGGTTGCCTGAAATGAGATACCACAGGAGGACATTGACCACCTGATCAGAAGCATGCCTAGGCGCGTTGGAGAATACGTAGCACATCAGGGTGCATCCACACATTATTAAAGGTCAAAGGGCTTTAAAGCAGTGCAATCATTTTGAAATTTTTATCATTTACTTATTATGCTTCATTAGGTACTTATACAAAATTTTATTAAAATAAAACCATTTAAACTGCGTGTTCGGATTTATATGTCACTTAGTATATATAATATTACCTCAGTAAATCAACTAACGTCGTTAAATTAATAATGCTCGTAAACAGGGTGCTAATTACGTACGTACTATAAATTCAACAGACGATTCTTTGAGTAATTTTTAGATAAAAAGTTCATATAAACATAGGTCCGCAGATTCTTTGTTCTCAAGATACAGGGTGTCAAAATTTCTTGAATATCCTTTACCTAGACCACACAAGGAAAATTGAGAAATATTCCGTAGTTTAGTAAAATTCATTAGCTTAGATGTTAATGTAATATAATTTAATTTAGTGTTTATTTGTTGTTGTTACATAATTAGTAATAGAAAATTATAAAAAAAAATAATTTCCAAAAGAAACGTTTCCCGATATCCCTTGTGTGGCCAAGGGATATGCTGTTTAGCGGTCTTTTTTCTCGAAAACTAAGCAAGATACGAAAAAAATTCAAGAGATAGAGAAGTTGTATTTCTATTTGCTTAATCCAAAGAACAAACATTTTTTTTAATTTTAACACCCTTTTTAGTCTACCGGCTTTACATTTTTTTCTGTTATATGGATCGGATAATCCGTTGATTCAGCTTAAATCTTGTTTTTGAAATCTCCATACGATCGTTTGGCGTGGAGATATCTGACTTGGAATGAAAAAGTATCCTTTTGAAACAGTGATTGCACAGAGAATGTAAGGATAATTCCGAAAACTGTAATAAGTCTTAAAAATGTTTCAATTGTTCTTTTCAAAATTGAAGATGTTACAGAAGATATCTAATAGTGGCAACAAAGGAAAAAAAATGATTTTTCCATTTTCAACCAGATTACATGATGATACACACATTTTTATTTCTTTCAAATTTTGACCAATCGGTCCAGAGAAACTGTACAATAGATCAATCTGCCGACGTGCAGGGTTATTACATTGAGGTATAAAAAACTAAAAACATTACCCTTCTCATTAGCAGTTCCCAAAATGCGGTAGATTTTCCAAAACACTAAGTAAACAGAAAAAATTCGCAAAGATTGCAATCAAATGTTATTGGAGCTTTGTTCCAGTGATCGGAAATCCTTATATTCTCTATGGTCTATGCGATCACTGATTACCGAGATATCAGTGGTCGAATGATCGTATCGAGATTTTAAAAAAATAATATTAAAGCTGAATAAACGGGTTATCCGATCCATATGATGACAAAACAGAAAACATTTTTTCAAGGCCGTGCACTAAAAAGAAGGAGTATAAAATTTTGCAAAACATTTTTCTAACTATATCTGTTAGAATTGCATGAGAACTGTTGTTCCTAAAAATTTTCGGCTAAAACACCTGAAATCTATAATCTTATAGCTTCAAAATGGTTTTTTAAGGTCTGGATACGACCATTTTTCACTAAAATACAGCCTGCAAAAGATCACCGAAAAATTTGCACTTTTTTCTTTCTCCCTCAATTTTTTGAGGCTTACACATTTTTTTTATTCCATAAATTGTTTTTTGCTCCGGTCAAAGTGATTTGAGGGTTTGAGGTATATTCTGAACAAAAAGGAGTTTTATAACTTTTTTCTAAACTTAATAGTTAACGACACACAAGCGATCTACTATGTTAAATCGAGCATACTATGCTATTTTCGACCCCGAAAAGCAATATGAAAAAACAAAAATGTTGATGTTGCCAAAGTTCCTAAATATTCTTCAAACATTCATTAACAAAATCCCGACGCATTTCAAGGGGTATGATCACTGTGAACCTTTGTTTTTTACTTGTTAAGAAGAGCGCGCTCAGTGCTTAGTCTACGTGTAGACAATTTGTCTACATCTATTCATGTAAACAATTTAAGCAAAGTAGACAATTTAAATAATCTAGGTATCGAAGGTTATTAACATCAAATCAACTTGCATAAGAGGTATTCCTAGGCCTAACTATTTATTGCGTCGCAATTACTATCTTCATTATTCGAATCAAGTGGAGGCGCTCACTTAAAATACCGTGCAAACTCATTCCATTTCAATAAAAACGTGAAAAAGATTAACTTCAAAAGAATGTATAGTTTTTTGTAATTGAATTTTTACTTCTAATTTTTATTTGCTGCGCGCAATTTTACTACTTTGAAAGGTTGTAAATCATTTTTTGAGTCCTTTTGTACGTACTACTTATTTGATTACTGATTAGGCATGCATTACCATAAAGCCCAATCACGTTTATTTTTTCTTATTATCTTGACAAACAAAAATGTTATAATGATGTGAATCTTCTACCAAAGTTTTAAAAGACAGCCAATTCTTAAATGTAGTG